ACGAACGGGAAAGCTGGTATTCCATAACAAAAGTGGTAAAATAGCATGGAAAAGGAAGGTTCTTTAGGGCCAAACTTGGGTTTGGACTACCTTTTTATATATTAGTAGTAATCTAGTTGGCCTGACTCACTTTAAAAAGTATACAATTATTGTGGCCATAAAAGATCAAATAGAAATAGAAGAAAAAAAAAAACATCCAAAAACTTAGGCCCGCATTGTTCTAGGTTGAACCCCACATTAGCATTCTGCTCCTGAAAGAAACTCCTAAAACTAGCTAGAAAAGTTTAGGGGTCGTTTGCTTCTAGGATTTTAGAAAATGAGGGATTATGATAAAACCTTAGATTTTGAATATGAGAGATTATGTTGGATTTTGATTATGTTGGATTTTGAAACTTCCATGTTTGTTTGTAGGATTTGGTAATGGCTTTTAGTAGGTTGGAATTATGGCTTGATGGGGGAAATTACTTTCTTATCCTTAATGAACCACTTTTTACTTTACTTGTATTTTGAATGTTTTTGTATATACATGAAGAATTAGCATATGTAAAAATGGCAGCAACATCTATACTATTTGGTCATATTGTATACACGCAAGAAGCCATTAAAGTAAATTGAAACTCTCAACCCAAACCAATAATGTCAAAAGGAAAATCAAGGGTTTGGATTGGATTATAAAAAAAGAGGATGTAAGCATGAAATAATTAATTGTTGAGCTTCATATAAAAGGAAGACAAAACGATGATAGGCAGAGATGGAAAAGGTTGCCGGAGCTTTTTGCTGTGTTGCAATCCCTTGGCAACGAAGAGACAAAGTTGGTGAGATGAGAGTGTAGACAAAAGTCCTCAGTAGAGATAATAATAACCGAGGGCAAAATTGGATTACACAAAATGAGTGGGGGTAACACGGTTATTAAACATCATGGATTATATCTATCTTCCAAAATCCTAGCTATAGAGGTAAGATTTTATAATCCATGGGGCCCACGGATTTTAGCTCCAAATAATCCAATATTAGTGGACCCCACAGATTGAAACAAAATCCATTATATGCTAACAAACATGGATTCATTATAAAGTCCAACATATGTTGGATTTTGGGCCAAAATCCAACACCAAAATACCAAAAGCAAACGACCTCTTAGTTCTTTGAAGGATCCATCAAATGCAGGTTAGTGACAACTTTTCCTTTTCAAGCAACATTGGGCTGAATCAGTAGTATTCATAACAACTCAAGGGGTCGTTTGAAGAATATGAGTTTAAATCTATAGATTGTCAACAATTTAAAGATTCTAACTATTCGGATTGTTGAAATTAGATTTTAAAATATTTATTGTTTGGTAACTGTGATTGTTAACATTCAATGAAAATAAAAATAAATATATTTTTATATTAAATAACGTGTTAATCCTTAATAAAAAATTAGAGTGGTTCGAGAAATATTAGAAATATTTAATATGATAAATAAATAAAACAAAGTGAAAAAGTAGGAGGAAAAAATCTCACGAATCAAGATATAGAATCTCTCTGATTATGAGAGATTTGATATCCGTAGATTTTAAAGATTTGAAATCTCTAAAGCTCAAATCCACAATACAAAAAACAACAAAAAAACATAACTTTCTACAAAATCTACGGATTCAATGAATCCACGCCCTAAATCCCATTCTCCAAACGATCCCGGTACAGTAGGATTTCTAAATCATATACATAAAAAATCGGAGCAACTACAACCACGAGAAGGAAAACACGCTTCTAAACGCAGCAGTAACCTTAGTTCAATTTTTCTTACCTTCAACCATTGCAGCATTGATGGCAGTGCAGCAACAGAACCATTTCAATCAAATCAGTTCATCTGTTGAGTGCAATAAGTGAACTGAAGGGCCTGTGAGTACTCTTCAATAAATGAGTTCCGGTATAAATCCTCTGTTTATACACATTATTGACTAGTTCACTCACCTTGGAAAAGACCAACAAGTTCTCCATGTACCTCACAATTGGCCAGAACTCAAAAAAAAAAAAAAAAACATGCAAAAATTAATTTTCATCACACTTTCTTCATTTTAAGTTTCTAAACAAAACAAATCTCGGGACAATGACAGAAATGTTGTTTAAAAAAAAAATTACCACCAATATGGCGGATTAAAAAATATTGACACGGTTATTGTGTTTTGGAGAGAAAAACCAACGGGACCACCTGAGACTCAAGCGCTGCCGCTTTTTCTGTTTTTTTTTTTTGGATCATTTGTTTAAAGGTTACAGCGGCGGCGCCCAAGACTGAGGTGGTACCGCCTAAGGGTGAGGTGAATCGTTGGGAATTTGTACTTGGCGCTGGCGCCCAGGACTATGGCGGGTCCGCTGGCTTATTGCTGGCTACCCCCCTATAAAACCAGCGAATTTCGTTTCAGTTATTCACACCACAAAAAAATCGACCAAGATAGAGGAGAGCTCTGGTTGCTGCAGCAAAAATGGCTAATATGTAAGAGACACATTTATTTTTTAATTATATTATTCAAATGCTATTAAAATCGTGTTTAGTTTTAATTAGTGAGTTTGTTTTTCTGTAGTGATTTTAGAAGATTTGAACTAGTCGTTCGATGGAAATCGGAGAAAATAAAGGATAATTTGGGCGTCAAATTCGTTGGTGGTAGTAATTTTCAGTTGACGGTTCCATCCAGGGTCACATATCACAAACTTTGTGAGAATCTAATTCCGAGAATACGGCGTAGAGACGAAGCAGTACAAGATAGTGATGTGATCACAGGTTTCACTTACCGTCTTCCAGAATGACAGAATGGTGTTTTATTTCATTATGCGATGCCTATTATGGATGATGATAGCTTGAATGTTCTTTGGAATTTTATGGCACAAAATCCTTATTGTTTGGGTGCTGAGATACATGTTGAGCTCAGTGAGGATCAGGGTGGAGAGGAAGAAGATGATACATGGAGCGTGCCATCCGATCATGACTATGATGACGGTGATGACGGAGAGGAGGAAGATGAGGAAACAAACATCAGTGATCATGGTTGTTGATGGAACATTCTTGCGGGTGGTCAAGAGAAAAATGCCAGCATCGGTGATTGGTTGGGTAAGAGTTCCTTCGACTCAACCAGGTCATTCGATATTTCAGCGAGTATTATGGGCTTATGGACCTTGTATAGATGGATTCAAGAATCGTCCAGGCGTCATGGTTGTTGATGAAACATTTCTTACTAGGAAGTATAAAGGAGTGCTACTCATGGCGAGCTCATTTGATGGCCGGAAGAAGATTTTTCCAATTGCATTTGCCATAGTGGAGAGCGAGAATACTGATAGTTGGTCATGGTTCATAAGTCATGTTCAGGGTTTGACTGATCAAAATGATGTCTACATCATCTCAGATAGACATGCAGGACTCTATGAAGCCATGAATAACATCGGAAGAGGTTGGGAGTGGAGGTGGTGCATGCGACACTATGCAAGCAATTTGCAAAGGAAGACTAAAAGCAAGATTATGTATAAGCAACTATTTCGAGTCGGTAAGACTTCATCATTTAATTTTGTTATTTATTTTCATGTAATTTTGTCGTGAATTTATCTAACCCGTGTGGTTGTTTATTTTGTTAGCCGGAGAAAAACGCTTGGAGAAGTTCGATCGTCAAGTTGAGAAATTTAAGAAGGTGGCCACTGATAGAAATATTTCATGTGATAACTGGGTGGACCAACATCATATTCGTTGGAGTTTAGCACATGATAACTACAATGATGGGCGTCGTTGGTCTATCCTGACATCCAACATGGCAGATGACTGAATTCATCCCTCAGCCAAATAGTCCTAACGACACCGCCTGAAACATCAGCCGGAACCCGTCCTAACAGTCTCAAACAGGTCGTCGACCACTCCTCATTCGGTATGTCAACTACGACGGCAGCACCGTCGATCGCCAAACCGGACAGTGTCACAACTTCCTCTACCGTGATCGTGACCTCACCAAATGGTAAATGGAAAGTCGAGGACTCGAGTCACCATCCTATAGTGCACAAAACTTATATTAATTCAATTCCATTCGTAATAATTCTAATTTCACCTAATAAATTATAATCTATCTAATCTAATCTCAAATTATACTAATGTCAAAAAATTTGATACGTAATCCTATTCTAATTTCAATACAGTTCAGTTCACCAACCAAAATAATCTAATTAGCTAATTAACTTTACATGAATAATTATCAAATACTTACCTCGTTTTCCCAAATTGAGTCGATACGATGTTGGCCATGTCCCCAAAGAAGTACCGGATCGACCGGAGCTGGATCAATTGTCGTCGGCGGTAGTCTCATAGAATAAGAGTCCATAAGCCTATGAACTGCAAAAGCAAAGCAACAAAAACATTAATTAAAAAAAACACTAAATATTAAATTTTAAAAAAAAAAAAAACCGCCGCCGGTGAGACCCTCACCGCGAAAACGGCCGTCACCTCCACGACCCCGCCGGCCTCTCCCCCTGCCTCTATCGACGACAGCTTCGTCTTTGTCGGACGACATCTCCGTCGAACTGGCGGTGGCGCTTCTGTCAGCGGCGGCGCCGCCTGGCTCTGCGGTAGCGACAACTGTGACGGGTTGCTTGGCATAGTCTCTGGTTCGGGAGTGGGGAGGAAGAAGAAGATAAGATAAGAAGGAAGAGGATGGCCCACGGCGCTTTTTAAATTAAATTAGAGAGGTGAAGGCGGGGGCGCTGGAGATTAAGGCGCCGACGCCTTAGACTGGTTCAAAAGTTTTCAAAAGCGGCCTCGTCTCTGACTCTACACAAAAACACAATAAACATGTCAATACTTTTTAATCCACCATATTGATGGTAAATTTTTTTAAAAAAAAACAATATTTGTGTGATTTATCCACAAATCCCCCTCCTCCTTTTTCCAGTTTACTGTGGATTTATGATCTTGCACCAAAAATCTCGAACAAGTCAACGAAATGGTGCTTCAAGGCTATAATAATAGGAATTCTAGTAGACTAGTAACACCATAATACCAATTTTGCCTATATTTGTATATCGGACCAACATGACTGAGAAATGAGAATACACTGTGCTTTTTACTATACCGTCCCATCTCCTCTGTTCACGTCGTTGTAATTTGAGGAGGTAGGCCGCTGCTGAGGCATTGAAGTTGTCCCTGCTTTTAAAGACATTATCTATGGCGACATGACTCCTTTCCCTTTCCTTGATCCCTTCCCCCAAAGAGCCGATGAGTCAAGTCCACTCCTCTGCTTTTACCGTGCAGTAGAAAACCCGAGGTAAAAGTAAAAGTGATTGGCGCCAAGTTCCATGTCAATGTTCACCAACAACAAGACTATCTTCTTCTTCTAACAACTGGCATACTCCATATAATAGAATTATAGAACCGAAGAGGCAGAGGAGCTCTCCCCTGAAGTCGAGAGAAAAAAGAAGAAAGATCGAAGCTTTGATTACTACTACCATGACTTCTTCTGGCCATTACAGGCGGAGAGTAGGAGATAATGATGACGAGCAAACCGGCGCCCGTTTCTTCAAGATCATCCTTCCATCCACCATTCGTGACAAGAAGCTGGTAAAAAAACCCAAACCATCACTTTTCCATCTCATCCATTCAGAACCCTTGTTTAGTGAAGTTAGTAACCACTGACTGATTGCTTGATTGTACGGCAGTTTGTTCCGAGAAAATTCGTTAGGGATTCGGCCGACTGCCTGCTGTACTCAAAGTCTGCAACTTTGAAGGTACCCAGTGGAGACGAGTGGGAAGTGGAGCTGGGAAGGGAAGGGGAAGAAGATGTTTGGTTTGGCAACAACGGGTGGCAGAGATTTGTAGAGTTCTACTCGTTGCAGTATGGCCATTTGCTGGTCTTCGAGTACTCGGGTCGCTCCGAGTTCTCTGTGGTCATATTCGGTAGATCCGCTACCGAGATTGATTACCCAGTTAGGGAAGTCATCGGGATCGAGGATTCGGCTCCGGTACTGGAGGTTTTGGACAGTGATGACCAGGATGATGCTGGGGCAAAAAACCAGTGGAAGGAGAACGAGAAAGGCAAGTCTCCAATGGTGCCGAATGGTGCTGGACAAGGTGATGACAACCGCCTGGTGAAGCGGCAGAAGAGCTACTGGAAATCTAGTGGAGAGGTTGATTCTAACGGTAATTACTACTTAGTTCATAACTTCGTGTCCTCCCCAGCTTCTAAAGGTTGTATTTTTTGTTTGCCTTCCTAATTTTGAGTTGAAATTACCATGTGAAGGAGGTGATTTGAACAAGAAGGTGATGCTACAGGAAGAGAAACAAGGCTCTTCTGACAAGCCTTCTTCTTCAAGGAAACGCAGAGCTCTACCGTTGGATGGGTTCACAACGAAACAACCCTCCTACCAGACCACAATGCATCCAAGTTACATCGCCACAGGGCCGGTACAGATATATCTTCTGGAGTTTCTGTTCATAGTTCTTCAACGGGGTCTGTTGGCTCTGCTTGAACTTACACCTCGATACCCCGTTTTTTCGCAGTACATTCCTGTAGAGTTTGCAGACGAGCACATTAAGAAAACTGAGCAGCAAGTGAAACTTGTGGTGGGAGGCAATGAATGGACGGTAAGGCTGAACAAGCTACAGAACAAGTACATGAAGCTTGGCTTTGGGTGGAAGGATTTCGCAGTATGTAACTCGCTGAATCGAGGGGATGTCTGCACCTTCGAGCTGGTTCATGGTTGGACTGATGTTGAGTTGAAGGTCACTATCGCTAGAGATCCAATTTGATTCGTTCTGTCGTGAAATTCTACTCAGCTTTTGGGGGATGAATCATTTTGATGGAAGCTAGAGAGAAAACTAGTTTCTCTGTATATCGGATCGTTCCATTTCAATGTTGCTTGGCCACAAGCATTGTAGTCTCTTCTTCTGTAGCTGTTGAATCTAATGTTTCTTAAACTAGGTAGCTAGCAATGTAATGTTTTCCACCCTGTTTAAACCTGGTATTCGGAGATTTGGGATTATTGGCTTCTTTCTTCCCCGCTTATGACACTCAGCAATCAGCAGCATCTTCTGCGCGTTAGGATAATGTAATGGATTTTGAAGTAGCAAATATCAAATATCAAAACCTCTAGTGTCTTTCATATCGATACAACTAATACTGAAAGAAAGTATCACATATGAATTCATTTACAAAAATGTGTCAACAATGACAAAGAAGGATGAATATAGAAAATAGAGCTTTAAGGATCATTCATCAATATTGAGTATTGTTCATCTGAACCACATAGAAACTGACCACAAGCATAACATCCCATATACACAGCATCTCTCAAATAACAAGGGGAAATTCTGAAATAGGATAGAAAACTGGACGGAGAAAGAACCCAAAAAGGAAAGACACTCTCGTACTGTCATAGATGGGCAGACCGAGCGCCCTCCCCATCAACTGCTGACCTCGAGCGCAGCAGACTCAATTTTCACAACACAACCATACGAATAGGAAGAAAAATAGCTAGATTCGGTAGGGAGCAAGAAGAATACAATTGAGATAGAGAAAAGAAAAAAAGAACTATATGCAAACACGGGAAGACCGAGAATGTACAACAACACTGCTGATTGGAAGGTGCTCGTCTTCCTGTCAGTTCCATGGAGGAGAAGATGGCGGCCTAGTATACACAAAATCCTGTGAAGAAGAAGTCGTTGTCCCGTAGTTCAAATCGAGATTGTGGAGCTGCTCCATGAGCTGTGACCGCCTTTCCTTGAAGAAATCAAGGCGTGTCGTCAGTTCCACTAAAGCAGAAGATGCTGCTGATGGATGTCTGGTGTAATCAGTCACCTGCATGCAGCAATGACAATATATAAGGGAACGTACACGTAGAGATAGATGTTAAGCGTTTGTTTGTTTGGAAACACAAGAAAACTACCTCAACAGATCTTGAGGTAGGAGCAGAATTGACAACACCACAAAGCTCGTCCATGGATAAGTTTGTAGAAGCCTCCTCTGTACTTTTAGAGTCACTGAGGCTTGTCGTCGGTTCCATATATTGCTTTCTATTATTAGGCTGTCTGCTACTGCTGCCAGCTGCTTCTTTAACATTATTCCTCCAACCAGCTCCTAATAGAACCTCCTGCAATCAAAAGTTTATTTAGAAGGATCCATTAAATGTAGGCAAGTAATGGAAAGGTATCTCATCGCTAGCAAGGATAAAGGCATCCATCCAAACAAAAACCAGAAGAGCGATTTAAAATACAACCAGAAAAACGACCACCCAAAAAAAAGTCAGGAAAAAGAGCTGAAACAAACACACCTATATTCTTACAGGTAAAGACATAATCACCTCACTGAATTTTAATTGGTACCTAATAACGATATATATAAATTGCCTTGCTTCCTTTCCCCTTTTCTCCAAGGATTAAGGCTATCCTGAGTACAATTCGGATGGGAACAAATATCATGAATCGGTACCCACTTAACTCAAATTGCTATCTATAAATATTAAATACTCTAGTTTTTGCATTACCAAAATACGTGATATGCCTACGTTCCATTTTCTGCACCAGCAGACAGAGAGTAACAACTGCCTATACAAGGGCAAACAGTGCTTGCAGGAACAAGAACTTTTAGCAGATGATAGACTAGTGGTCAATTCTTGTTGATATTCACTTAACACCACCAGGAGAATCATGAATGGAGAAAGTTCGTAGGGTAAAGGGAATAAAATAAGAAGAGATCGAGCAATTTCTCTAGAAATACCTCAGTTCTCTGTTTTCTTTCATGATTTACAAAAGCAAGGGTTGTATCAAAATCTTGCTGAAGAAATCTCCTGCAAAACGAGGTGGAGTAATAAGTACAGCAACAGCTTTGAAACCTTGCCAAACATAGGCGGATCTATTCTTCACTTTCTTGGGCAGTAATACTAATGGACTGACGGGTGTAAAAATACAAGACACTGCACCACCATTCCTCAACATTCTAATCAAGCAGCGACATTTCAAACTATTCTTTTTCAAACAAGGGATTGCAACATAATAACTGAATAGCAAAAACTACACTGCAGCCATGCTCTCAACAGTCTGGAACCTTACAGTTTGTATGGTAAGAACTGAGATCAAAAGGTTAATCACAATACTCATACTTAAACGCAACTTCCTTTCTCTCGCTAATGTAAACCTCTTCCTCCATTGTCAACTCCATGTTATGCACAGAAAATAGAATGGCACTAAGATTTTGGAAACTCACTGTTGAGGATTATGGTTTTGGACATGTTGATATCGATCATCAGTTAAAGCACCATAATGATGCTGCCGCTGCTGATTGAGCTGATGATGAAGTTCAGCAACTTTCTGTTTCAACCTGGCCACATCTGCTTCAGCAAGAGCAATCTCCTCCAGCTCTGCCCTTGTCTAGAAATCGGGAAACAGACCACTTATTTCTATAACTCTCACAAATTTTGGATGTAATTGAAAGAGAAAACCACAAAGCCAAGTACGAACTTTAGAGTCCATGCCCCGTGAACTTGACAACTGTCCAGAAGACATACTCAAACCAACTTCCAATGCAGCTCGAAGATCTCTTTCAGCTTGCAGCTGCTCTTGCAATCTTGAGACCTAAACCACCAATAACCAAAGAACAGGCAGTAAATACAAGAGTATGTAAGAGATAACGACTTGCCAGAAGACAACACAAATAGGATCCTAAGTTCAATAGACTAAACAAATTTTGTATCTTCTCAACAATTTGAAGGAAAGAAAATAACCTAAAAGAATGCAAATGTTAATACAGGCAAAAAATATCACAGGAAAGGAATAGATTCTAATGAAACAGTAAATCCCAATACATGCATGATCTGCTACTACATCCCTAAATGTAAGCACAAAGCCCACTTCACCCAATCCTATGCTTCACAAAATAAAGCAACCAACAGTGTAACCTCAAGAAACAGATAGAAATAAGTACATCTTGCTCAAGTGCCAAGCGCCGCTCATGCAAAGCTTGTTTCCTTCTCTCCAAACTAGCTTGCAGAATTGCATTACCTCTAGCCTGCAATTTATGAATAGGAAATGCAGTTAGGTAACTGTATCACCATCTCGAACTTCAAAACAGAGACAATCCAAATAAAAGTCTCCCAACCTCCTTTGCTATCCTGTGCCTCAAGTCATTTTTAGTAATCTCAAGCCTCTGAATAGCAAGCCTGTAATAGCACAATTTCACTCATGTAAGATGAGACAATTTAGGATCAACATCACAACCACCACAAAACCTTAACCCATCATGAGGATCAACAACACGAGTTCTTGCATGCAATTTTCCAGCCAACTTGAACTTTTTCAATTTAGTGACGTATAGATTTTTCAAGGAATTCAAAGTAGGATTTTCCAACAATAAAGAAATCAATAGGCTTTCTAAAATAACTACAAAGAGCAATAACTTAAGAAGCAAACTCTCATTTTGAGGGGGCAAGTTGGAAAAGGGAAAGTTTCTATCAATTAGGTGGCTTTTTTCATTGTGAAGCACATGAATACCAACTCTTTCTAAAAAAATTGCTAAGGGCATTTGTTTGAGCTATAGTTTCAACTCAGGTTTAGGAGATAAAAATTAGAGGAAACAAATATATCCGGGAAAAAAGCCAGTTTAGGTGCATGTATGCATAGAGAACATCTTACTCTTCTTCAGAAGAATCAACTGACTCCATAGATGGTGTCTTTCTGCCCTGCAAATAAAAACAAAGGATTCCGGAGAATTAGGGTGAGCACAAATAACAGAGCTCGGAGTGGGAAGGACAATAAGATTGATTCTCATGCTCCATCCTCAGCAATACATGCAAATAGAATAGTTTTCAAATTGCAAGGTAATGACTCAAATTACATGACAGACACCCACCGAAGTTTGAAGTATACAGAAATAGTAAACAGAAGTGCATATTCTAACAAGGGATGTGCATTTTTCATACTCTCTTTCCCTGTATTTACTTGGCCACTGTGAACAAAAACTTGCATATTCAACCTTGTTCCTAAGGTTGCCATGATATCTTTCCGTACTTTGGTATTTATTACCCAAAAAGAAGTTGAAATTCTTTGTTCAGAATACTTATATGTAACCATCTGAAAAGCAAAAAAAACCTTCAAATGCCTAAATATCAAGTTCACAGAGAATCTGCTTAATTGAAAGTCAAGAAAGTTCATTAATTTCCAAATCTGGAACTAAAAATATATCGTAACTTATATGACTTATAGAATATAAAATAAAAAAATTTTAAAAATGTCAGACGTACATTGCTTCTGCCCCAGAATGTTGACCGCTGCTTTCCGTTGGCATTGGAGGTTGTCGCTTTACCAGCTGGCTTCTCAGCTGATGACTCAATAGGTGATATAGGTACCTGAGGCTCGGCATCTATTGTAGACAGGATCTCTCCCATTGACCGGTAAGATTCACCAGGAGGCAAAACACTCAATGAATCTGTTTCATTGACTGAATTTTCATTTCCCCTTTTATGTTTGCTTAGCTCCAGAAATTGTGCACCAGGATCTCTAATATGTGGAGGTTCAGTAACTAAGTTTGCACTCTCGGCAGGAGTATGGTTGTCAATGGGTAATCTGACACCTGATTCATCGCCAACAAAAGCCTGCATGTTATACAAAAACTAGTCAGTATAACCCATTAGAAGAAAAGAAAAAAGAAAATATCCAGCAAAAGAAAATTCAAAAAACGGGATGAAAGCGCCACAACTATATTAAAATTCCATTTCGATATGATGCTTCATCATCACAATAACAACAGTAGAGCACTACATACATTTTACGTCCTCAACCCTAGTCTCATAAGAAAATTTCAAACACGCATGGCTCCCCCAAATGTTATTACAACAAACCCCCACGCCTCCAACGACAATGAACAAAACATAATAGCTACCAGTGACTCCTAGGCACCTCCAATTCAGTACTATTCACTTTAATGGGGACGAGTGATAGTAAAATTGAACAAGTACCTAGGAAAGACTGCAACGAACCTCCAATTTTAGAATCACTCTTTTTTATTGGGATGATTGCTAAGTGAAATTCAAATAAGTTCAAAAAAAGGCAGCCAGCAGCTTTGTCAGTATTAGATTCCCAAGTAAATAGTGGATAAATGCTGAATTTGGCAACATGCTCTTTCTTTTCTTTACTTCTAGCCCTTCACTTAAGGCAAGGACGAGTTCAGGTAAGTGCTGTTAGATATCATGAAGATTGTCCTACGAGCTGAGTAGCCCTGTAAGCACTTGCAACATGCTCGTCAACAAAATCTATCTTTTGAAAATTATCCCATTTAACAGAAACACATGCAAGGTTTCAATAGTTGAAGCAGAAAGTCAATTTGACAGGCCTAGAAAGAAAGTAGGATCTCAAATTTAAGTGCTTGATGTTGGAGAGAACCTTATAATCATAAAGATCAGTGCCAGTAGAACCACTGGATTCACTCAGTTTCCCACTAAGCACACGCTCAGCAGCATCATCATCTGTTTCTTGGTCTACTTCATTTTCTGCATCATGGTAATTGTTATTTTTCATATCTGTATTTTCATCATCACTAGAGTCTTCACTTCCACTGTTTCCCATCCGAGAATCTGCCGAAATAGAGCATCTCTGCAGATTTTCATCCTGAAAAACAGGAGCACTGTATTAACACCGAGTTATCTAACATGGAAACAGTATATCCAGAACTGCAAAATTGTCAAACACAAACGTCATCACCATCGAGCATTACATCTTATTATTTTACTTATCAGAAGCACAATCATCCTCATCTCGTGAAGAGTGTTTAAAAGGAGACGGCGGAGATAACCAAATTGACATAAAAGCTCATCTACAATGCTTAAGGAAAAGTAAAAACCTTTTTGTTGTTTATAAGTGAGAGTGAGTTATATAATAACTATATAAAAGAAGGAAAAGGAACAGAGTGAAATAAACAGGGGCCACCAAAAGACCCTGGAGCCAGCAAACAAAAATCGTGACACCCCTTGTCCACAAGAAACCAAAATACAAAAGAAAGTGAAGCCCCTGGAACCAGCAAAACAAGAATAGTGACACCCGCATCTTTCTAATTCACTCAAGCCAGATCTCTTCTGGCCTCTTGTCCACAATGAGAATTACGAATTCTAATATACCTTGCTAGTAATTTTATGGCCCTGCTGCTAATAAGAGAGGTCATAACTACCATAAGTGCAAATAGAAATGTCTAAAGAAACATGTTGAGGACTTCAAATATCAGTTAGTCTTATGTCATGGAATACATCAAAGAATCTGTCAGAAGTGATTCAACTGAATAAGAAATCCTTCAAGGCATTCCGTTATGGTCATAACACCTAACGACGAGAGATATACTAGTAAATAGATCACTTTATTCTGATCCATCTTGATAGATACAATAACCACAATTAGAAAGAAGTACAGTATAGAGTGCATCTATTCAAATAGCATTAGCCCTTCTACCAACCAATTCAGTTGTATTTCCCTAAGCCTTCAAGTTGGCCAGATATCAATCATAAACCACCTAGTAAAGGAAACTGGTGGCAGAGGTATCCATAGAACCTACTCTGCCTAAGTGAAGTACGTCTGTGAGATCAAGTCATACATTGAGAAGAAAGGACAATCACAGTTGAAAATGAAATGAAACCCGGACACTATAATATCAAGATCCAATGAGCAAAGGGCAGAGAATCTAGAGATTGAGAATATCTTACGTCAAAAATACTGTCATATTCTTCAAGAAGAGTTGTAATGATAGCCTGGGCATTATTGGCTGCATTTGCAGCAGCTAGAAGCTGGGCAGAATTGTCACCATTAGCGTCAAAGTCCTCCTCTAACTCACATTCGCCAGCTAACAAGGGGCGCAGAAGCAAGGGTGCCATGCAAGCAGCAACAGCAGAAGGATTCATCCGATTCTCATGAGCATTAGAAGAGACTGTGTGCATCATCTTCAGAACCCTGTGAAGAACACCAACACAAAGGAGTAAAATTAAAATTAAAATTAGCCACCACAAAGATATTGAGTTGGATACTGTCCAGCTTTGAAGTTTGGATATACTTTTCAACCCCACGGCTAATAAGATCAGTTTTTGATAAGTTTAGACTACTGCAAAAAACCCAGCGTAAAGATAACAGGAGGTAAACATTGGTTTCATTTATACCAATCTTTCACCAGGTTCCAGAAATGTAAACTGCCAGATGCAATTGTCAAATGGCTCATTTGCAGATAATGGAATTGCCCTTATCCCTCAATGGTGAAGCATTGTATGAAGTTTGAACAAGAAGCAAACTGAGACAGCCAATTTTCATATGAAATGACCAGAACTCCGGGGAGATGAAGAAGCTTTAGCTTTGTTTCCGGAATACCACAATCCGAAGATTGAGAGTATTTAGTTGTAGTAAATGGCACTACCAGTCTACCAGATTCACATAGATACAAGCTTAACGGAATCAATTATTGACTTTTTACCCTAATTTTTGCCAGAAATTTAACATAATCAAAAGTATTCTAATACCTATAAGTAGTAGGATTGGCTAGATATATATATTCATGTCTAAAATATACAACATTTATATGCTAATGATCACGAGATAAGTTCAGAAGTATTTATGTCGGTTTACAGAAACGAAATAAATTTGAGATTTTCCAAGTATCAACATATAACAAGGAACTCATCATAGCCAATAAACTATGCAACCTGAAACTGGAGAAGAGAAATGACAGAAAGTTTTACCTTTGTAACAACCTCCGGTTTGGTTCAGGAAATGTTTCTGCAATTACAGAATGCATAGCAGATATCCGAGCTTCCTTACGATCGATTTCTTATACAATAGAGAGAGAAATATCAATAAATGGTGATGCACGTTGGGCAATAATACAATGATTACGTACCAAAATAAATTAAATAGATAAGATGGAAAGTTCAATAACCGATGACAGTGAACAATGGTTGGGCCCCAACGTAAAGAACAGATAAATGACTTAATGGCCCCTGACAGTACAACATTGCATTTGGAAAAAAAGTTTGACTTCTTAAGTAACGCCAAAATGTCCAACTGAGTTTGGATCTGATACCCCAACACAGATGATAGCATATTAAGAGTTATCAGGCTACTTCTATAAAGCTAGATAAGATAAAGAAAAACTCACTATAGGCCTCTAGCAATGCAGCACAGCAAGATGCAGGAACTGGGGAGGAAGGAAGCTCCCTCAAGACATGCTGCAGAGAGAAAGAAAACCGAGGTGAGTACAGAACTCAGCCATTTGTCAGAAAAGTTTCAATTTATCAACTAGTACCTTTACACAATCACCAACAACATGGGCATCCTCATCTGCTTCAAATTCATTTTTACCTAAAAATAGATTGTGATGTACACGAACATTTAGTGTCTCGAAAACAGTTCAAACGGAAACGCAGAAACCCTATGGTTCCAGGAGAAACTTATAGTGAAGTTGATCTCCAGAAAACCAATACCTTGCTCATATTCTTGAACTCTATGATCAACTTCCTCAACATCAGCTGACTGTCTAAGAATCCCCTCCACTTTAATTCCTATGAAAATAAGATCAAATGTCACACAAACAATGTTATACCTAAGACTAAGAAACTGAAGAGCAGTTGAGGTCCCAAGAAATTTACAAAGACCACAAAATGGATGCAAAGATAATAAATATAAATAAACAAGGACATGACATTCTAATGACAAGTACTAACTATAATTCAGTTTTACTACCACCAACCATTGCATCGGAAAGGTCCGAGGTGCAGATTGTGAGTCGAATATTTTCACATATGATGCCAGTAACTATAATTCAGTTTTACTAACTCCCCCCCCCCCCCCCCCCCCCCCACCCCCCCCCCCCCCCCCCCCCCAAAAAAAAAAAAATCCAACCATTTTCACATGTGATGCTAAGCGCCCTATAATGTGCAAATACCTGCAGATTCTGAATCCACATTATTTTGTGCATAGCCTTCACTCCTTTATTTCCCCTCCGATACAGGTTAATATTTGTCCTACTTCGGAAGTCAGCTAGACAAATTGGCAGTATTTTTCCATTATAAAAGTAGCTAGTCACACAGTTAAAGAAAGACAGTCACTAGGAAGCAGAGTATATGCAACTAGACTCACCATACTTCTCAAGAAATTGAAGTGCTTTCTCAAGAAAAGATGGACTCCCATCAATATCTTCTAGAGCAAGCAAAATAGGTCTTCCAACAACTAATGATTTCACAGGACGCTTCTCCCTCCCTGAAAACCAAGGGCAAAATTGTTGGCTAGAGCATATGAAACACCAGGACAGGAATATTCACGAACTGGATATATATATATATATATATATATATATATATATCATTTATAACAGAAGAAGGGATGGGTTTGGAGACTTGTTATGGAGTACGAACATTGATGGAAAGAGCCATCAACAGGATGAGTAGTGTCACTTCGAAAAATCCCGTTATGCCCCATAACAAGAGCAGCACTTGGTGCCTGTGCAAGGGCAAGTTCAAGAGCAGTCTTCCAGTCATACAGATCCTCTGAAGTTTCAGCCTGAAATGTCACAAACAACTTTAGACTAGATAACCATTATAACAGTTAAGGGAATATTGTTTGTGTCCACACAGATAATGAGCAACATTGAAACTGGCCTCAGAGGATAATTCTAGGCTAGGGTCAATTTGAATATGGGACAAGGAAACTAGCACTTACCTTAAGAGTAAAAGCACGCCCATCCCGGCCATCAGGAAACAAAACAGTCAACAACTTTTTATCTTCTCTTACAACCACACTGTCAAAAAAGGAAATCAAATACAAGACCAACAAAGAACTACCACAACAAAGAAGGTAATCAGGCACTACCTCCCAGAATTATTTAAATCTATTCCTCCTAAAGTTAGGTTCACTTCACCGCCTTTTTGAGGTAAGGCACTCTGCATGAAAGAAGAAGAAAAAATATGAGTAACAGCTTTAACAATTTGTTTTCATGCATAATTAACCTGAAGTTTCAGTTAGCAGCAGACTGTGGCACAGACAAACTACCAACACCTCACTAAGAAAATTCAAATATAGTATGCGTGAAAAATAATACAGCTGGAGCATGATCATAAAACTGAGGTAAGATAATCAAATGTCCAATATTGACCAAAATCAATAGCAGTGTTTTCGTCCTTGATAAGTATGAAGAACGAGGGGCAAAGTACCATCCAAAGGATTTATAGCAGGCATCTTTGTGAAGTGGAGAGGATTAACAAAGATAGAACTACAAGTAGAAAAAGTAAAGACACTTAACAAAGATAAACTAACCGGGTCATTCTTAAAGAAGACCAAAGATGTGCGTGTGAGGATAAACCACCGCTTCTTCCATGATTTCCAACCTAGTCCTGCAGGAATTGAATACTAGCTGTCAGCACCGGACAAGACATTCCTTCTCCAACCCAGAAGCGAATGTATACTATATATGCCCTTCTGTTTGGGAAATGAGGAGGGTGAATATTTTGAGAGGGTCAAAGTAGCGATGTAGAGCATTGTTTGAATAGAGAATAAGGAGGGTGAAAGAAAATAATAAGAACAATTAAGTAGAATAAAAATAAATGTAAAAGTCAGATAATAAAGAAGGGACATGAGTTGTAAACTACAGCTCAGTTTCCTATCTTATTAGAGTTTCTATTTCTTCTTTACAGTTTGTTTTACTTCTTAAGAAGGTCCTGATATTGTTATTTCTATAGATGATATTTGCTTCGAAGTTCAAACCTCCTTGTGGTGAATGTTATTGTCCCTAAATTACTATTAGGGCAACACAACCAATTAGGATGTCCTACTATTTGTGAGGTATTATCATGGAAGTAGTAGTACATGGGAAGTTGGTTTATTATTACCAACTGTTCCTAGAAAATGATTGTTTCCCGGATTGCGTCTATGTTGTACCTTGGTTTTTGGGTGCATACATAAATTTGCAAATTTTGACAAATGGAATTGTACTACAAATTTACATTCATCTTTCACTGAATAATGATAATAATACTCTTATAAAAGCTTATGTAAATGTTTACAAACCCTTTGATTTACGGATTAAAAATGGCAATTAACAAATTTACAAACATGTGACATTCCATACCACACAAAATCTGGGCTGTACAGTAAACCTGTTCTTATAACTTATATATACAATGCAACATACAATTAGTGAAACAAGCAGAGTTTTGGATTCAAGTCCGAGGACAGTTATCTCTCTTCTATGATTTCTCTGGCCTCAAATAAGTCATTCAATGGGTGAGTTTAAGAAAGGAAATCTGGAGGATTTGCAGGTGAATAAAATTGCAACAAAATTCCAACATAAAACTCATAACAAGCCTCCTCTTACTATTGTTGAGCTAACCAAATGAGAGAAGGTCGTGATGATATGAGGTTTCCCTCCACCCTCTTTAAATATTATTGTACATTAAGGACTAATCTCAGATCCTCGAGCTCCAGAGGCCCCCTACCCCCTTCCACACCAAACAGAAGGATATGCCACCCAGAAATCATTGGAAACTGGATCAAACAAGTTCATATCACAAGAATCAAGCAAAGTATGATAGATATAAGGGTGTGCGACTTAACATGAACTCAACTGGACTAGTAGTGATTGTGTTTTCCTTTCAAACAAACGAGTGAGACATCAAATTGATAGGGTTCAAGTTGATGGTTCTACAACTGTACAGATAAGTTTGAGGAAATTTCTACTCAGTCATTACTGCTTCCAATCCAGCTCACTGTTCCATCTTGTGCTTTAAGCAGATGTGAAATGTTCAGATAAAGAAACTAGCAAAGTAGTCTTCCACACAACTGCTGAATTCTAGAACACTGACCAGGAAAGAGTTAATTGAGAATCAATTGGTAACAAGGAAGAGCTGCCACCAACCTTTAGAAGATATGAACAGAGGTCCACTTTTAAAAACCTGTCACAGAATTGGCCGAATTAGAATGTATAAATGTTGGCCATGGGTAAACAAACATAAATTGAAATCAAATGGCACTAACAATGCATTTGATCATAACAATTGACAAATGAAACTCAATTAACTATTTCTTCTTTAAATTTGAAAAGTTAAATATCCTGTTGTTTAAGCCAATTGTAAACATATAGAGTTCGAACTTTCATCAAGGATCAAATGCAAACATAGCGTCCTCCTATTGCACGGAAGACAGGAAGGATAAAGTTACAAGTAATTCATTGCACGGTCACGTAATGATTTATGCACCTACATCTTCCAATAAGTCTCAAGGACATTACTCATTAGTAGCCACTCAGGTCCCCATTCTCTTCAAATGTGAACAAAACCAACGCATAGCATCAGAAGGCACCTCATATTATGTTGACTTTGTTTTTCAGACTGATTCATTCAGTAAACAATCGGAGCTTAACCACTCTGTTACGATAAGCAAGAGAATGCCCCCTCATTCATGCAATGAACAGAACATCCTTTCATAAGCTCAAAGTTCAGACGAACACTGGGCCTAAAAAAAGTTGCCATAAATTTTAATCCAATCCAGAATCATCCAACAAAACCATCCTAAAAATAGAGCAATCTACCAATTGACGTGTAATTCCGAAAGCCACAAAAAGAATGTCAGGTCTTTACAATGTCCATTGGCATCTTCGATTTCTTTCTATCATGCAAATCGTAAAAGGAAAAAAGTTAAAAGGAAAATGCCATCCACGCAGTGATTTAATTCCAACACTCAAACCCTAGAAATGATGCATAAATCCTACGCATTGCAGTTGGTAAACATCATCATGATCAAGATCCAACTACATTCAACCCTAATTCCACACACTGTCCGGTCAAATTACCAAGAGAGCCGAAAGAAGGGGAAAGAAAATGCAGTACCGTGTTGGAAGTAGCAGGTCTAGGACGCTCAACAAAAACAGCTGAAGAAGCCGACATTGACACAGCTTCGGAGGTGGATCGACGACGCCGCCACCGGACATTCCCGTGTTCAACTCCTCCGACCCGAGCGGCCCATTGCTGCCCGACTCGGCCGGGCGGCGGACCAAGTAGATCGGGATCTCTACACTCCACCCGAACCACACTGATCCGAATCGAATGTCCTCAATGAAAGCAAACCACAATCAAGCAAGTGACGATAAGGATTCCTTTTCCTTCTTTAACTCCCTCTCTGCCTTCCCTTTCGCTAGGGTTTTCGAACCGCAACAAAAGGAAAGACAATAATTCCCCCCAAGCTCTACGCTTCTTTCTACTCCCATATGCGAGCCAAAACTGCAGTTTCCCTACGGAGGAGCCCTAAAACTTTCTCGTGGTAGTTTCTCTGGTGATGATGGATGGATTAGGTGGAGGGGATGGAGTAGTGGTTGTCTGTCTCTCAATAGTATAATACTCTCTCTCTCTACACGCTTTCTCTCTGTTGGTCGTCAGTTTGCGGGAGAAGGAAAGTGAGAAAGTGGGAGGGAGAGACTTTGCTTTCCACCTACTTCTCTCTCACCTTGATAGCAATGGCTCGCTCGCAGGCAGTAATTAGAAAATTTTGGAAAAAGAAAAGGGAGGAAGAAGAAGAACAGAGAGAGAGGCTTGTGATGGAAACTAATGTTAGCGAGGTCTGATCGGCTGCGGTCAGTCCCAGTCAAGTCCGAGTCTTGTTGGCATCAAAGGTCTGCCACGTGTACGGGGGCAGGGCATCTTTTTCGTATTTGGGCTGGTTTGCCAGCGATAGTTTTTTGGCGGGATTTTATTTTCGTCTGCCTCCCATTAAATCTGGAACTTGGACCACCCCTTGTATTCCAATTGCAACTTGAAATGTAGGGTTCAGCACATTAGTAGAGGTCGAGATTGTCAGAATAAACCCTGCTCGTATGTTTTGGTAATATATATATTTTTTTATGGTCGGGGTGTAGTGGTGTACAGTAACTGGTAATATATAGTTGTTTTTGCGTAAAATATGGATATCTTGATGCCACTTGATGGATTAGTTTACGAAATGTGTGTGATTATGTTGAAATGCATTAGTATGCAGTATTAATGCATCTGCTCGAGCTAGGTGCTTCTAATTGATAAAACATATTAAAGCTTTTAACAACTAGGACATATGACTTAAATCATTTTTTTGTAAACAAAAAATGTACATGACACTTTGTCATTTTTTTGATGAATTTGATGGATCACCACCTATTATTCACCCTTCAATATTACACGAGGCAACCTTCCGCAAAAACAAAGGATAGAGCATCTCTAGCAGCTGCGCAAAGGTAGGGATCAGTCACACCGTGATCAAGAGACCCATACCCTAACAAGACTTGCTCGTCCGTGCCATGGACAACTAGGCAAGTCGACTATCCAGAGTCTCGCACAACAACATTAAATTTATCTTCAGGAAATATGTAACATCCCGTTCCTGCAAAATTCATATTTCGATCGCTAAAAAATTTCACGATTTAAAATCGGGTATTTTGATAGTATTTTGACGAAAATCGAAATATCGATCGATAAGATAAATATCAATTATGTTATAATTATACTTAAAATAATAATAATAACAATTATTATTATATATATACATACACACCTGTTACACGTAGGTGATGTGTGTGCTGTAAGTGTAGGGAAATGTAACAAAAATAAATAGAAATTGATGGAAAGTAAGGCGGTTGGGGTCCTCTTTATTTTAACCATCCCAATCTTATTCCTCGGTACATTATTCTCATTTCCTTTCCCCATTTTCGGACCGAGGGAAGCAAGCGCACACAGGGGACGTTCTACAGGAAATAGGGAACCATGATTTTAGGGTTCTAGCCGTCCAAAATTCTCATAATCGGTATGTAATCCTTCTATATATATTGGCTCATGGATTTCCTGGCTTATAGCAAAGTTTTGGATTAGCAATTTATTGAATTAGGGTTTCGAAGGTTCCGGAAGTCGGATTGAGCCCAAATTTTATATACGAGCTTCATGCAGCGAGGTAATTAATCATGTAGTTCTAATTCATAAATTTCGGCTATTATTTAGGTCGGAGCCTAGAACTAACATTGACGGGGACACTGCAGGGGATATTAGGACAATTTCGGATTTTGATTCTGAGTTTGTTTGAGAAAAGTGAAGTTTTAGTACGAGAAGCTAAAACCGGTGTTTGAACGACTAGAACTGGTGAGGGATTAGCACGACATACCGGGTTTGTCGTATCACGATAATTATATTGATGCTTAGAATTGACTTAGGTGAATTAGAATGACATGATTAGGGGTGTATAGACTTTTATGCTATATGATGAACCATGGATTGTTGTATGATATTATTGACTTGCCCTAGCCGATATGGACCTTGTTTATGTTGATGATTGCATACATGTTGCCATTTGTGGCTTAACCGTTGATATGACTTCATGGCAGTTCGATCAGGTGTTTTGACATGATGTGATATTGTGGTTGTTTTTGGATTCACAAGTGGGGGAAATAAACTTCCCAGGGTGATATTATGATGTTTAAGGAGGATGACTTGCACGAGGGTTTATCCCAAGGAAGTGCAATTATACGACTCCTGGTTTACCTATGTTGAGCCAATTATGGCCAGGTCAAGTACATGTGCAAGTAATGAATTATTATTAAGTAAGATAGATATGAATCATGTATAAGGATACAAAATATGATTGTTGTGGTCTCACGGTCAACTACATAGTAATTAGGGCTCCATATGCTATTACTCTATTATAATATGTATGATAGTCACGCCTCTCATGTGGTGGTGACTGAAGAATTCTTACGAGATATGACCACACCCAAAGTTGTGTCGGGGTATGACTACTCCTATAGTGGTGTGGGGTATGTATGACCACATCCGACGGGGTGTTGGGGTATGTATAACTACATCCGACGGGATGTGGGGTATGTTTCCCGAGAGAGTTATTAGCATGGGAGTAGCCAGGCGCCTATAAGTAAAACATGATAAGATGCATATGCATAAGTCAAGATGGTTGAGTCTTTTGCCTATTGGGATGTCGGATGGCCGAGGTCTGATCCTAGTGCTTTGGCTTGTTTGCTAGATGTATGGTAGGGGTATGCTCTGTTATGAACTCACGAGGCAATGATTGTCTCACTCAGCCATGAGCTGACCCTCTTTTATTCTTCTTCTCTGCTTATGCTATGTGTAAGCAGATCATCAGCAGCAGCAGTAGATAAGTGTTAGGTGGGAGAGGAGCTAGAGTTGAAGCCAATATGAGGTATGGTCTTCAACTATTCTGTGCTTGGACGACTACTTGGGATTTTGGCCAGTGATCCACACATTTTTGTAAAAAAAATGTTTTGAGAACGTTTTTCATGTGCATACTAGCTTCTGATGTAGTGTGAGATATCCACAGGTGTGGAAAGTTGATGATATGTGTATATGTTGTGCAACTGTGTAAGTTGTGACGATTATGTTATGTATAAGTATGGTATGCAGTTGTGAAGTATGAAAAGTGTGACTATGGCTACGAAAGCCAATGTACATGGTTGTGAGTATATATGTATGTCTACGAATGCAGGGATTCAAATAAATTATTTTGCAGGTCTAGTTGCAAGAACTGCTAGCCCATTACGCGAGTAATTCATGTCGAAATTTTTTGGTTGATTTTTTGGTAATTAATGTAACACCAATTTTAAATTTCGCTGCAATTGTGTGATAAATATGATCAGGCAAAACATATAGGGTAGGGTGTTACAAAATCTCAAAGAGTGGGCACCTTGCGGGGAAGGAGTTGGATGATGAAGGAGAGGTAAAGAGACAAGGAAAGAAGATAGCCAACAACAACTTCATGGACTTGATAAGAAAACTAACAAGCAAGAGAATGAGCATGTGGTTGAGTATGCTAAAAAATCATTTTATTTTCAGATTTTTTATTGTCCACAATAAGAAAACACACTATAGAATATAAGTTTGAGGCTCCTCCGATAGCATATCGCTACACCACCATAAACTAAAGTTGATCGTTGGGGACCAAACAAGTACATCGCTTAAACCCAGGGAATATCATAATTGAACGGACGTAGGGCATCTGAAGAACAAGTGCTCTCGGTAATCTATCAATGTCTCCATTGATTAATAGTGTATCCCTTAAGACCAAAGGGCAACCATACTAGGCAAAATCACCTTAAGACATTGTCATTTGAAGAATTGGGGCTTTGTGGGATTTGTACTCCACATATTTTTCTCCAAAGTGGAGGGTCAACAATAGGTGCTAAAGATTTTCTGTCTACTGCCCAATGTTGATTCCAACGCGGGATGATACCCAAATTTTCATTGTGTAACTACTATTCTTAGTGAATGCTATTTTGTGATGTATTTATGATGAAATCATGGTAGTGGTGTTGAGCAGATACGAGCCATAACTTATCATTATGAATAATGGAGGTCCCTAGTTCGAATCCTACTTATTAGGATTATGCAACTCAAGCTATCACACGTACAATGATGGAGAGGACTCCTTTCAAAGGATATATGGAACCAAAATTTAGAAGAGAAAATATAGGTGGCACATTAAGGTTTATTCAGATCTTATGTGTTTAGCTCGTATATCACATTAATGCATGACCGTCAAATTCAGAGAGTTGGGCAGTGACAAGGTACCACGATCTTCTCTCCCTTAGCCAATAGTGGTAGATTGGTAGTTAAATCCAACAATGAATGTAACTTATGCTTATCTATTGCGTGGAGCACCTATTTTGTACGATTTATTGGACGCTTGTTATGCGTGGATACATTAAACACTTGTATCTAACATTTTAAGTTTTGTTTGGGCTATACATACTTTAGGAGTTGAAAGCATATCCTGCCCGATAAGTAGATCATATCAATGAGGTTATAAGGTTAAAAAATTCAATCTATATTACCTTTCATTCGCTTATATGGGCCATACAACCCTTCGAAAAAGGCAAAGGGCTCTGTAACGATACCTCAATTGAACCACATGCATTGCTTGTCGCTAGGAGAGCGAAGTTATCTAACATCACATCACATGAAGTTGGGCAAGACCAATCTTATTAACAGACACATCCTTACTATTCTTAACAAACATGTTATTATTTATCCATTTATAGTTCAGATATTCAAAGTTACAATGTGATTTCATTATAAAACAGGACCAAACCAATTATGTTTCGTGAACACGTATTAAATGACTCATCATTATGTATGCTACAAATGAATACTTCCCCTTAAAATTGACTTTCGCGGGAATTCCTCCTTTTACCTCACGGTCACGACATAACGTGTCACTTAGATTAATAATATTGAGATTAATTAACATAAGAAACGCAAAGAGGAAAATCGAATTTCAAAATACATTACATAACACATAAATCATCAATCAAATCCATTTTTACTATAAACTAGCATTGTGCCCGGCCCTTGGCCGGGATTAATATGAATTTGTTATTATTATATTGTTCATTTGCTATTTTTTATCATATATCTTGTCAGTTTGTTGTGTTATTTATTGCCAACTGAAACACCATTTGAGTGTGCAATTTAGTGGTGAAGTTTTGAAACATATTAGTAGTATGGTAAGAGTCTAATGATAGAAAGCTTCGTGTTTGAAGAATTTGGCAATAGTTTTCATTTTTCTTTGTAATGGAGAAGGACTTGACAATTTTGATCGTGCCATTTGAAGAGGACCAAAGTACTTTATGTGTTTTTTCTATCTGTTGCTGTAACTTGAGATAAAGTTGTACCCAATAGTTTTACATGCTTGGACCGGACATTCTACTACCGGTTCCATTTTTACAGCCTTCAATACAAACGATGATATGGTGTTAACATTTCATTGTTCAAGCTAGTTTGAGGGGCTTTTGTTGTTGTTGTTATCGCCTTGTGGATCCCTTATCGTCCTGCAAATAAATTCTCAAGTTGGAAGTAATATATGGTCAATTGATGTCTTGCTTATTTGTAATTACATTGCTGCTACTTATTTGGCATTTCAATTTTCTGTACTAGTTGGGATTAATGACAACTAATAATGTATGTTATGGCTCACGTTTCTTTGGGTGGAAGTAATAGTTGTTGATGAAGAATAGCGTCATGAAGCTGCACTTTGATATTGCCAAAGTGAATTGCAGAAAAAAGGCACTCAATCACCCCAGTGCTTTACTGTAGGGAACCAACAATGGGAAGAGAGTAGGAGGAAGACATTTTATAGCACTGTAATTGTTTTCCAGTGCCTTGAGAATAGAGTTGCTTGAGATTTTGAAGCACTTGACAATTGTTTTCTAGTGCCTTGAGAATAGAGTTGCTCAACAGATAAATGAACACTACAGATGCAGAAAGATGCTGCAACTCATATAGAGACTTGAACTTAGTTTGAGTTTTGACAGCACAACAATGTTGGTAGTTTTTTCGTGGGCATTTGCATAGACCATTGCTCTCTTCCTTTCCGGTCTATTTAGTGGTGCAGAGATGAACATGCCTGCAAATTGACACCCTAACTGTAACATAAACTTGGATATTGGTTCCAATATGTAAAATAGAGGAAATTGCATGTACAACTACGTTAACAATCAAAGCCAAACAACAACAGTACTGCTGCAATTAATGAGCAGCAACATCATAAGAGAAAGTTAAAACAATATGAGAAACGACTTTGTCCTCCATAATAAACAACTGTTGTGATTAGAGCAAAGAAAAACAAATAGCAGGAAGGAACAAACAACCTTATCTGTTGAGTGAAGCAACATGTGTAAAGCAGGTACGCAGTATATCCAATGTGGATACCTGGAAGATGGGATTCAACAAAATTATACAATATATGTCTAGAGAGAAAATGAGGAGGAAGACAGTTATTACCTCCAGTTTGCTGTTGCTTGGGGGTTTGTCAAGGACGCTGGTGTATTGCTTGAATGGCGTAATTATTTTTTCACTCTTCCAACTTTTGAGGATTAGTCGATCTCTTCCCCTAATTTTGGATCTATCATATCAGGGCTGCTACAGTTCAATCCTCAATTGGCTTAAAATCTAAACATAAAGGAACAAAGTACGGGAAACACGGGATAATGGGAGCAAGAAGAAGAAGAACATACGTTTCCCAAGTTTGAAAGGCGGCCTCCAATTGGCCTGAGACCGTCGAATGGCCTCACAAAATTTGGATTAAGAAGCAGGAAGCGACGGCGAGGTCGCGGGAAAGCGGCGAACACTATCACTGAGTATTTGGAGCGATGAAATATCCAACCATATATGTGATGCATACGCTAAATGGTCTTCAAAACTTGGGTGAGCCCGAATTGTATGTGGCCGGCGGGGAGGAGTCGTCACTGGATTGTGGAACAGTTGGGCAAAATTTAGTCTGAAAGGTTAGGGTAAGCCATGGTTCACGGGGCTGAGATAAACCAATCCACACAAGGATAAACGTAATCAGAAGAACCGGAGATGTAACTGTCCAATGGTGGAGAGAAGACGTCTGCAGAAATGGGGAGGCAGATCCCGTTCAAGGATTGGGAGAAAGTAAGAAGCGGTTGGTGCGAAAGAAATCGGGACAGGGATAAAGATTGAAGCGGTTTTTTGCCAGAGAAGGAATTTCGATGGGAGGAGAGACAAAGTGATGACGTGGAATCACGGATGGAAAGAGATTTTGAATTCCTAAACGGCAGTTTGGGAAAACGCTTAAAGGTATTTTTAGATTTTAGATTTTAGATTTTAGATTTTAGATTCACGCCTCAATAATGGTTACGGACGAAAATGTTCACCTGTTGCCTGTTGGAGTGAAGGCGGACAAAATGTCCAATGTAAGATATAGGATACTTGTTTGTCAAGAATTATAATACAGAGATATTTTTGTTAAAATATCATAATATAGGGACTAAGAGTGTCATGAATGGGAAAAAGAAAATTCGTCGACTGCCGCCGCGCTCAATTTGCTGAAGCGCATTGGATCCCTTCGTGAAACGGATCAAAGAGGGAACTCTCCACTCCTCCCAGTTTCTCTAAACCCCTTTCCGTTCTTCTCTCGAAACCGGAGTCAAAAGGCACCGGAATTCAGTTGAACAATGAACAAAAGCGGTCCATCCATCTCAATGACTTGCAACTGCTTCCGTTCCCGGGGGCAGCGGCCGCAGTTCAAGTTCTTCTCCTCCATCTCCGACTTAGAAACCCAGCTGAGATTCCTCTGCGAGAAACCCAATAATCGTTTCACTCAAGCAGTTTCACTGTTTCACGACTCCTTCAATTCTACTTCGCATTTGCCCTCTCCTTCAAGTTGCAATTATCTTCTTTTGTCACTGGTAAGGTCCAAAAACTACGACTTAGCCTTTTCAGTATATGGGAAGATGACCCTCGTTGGTATCCTGCCTGACTTCATGTCACTAAGCGGTTTGATTGATTGTTTTGTTCATACCCGTCGGCCAGAATTCGGGTTTGGGGTGCTTTCATCTATACTAAAGCGTGGATTTAGTCCGAACGTGTATATTATGAATCTCATGCTGAAGGGTTTATGTAGAAAAAGTGAAGTTGGTAAGGCTATGGGTTTGTTGAGTAACATGAGAAGAGTTAATCTTTCTCCTGATGCTGTTAGTTACAACACAGTCGTAAGTGGTCTTTGTAAGGAGAATCAACTAGAAAGCGCAGTGAATTTGTTAGCAGAAATGGAGGGCGCAAATTGCGAGGCAAATTCCTTCACATACGCAACTCTGATGGACAGTCTTTGTAAAGATGGTAAAGTGGAGGAGGCTTTGTCATTGTTGGAGGAGATGAAGAAGAAGGGTTTAGATGCAGATGTTGTTGTTTATGGTACAATCATAAATGGGTTTTGTAGAAGAGGATCGTACAATGAAGGAAAGGCTGTGTTTGATGAGATGCTGCAGAGAGGCATTCTTCCAAATGTAGTTGTATATAGTTGTTTGCTAAATGGCCTTTGTAAGATGGGGCAGTGGGAGGAAGCTGTGACTATGTTAAACACTATGTCGGAAAGGGGCATTGATCCTGATATTGTTACACACACATGTCTGATGGATGGGCTATGCAAAGATGGAAAATCTAAGAAGGCGGTAGAATTATTTCATCGAGTCATAGCAGGCAATGCAAAGCCTACTACTGTAATGTATAATGTTCTAATTAATGGACTGTGCAAAGATGGTCTTGTCGCTGATGCTTTCAAGATAATGGAAATGATGTTGGAGAAGGGGAGGAAACCTGATGTGGTGTCTTACAATTCATTGCTAATGGGACTTAGCAATGATGGTCAGGTTGACGAGGCACTAAAATTCTTCTTTTCTGTCCTGAAGGATGGTGATCACATAGAACCAGATGTGTTCACATTTAACATCCTAATCCAGGGGCTATGCAAGGAAGGTCGCCTTGATGAAGCTATGGAAATATTTGATATGATGATTGATCGTGGGAGTTGTGGTAATTTGATTACTTACAATGTCTTGATTGGGGAGCATCTGAAGGCAGGTTCAATTGACAAAGCTATGCAATTCTGGAAAGAGGTTCTCAAACTGGGGCTCGTTCCCAATTCAATAACGTACAGTCTCATGATTGCTGGATATTGTAAGATACAGATGCTGAGTTTAGCAAAAGGACTTTTTACTAAAATGAGAATGTGCAGGCTTATCCCTACATTGTCCGACTACAATGTACTAATATCATCACTTTGCAAGGAAAGCAGCGTGGAGCAGGCAATGAGGTTGTTTCAAGAGATGAGAGATTGTCACCATATTCCTGACGTGATTTCCTTCAATACAATGATTGATGGGGTACTAAAAGCTGGAAATATACAGTATGCCAAAAAGTTGCTCGATGACATGGTTCAATTGGGCCTTGCTCCAGATGCTTTTACTTATGCCGTGTTGATCAATAGATTATCGAAACTTGGACAAGTGGACGAGGCTAGAAGCATCTTTGAGAGAATGCTTTCCTCGGGAATCAAACCAGATGTCCATGTATATGATTCTTTATTGAAAGGAGTCCTTTTGAAAGGTGAAGCTGAAGACATCATAAAGCTGCTACATAAAATGGCAGAGCAGGGTGTTGTTCTTGACTCAAGGATATTCAACACAATCTTGATATGTCTGTGTGACAGCCCTGCTGATTACAATATTGCAGAGATCTTGCCAGAATTTCGTCATGAGATATCGGAAGGAAAGAACTTCTCATGTGATGATGTGTTGGCGAAATTGCAAGAGGCTATTCCTAAATTCAAGGCACTTGCTGCTTGATGATCTCATCTCCTCCTTGCAAGAAATGCTGGTTCAGAAATTCTGTGGAGTGTCTCAACAGGTGAAAATAATTGAATAGATTTTATCAATTCGTCTGTAAGTTGTGGTGACTGACGTTTCTAGGATAGATACAAGTCTTCAGGGTCTTTTTTTGTTATTGTGCTACCAACCTTTCTTTTGCTTAATACTTCGGAGGCAAAGAGAAATTTATTAGTTTCGAAGGGCTTCATGTTATATGTAACAAGGGGTGTATATGATCCTTGGGTCACCATTCTTTTTAGCTGCATGGCTTATTAGTATGCTAGGTTTGTATATCCAATGGCCAATGTGTACTTCTTATGGTTTCTTCTACTGCTTTATGCTTATTACTTTGCCTTTTATTAAAGTCGTTAATTTACTTTCTGTAAACATATCATCTTTACTGTTTACATTCCTACCATTTATCGCTACTGGCAAGAGGTCCTGTTGTCAAATGTTGGGTCTTCGGATGCTAGAATCATATGCTAGGTTCAGCTAAATCTTGTGTTTTAGGTGGCTCAAATTGCAAGAAGAAACACAAGTAATGGCTTCTATCAAATTTCTTGTTCTGGTTTCATGTAGCTTTTCAAATTTCTTGGTTGGAGGAGCCTCATTTGTAGTGTACTGCAGTCTTCCTCCTTCCCTACGTCATTCCTTTTTTGTGGCCACCAGAATGATTTCTGTGGTAAAAAAAGGAGAGAAAGAGAACAATCTTCTGTTGCTTTTCTCTTGTTGCATCCGTTGGATGATTTTCTTGCTGAGATCTTGGATTAGTATGTTATTTCTGAAAATGTGGACTGTGTACACTAACGGAACCTCTTCTGAATTTCAGCTGCAACCATATCATAAGATTTATGCAGAGTCTTCTCTGAACTGGGGTTGAAGTTCAACAGTTCCCACTATCCCCTCACAAGTTACAGTGTACGCACAGCTGTGTGTTTTCCTCATCAGACTGAATATGTGAATTGGATTTCTGATCACTTTATGATTTTGTTCTAACATTTGCAGCCTTTCCCATCCATCATCCACCTGCCGGGGCTGTCACCTTTTGCAACCAGCCACCAGCACTTCCCTATGGTCTCCGCCTCATGCAGGATCAGTGACCAGCAACTCCGATGGCTCTATTCACTGGTCGGGATGTGCATCTCCCGGGTCTATCATTCGGGTATGAACTAGGTGCTCCTCTTTAGACCTCAGGAGGCAAGTATGTATGATGATGTTGACCATCCCTCTTTGACAAAATTACTTGCCACAGTGATGTGCTGCACCTTCATCATCAGGCAGTGAGATTCCTGGGTGGTGATCGCTCTGCAATACATCCGATTCTGCAATGCTGATGTACTGTTAGAAATTAAGCTCTCAGGATCTTCATTGGTCCCTTTTTGTAAGTTGTAACTGCCGAATTTGTGGGTTGTTTTGACGTACATTGCATTATGGTGATGCAAATGCATTGGGCAGAGGACCTACTTTGTGAATTTACAGAGAATTTTCAGAATGAGAAATTTAAGATAAAAATGGGTACCATTTCGCAAGAAATCCGCTTTCGCTCTTCTGACCTTGGAGTACCACAATCCCACATCAAAGCGCATCCAATAGAGAGACGCCACGACAGAGAGACGTGGCATTTATCTTTACGATAGAGACGTGGCGTTTTGCTTCCAGTCATCGAAGGATGATCGAGCGGCGGAGGGTCCAGGCCCTTCTTTCGATAGAATGATGAGGAAAAGCTTCCATTTTTTCCCTTTTTTTTTAATGGGAAAAAATAAGCCTTCTTCTTCAATCTTTAATCCCGCCCACAAAAGCCACAATAAATAAATACGCGAAAAGATTAGACACACCACCGGCCAACGACGACGAAGAACGATCAGCCGGAGAGAGACCCCACCGCTTTCCACACTCGAGAAACAGGATGCTGTTTCTCGATTCTCGATAGGGAAAATGATGAAAGGAGCTCCTCCTCCGGCCCGGCAGAATTCCACTTTCCCCTCCGGCGAACCACCGCTTCGGTACGTTTTCTCTCTCTCTCCCTCCCTCCCTGTCTGTATGGTTGTTCGTCGGGAACCCGGAACGCAATTCCGGCGTTGTTTGCTTCTTTTGTTTGTCAGGATTCGTTTCAATTCCCTTTTTATTCCGTAATTAGAACTTTGCCGGTGGTTTCCTTGATGGGTCTCGCTGATTTTCGGACTCTGATCTCTCTTCCGGCACCGATACTCTTCTCGGGAAATCATTGCAATCTTGGACACGGTCGTCTTTCATTTCGCAAAGAATCTGGAAACCACTCTGCTTAGGTTCAGATTTGATTGTGCGTGTGTGTGTGTGTGTGACTTAAGCCCCTCTTTGTTTGGTTCATGTGACAGATTTCCCCTTGGATTGGTGCTGTTGATATCTTGAGCTTCTCTTCTCATCAATCTTTTGTGTTGCTCTTGAGGATTCTATTTCTGACATCCCACTTTCTTTTTACAGAATGCATTCAAAAGAGCTCACTGAAACAAGGATTGAAGCAACCAATGTTTATGTGTCACCCAATTATGTGACACAGCAGCAAAAGAGCCAGCATGGTTCTGGTGGGTTTGGGTCGGGTTTCAAGCTATGGGGATGGTCACTCTTTTCGATCATCCCGTGGGCAATCGCCTCAAATATCAAGATGGAAAGACCAACCACCATAAACAGGAAGTTGAAGAGGCGGACTCAGTATGCTCAAGTTGTGGAGGGTGGTGGTGCTGGTGGTATTAGGGGTAACCCTTTGCGGTTCAGGCCTTATGTGTCTAAAGTTCCATGGCATACTGGCCCTAGAGCCTTCCTCTCTCAGCTGTTCCCTCGTTATGGACACTACTGTGGGCCAAACTGGTCTAGTGGGAAGGATCAGGGTTCTCTCCTGTGGGACAAGCGGCCGATCGATTGGTTGGATTACTGCTGCTACTGCCATGATATGGGGTACGACACTCATGATCAAGCTGAGCTGTTGAAAGCGGACCTAAAGTTTCTTGATTGTTTGGAGAGGCCAAATATGGTGAACAGAGGTGATTCTCATGTTGCACACATATACAGAACCATGTCCATCGCAGGTACACCAAATGTTTTATTGATTGCTGTTGTAAAATTGCTAGTAGTAATGATGCTGAAGTTACTTAACCCTTCTTTTCTTACACTGGAATATGCTTCTGTTGTCACATCACATCTTCCTTTTCTTTTGGTGGAAAGTTACATCTTCCTTTTGGCCAACTGTGATGCGTCGCAGGTCTGAAGAATATACTTGTACCGTACAGAACACACCTCGTGAAGTTACAATCTGGGGTTCCTCTGATAAATTTTGGATGGCTGAGCAATGTGAACTTTAGAGGCTGGAAATTCAGCAGAATACAAGGTAGCCAGCAGTAGAACCCGATGTTTTTATCTCTACTGCGAATAAGATGGAGGAGAGATGAATGCAGCAAACCCTTTGGCGTTCCACGTTTCAGCATCTTTAGTAGAGCTTTTATGTAAATAAAATTAGTGTGTAGATCTTGGTTGCCTGATGACACATTTGTGGGAGTTGTATAACGTATGACCTTAAAAGAAAGCCTGCAAAAATGAAAAAAAGTAGCGTACATTCTAATGATCTAGAGTTTGAAGCCTTGTAGCTCAACAAAGCATCTGCATCTGTTGCCATCCTTTTCTCCATGGTTAGAAGTTGGGAGGGTAGTATAAGATTGTTCATCAGGATTTGTTGCAGGGTTGCACTTTGACAGGGAGAAAGGTGATGCAGTGACGCTGATGAGGATGGTTAATGAAAAAGAGCCTGTTTCCGTTTCAGCTCTGTTGAACTGTTATTCAGTGTAGTGGGCGGAACGTGCTTTCTACTTTCTATTCATCACCTCTAACCCAGAAGAGCTTTCACCAGAGTCGGACAATCAGAGCATGCACTTGATGGAACTCTGCCGATTTCAGTACATTGTGTGCTTTGAAGGAGACCTCGAGCCTCCACTCAATCAAAAAGCAGCAAATGAGAGCTTGAACTTTGTGATCACAAACCTAACATCGCGTACAATGGTAACCAGAATGGTTGGGTTCAAAATGATCCATATTTGAAGATCATGATGTTATCCGTACGACGGTTTTTGAAGCGACGAATAATTTGTTGAACTATCATGATATTATCTTGAATCATGCAACTCCTTCATCATCCTTCATAATAAAAGTAGTTTGAAGTTTGAAGATCTTTCCAAATTCACTGTTTCAACAGGTCGCATGATTCTAATATGAACATGATTTCATAGCTAAAACACATGTTTTTTTAAACCGAAATTAATTAATATATGATGAAAAAATCAACCTTTAAATCAGAGCAACACGTACCACTTCATCTCTTCGAAATAACACACATGCTAAAAATAGTCCAAAAATTCATCTCGCGTAACTAATCACAAAACGAATTTTAAAGAGTGAAATGTGGACTTAGTGCTTCATACTCCTAACATTTTTCTGGGTAGTTGTTACGATAACGAAATCATTTGATGGGCGGGCCGAGACGAGTACCTCAATATTCATGTCTCGTCCCACTCTATTATGGGTCGGGTGGGTAAAACCCGTGCGGGTACGGGGCGAGGAGGGCCAACCCACTTTTACATGTTATTTGAAAAAAATAAACGGAAAATTTTCTTTTTACGATAACACGAAGGGGAAAACACTTTATGAATAAAAATAGTGTTAATATAATGGGTAATTGAGTCTAACAAGTTGAAAGATCGACTCTAGCTAGTTGACAAAAGTCAAAATAGGAAAAATATGTATAGATACCACAAGAAAATTAAGATAAAATGGACCAAGAACAGGGCAGAACAAGCCAGAAGTAGATACCAATATCCTACCATACGCTACTGCGGATAAGATAATACCCGTCCCATCGCAAATTAGGTCGGATAATACCAGCAGGCGGGTTGAAATTGCCATGGAATAACATATATAAGATTTATAATAGGAGATAAAAGATAAATCTCCAATGGGGAAAAAGGGTGTAAATGAATTAAATGTGTAGTTGGAGGGCCAAAATGAGAGGCAGATGTAAATAAGCAGACGGCGTCGTTTTCCAGAAAAGCGGGGCCGCCGCATGGGCCTGGTTTGGTGGCTTGGTGAGGAAGGCGGAGGGGATTAGGAAAATAGGAAGAAATCTCATTGAATGTGTTGATAACACAATCACATATATTTTTTCCTCGGTCTTCCGCTTTCTCTCTCTCCCTATTTTTTTCCTTTTCATCGCTCGGCTTCTCTCTCTATTTTCCCTTCTACGAAACCGACGGACTAACCCTAAGTTTGCCTTCTTCTCCCCCCTTCACGATGGTTTGATCTGCTCGGAATAGATCGCTCTTGGCTCTGGTTACCGTCGTTAGGTGCGTTCTCTTACTCTTCGTCCCTTATTATCCCCCTTCGAAGATTTTCTTTTTCTTTCACGAAGTTCTGGCTTGCTGAATTTATCGTTTGGGATAATTGAAAATCTGAGGTCTGCTGATTGATCGATAGTTTTGAGCGGAGTATGTGGTTGGTGAGGCGTTAGCGGATCGGCCGACGTATTGAATGTTTCTGCAGCTGCTCTTTTTTTTTTTTTTTTTTTGGTTTGATGATTGACTTTCTGTTGGGTGCCGTGAATTCGTCTGCGGAGGCGGCTGGGAGGCGCATATATGAGGATGACTTTATTAGAATGAGGATGTTTTAACGTTTCCCCAATTGCTCTTTGTTTGTTCCCTTGGCTTATCTCCCTCTGGGTGGAAATCTGTTCTTTTTGCTCAGTCGTTGACGTGGGAGAAATTGAAAGGTATTCGTAGTCTTCTATGGTGTTTATGGATGGAGATTGGAAGAGTTTGTGGCCTTTCTCCACTTCTCGTTGACAGAAAGGGGTTATTACTAGAAGCTGTGAGTGAATTTGAGTTGTGAATGTGGAATACGGCAGCTGACCCCATTTGCTAGAATTGAGTTGGGTGTACAAGTTTAATGTCGGTGTTATGATTTGGCATTGCTCGGGAGGCAATATCGTCTTTCTGTATTCTCTAGCTGCTTTGATGCCTACACTGAACTCTTGACTTGTGGGTCTTATGAGGTGTGTGAAGTTCTGGTTATGGTTCTGGCAGTTTCGAATACGTTAGCAGGTTGTTATGAATTTAGCACCAATCACATTAAGAGGAAGAATGGGAGAAAAATAAGCTGGTTGGGGGATGTTCAGATGGCATCTAGTTGTGTTGTTGTTTTGATTTGTGCTTTCATTTTTATGGTGATTTGGAGCTGGCATTCCTTGGTCCATTATTTCCTGTGATTTGAAGAAGGGCCAGAACACCTTGTTGTTCACTGCCTAATGTCAATAATGCATGTTTGATTGTTTCAGTGTTATTTCTGATCTGAACCCTGTATGCTGCCTGTTTGTCTTGCTTCATTTATTCCAATTCTGATGACTGGACACTATAGTTAAAGACCTTTCTTGGTAATGTTTCTGGGTTTTCTTCAGATTGAAGGCACATAGAAAGTGGTCAAATATAATTGATGGACAATGATTGTGCAGATGGATAAAATGTCTGCTCCTCCTTCTCGGGATCGTGCTCAACGCCTGTATGAGAAGGTAGACTTGTAGATGTCTTTGTGCATGTTGGTTTTTTCTTTTATATATTATTATTGGTTTGCTTATAAAGTACTTCACATTTTCAGAACGTTGAGTTAGAGAACAAACGAAGGAAGTCAGCTCAGGCACGGGTTCCATCTGATCCCAATGCCTGGCAACAGTTGCGTGAGAACTATGAAGCTATAATTCTTGAGGATCATGGTTTTTCTGAGCAGCACAACATAGAATATACGTTGTGGCAATTGCACTATAGGCGTATTGAGGAACTGAGAGCTCACTATACTGCTGCCCTTAATTCTGCTGGCTCAAACTCATCTCAGGTTCCTGTCCGTCCTGATCGTGTCTCAAAGATACGGTTACAGTTTAAAACATTTCTTTCCGAGGCAACTGGGTTTTATCATGATCTGATTTTGAAAATCAGAGCCAAGTATGGGCTTCCCCTGGGTTTCTTCTCAGATGGCGCGGATGACAGAGTTGCTATGGAGAAAGATGAGAAGAAATCTGCTGATATCAAGAAAGGATTGATTTCCTGCCACCGGTGTTTGATATACCTTGGTGATCTTGCAAGGTACAAAGGACTATATGGAGATGGTGACTCTAAAATACGCGAGTATGCTGCAGCTTCAAGTTACTACTTGCAGGCTGCATCTCTTTTGCCATCAAGTGGCAATCCGCATCACCAGGTTGATATTGGATATGACTACTTTTTGTTAGATATGCTAGATCTATTTTGAGGCATTGATTTTGACGATTGTTGAATATATTGTTCAGCTTGCTATTTTGGCTTCATATTCCGGTGATGAGTTGGGGGCAGTGTACCGTTACTTTAGGAGCCTGGCAGTCGACAATCCTTTTATGACAGCACGAGATAATCTGATTGTTGCTTTTGAGAAGGTATCTTCTTTTTCCTCCGCTGTGGCAGCTATTTTCCTAAACTGTGCTGAAGTTGTGGATAAACATTCTGCTTTAGAGTGTGCAGAAATGATTGGTTTGTGGGTTTTCTTGTGAGATAGGTTATTGCTGTATTACAAGATAGCTGCACCTCTGTTTATTGTTTTAAAGACATCGAGGTCCAGTAGCAGGACATGGTCTTCCCTCGTCTTTTTGGCGGGGAGGATGCTGTAGTTCAGGTTCATGAGGGTTAGAACTAACAGTAACTTGTGGGTTTTGATCTGGCTATAGTTCTTATGTGTATTGAACTGATCTAGGTAATTTGCGGCGCTATACTGTGAGGTTTTGTTGTACGAATTGGCGACAAAGTGAAATATCTTGCCCATCGAAATGTTTCTCGAGCAATATCCAAATTTAGATTTTAAACATGCATGGATCATGCAAAGTCTTTAGGCCTTAGTTAGAAGGGAGTTGGGGTGGGGTGGTGGGTCAGATAAGTTGAGGATATGGGTGATACATTCCCTCCTGACATTTGGTTGTAGTTGCAGCTCTATCAATGCTAGATAATTTTCTTTTCATAACATCTTTTTTCCCTCATCCCTCCAATTTGCTTGAATAATTGTACTTTCTGTCTCTATTGCCAGAACCGTCAGAGTTGCTCTCAGTTGGTTGGTGAGGTCAAAGGTTCTGTAGTTAAGGAGTCACCAGTTCGAGGAAGGGGAAGAGGAAAGGGGGAACCAAAAGGTGGATCTAAAATTCCAAGTGTTGAAGCTGATGGCTCCAAGGAGAAGTCAACTGATGTTAATGAGATTCGTAAATCATTTTGCATTCGATTTGTACGTCTGAATGGCATTCTTTTCACCCGCACGAGGTAATTCCTTTTTCACACTATCAGTTACCATTGTTAGTTTGTGTAGCATTGCCAATGAATTATCATATGATCCTCATTTGTAGCCTGGAGACATTTGCGGAACTTCTCGCATCAGTCAGCAGCACTTTCCTTGAGCTTCTATCCTCTGGTCCTGAAGAGAAGTCAAATTTTGGCGCAGATGCTGTTGAGAATGGACTTTTTATTGTTCGTTTAGTCTCCATCCTTGTATTTACGGTTCATAATGTGAAGAAAGAGGCTGAAGGTCAGAGTTATGCAGAGATTGTGCAGCGTGCTGTTCTTCTTCAAAATGCATTTACTGCAGCTTTCGAGTTAATGGGACATGTATTGGAGAGGTGCGAGCAGCTTAATGATCCTTCGTCAAGTTACTTGTTACCTGGAATTCTGGTATTTGTGGAGTGGTTGGCCTGTTGCTCCGATATTGCTGGAAGTGGTGATGCGGATGAGAAAATGGTTGCTGTAAGGTCAAACTTTTGGAGGTGCTGTATTGCCTTCATGAATAAGATCTTGTCGTTTCTGCCAATATCCTTTGATGATAATGAAGATGATACATGCTTCAATAACATGAGCCGGTATGAAGAAGGGGAAACTGGGAACAGGCTTGCTTTATGGGAAGACTTAGAGTTGAGAGGGTTTTTGCCACTTGTCCCTGCTCAGTCCATTTTGGACTTCTCAAGGAAATACCCATTCACAGCTGATGGTTCTAAGGAAAGGATGGCTCGTATTAAGAGGGTTCTTGCTGCAGGGAAGGCATTAGCAAACGTTGTGAAGGTCGATCAGAAACCAGTCTCCTTTGATTATAAGGTGAAAAAATTCGTTATAGGTGCCGTGCCTCATGTTTCTGGTGATGATGTATTCAACTCTGATTCTGGACTTTCAAAAGCAAGTAAATTGATGCAAGAATATACTCCTGAGGAAGCTATCAGTTTTGGGGCCTTGAATACAAACCCCCAGCGATGTGTTGAAGGAGAAGAGGATGACGAAGTAATTGTTTTCAAGCCCTTGGTGAGTGAAAAGCAAAATGATGATTTACATCCAAAGCTTGCTCCTTATGAGAGCTCAAGACCTATTAGAAACCTTTCGGCTGCTGATCTACAATTCGTTGGTGGCTCTGTCTCTGCTGCCGTTGATAATCAGCTCCTTCCTGCTGCTTTCAACGGACATCCTCAAATATCAACATCTGCTGGTATGGTTGGAACTCAGCACCCATCAGCAATCCAGCCGCCTACTACTTCAAAGTGGCTGATGGAGGAAGCTGCACTGCTCGCTAATAACCTGAAAAGTGTCAGGTTCATGGAGAATGGGCACACAACTGGCTATGAGATGCAGAAAGATTTTGGTTTAGCCCATTTGCCTGTGTCTGCTTCAGTTATAATGCAACCACCACCCGTGAATTTTGGTACTACTGGCATGATATCGAACCAAATGAAAGTTCCAGATGCAAGCTTTCCTTCCAAGGTTGGTACTATTTCTTCTTCTGGAATGTACCCTGAAAGTGATGTACAGGCATCAAGTGCCATGCCGGCTGGTTTTAGGAGGAGCCCTGTAAGCCGGCCTGTTAGGCGTCTTGGCCCTCCACCTGGTTTTACTTCTGCTCCATCGAAGCAGGTGATAGATTCTTTTTCTGGTTCAGATTTACCTACTGAGAATCCTCTAGCAGATGACTATAGCTGGTTGGATGGCTATCAGTTGCCATCTTCAACCAAAACCTCAGGGTTTAGTGGTTCGTCCAGCCTCTCCTCTTATCCCACTCCTCAATATGCCAGCAACAATAATGGATTAATGGGGGCAGTCAACTTTCCATTCCCTGGAAAGCCGCTGCAAGGATCTCAGGTGAAGTTAGAGAATGAAAGAGGTTGGGAAAATTTTCAGGCTTTTGAGAATCTAAGAGCACAGCAAGAGCAGTACCTGCAGCAACAACAGCAACAGCAACAGCAACTCCTTAATGGAAATCAGCAATTTGCGACAATGCCTGAGCAGTTTCATGGACACTCCATGTGGAACGGGCGTAATATCGTGTGAGATGGATGTGAAGCAAATGTGGAGAAGATGAAAAGTTTGGAACTCCAGGTGGATATGCCTATGGGTGTTTTTATGGGCATTCTTTCTGGAATTTGCTCTGAACTTATCTCTTTTCTTAAGAAGGTTCTAAGAATGGGCTTTGTTGAATCTTACGGCATCCTTTTGCTACCAAGTGTGCGCTCCAACTTTGCAGCAGTATCAAATTTCAAATTTCACTTTTTGTTGGAGGGTGGGTGGCCTTGGCTCCTTGCTTGGCTCTTGCCACTGAACAGGTGTGTTTTATTTTCTGTCACTGGTATACAATTCAAATGGTATTGTGCTGTGGTGTGGGTCTTCTACCTTTTTTTGCCTATGCATACTTGTCTTGGAGACCCTTTTCATTTCTTATCTATCTGCCCTTCATATTGCCCACTACACAATTAGATTGGGATAATTTTCAATATTTTTGTTTCTTGATGTATCAATTGATTGTATCTGGCTTCATGGAACTAAGTGTCATCTTTCTCCAACACTTCACTTTAAAGACTGTCCCTTGACCGGCCCTGAAATGATTTTTCACTGCAGCTTATGTCTGTCTATCTGGTGGATGGTTTCTGGCTATAATCTTTTTGTGACCTTTATATGTCCCTGCTAGAAAAGCCCTTGAATAACCCTTAAAAGATCAATTCTTGCAGTCTGGGTGGTTGCCGCATTATCCATTTGTTTATTTGAGATTTAAAATTTGCTTGATACACTGTGTTGAGGTTCTTTAACCGGTCTTGATAGCTTATCCTGATCTGTCTGCCAGGAGAAGACAAATATTGCAACATCGTCTATGATATGGAACTCTCGTGAAGTAGAAGCCTTATTTGGTTACTTGGGTTTGGAGATAGAGTCAAGCTAATAAGAAGATTAGTTGGAACTTTGGGCCTTATATCTGGAAGGAAGAATTGGTGAAATAAAAACCACGTGGTTCCCCTTACCTTTCTACGCCAAACTTTTGGGTTGCTGTAGCTGTCAAAGGTGCTGGCTAGTATCGTCATCACAATGGATTGGGTTATGGTGCACGTGAGTGGAATCTGTGGCATGTAGCTTTCAGATCTCCAAATCCAGGATGGGTGCTTAGGCATGTCCTCAGTATCACAAGTCTGTCTTTGGCACACGGTGAAGAGTGATGGCGTCGTGGTTTCAAGCTTTCCTTGATGCTATGTCTGGGGTCAGTTGGAAGCTTGCTTGTATGTTAAGCTCTAGAGACTTAAGTATGTGTACCGTTTTTCGGGTTTTTCCCTTTGTGTACTGGGTTTATGGGTGAATGTGGATGGTTTGGAAGTGGTGGCTTTTGAATATGCGTCCGAGACTATCGTACCCCCAACTTCCTGTGGAATAAATGTTGTCTGCAGATATCTGGTTATGCCAGGGGAATGTATTTTTCTATCTGGAGTGTTGGGATTACGCTATTGTGTTAACAGGTCTCGTTTCGAATATGTGAGTGTTTACAAGTGATGTAAAACTTATTATGTCTGGAGACGTTGTTGTGATTCAGTTGTCGTGTAACTTGTGTCTGTATACCTTGTGTCAGTCTGGTTTTAGACCTTTCTGTTGCTGCTTCGTTTGAAAGGAGCAACCCGGAAATGGTGTTCGCAGGACGCTTGTGAGAACGTGTTCATCGCTGTGCGATTTGCGGCTGCTGGATTGAATTGTTTAGAGTAGAGTGGATGCTCATGTATGTCTTTTTAATAAACGACGCCAGATGATGATGATGATGATAATAAAGGACAGATCTAACAGAACTGATAACAGATCTATCATCAACTAACTAGATTATCTGCAAAGGCCAACTGACTGTGACTCGACATAACTGAGTACTGCTATTTTGATCACTTTACTCAACCTTTTCTTTTTTTTCTATTTAAGTAGAGAAGCAATTGAGAAAGAAAAAAAAAATCAAAATTTCCAAAACTAGAGCGTGTATACAAGAGATGGTCTGTCATGTGTGAACTCTCCCAACATTTTTTCGTCTCTCTTTTCCTCTTTGGTGCATCAATGGGATATCTCTGTCAAATCCAAATGAAATTCAATCTGTTTCCATTATTGATTCAATCCTTCCATTATTAATTGGTCGGCTGTCACCAGAGAGAGAGAACCCTTCTACGTGGCGTTTCATGCATCCTCTTGCTTTCTCACTCCCTCAACTAGCTAAGGCAAGAGACGAGCCAAAAAATAATAATTACTTATAGGTTTTTAGTGAAATCGATTGCAAGAAATTCATGTACAAACTTCTAAAGCCGCCACGCATCTCTACTTCTACCATCAAAGATCGTCAAAACTTTCGATGAACTCCGAATTGAGATGTAATCAACTCTTCCAAGTTTATCCCCAAAAAACAAAAATCACAGGAATCCTCGTTGTTTGCAAGCCAAAAGCTCGAAGAACTCTTCTTTTACAATAATGGTTCCCCTCTATATATGTATAAAATGTATCTCTCTTTGAAATCCCTTATCTTTCCAAAATTATCCGATACCAATTATACATCAGATCATAGATGTGAGCCGTCCATTCCATACCCCTACTTCAAAGATCTCTTCCACACAAGAGGATGGTCCACTAACAAATCTCGAATTAGTACCCCAATTAATTCTCTTTATCCACATCCCACCCCAAAAATTCCAACTAGCCGTGTCAGTCCATCACCATTTACCAACATGATTTGATTTATTAATTATTACCCTCCAGTAAAAACACGTCCTTCATCATAATCAACACACAATAATATCATAGACCATAATTATAAATACCAAATATCTCAGTGATCACAACCTTAAAGATAGAGAATTAAACCCAAAATTTCCAACATTAAAAACAATTATAGTCCTCACCCAATTCCAATACCCAATTCCGTAATAGTCTTCGTAAATATCAAACCAGTACACAATGCAAATCAAAAACACAATTCTACATAAAAACGTTTAATTGATCCAGAAGCGTAACAGCGCAGCAAGCTTCTAAGTTTTGAAACTTGATTTTAACTACATTAGTAAGAAGGGAAAACGTGATTCTACTTATGAGCATTTCGACGACCTAGAAATATAAAAACATAAACTTCTACACTTGACAATTTTGAGTACTAAGTATACCATAAAATTCCATATCGAAAATAATGCCCATATTATACTAATATTGTTAAACAACCAACGATCAGATTTAGCTTGTCCAATAAACACAATAGTTGTAATCAACTTCTATCAGCAACATAATAATAATAATAATAATAAAAACACTTCCAGAGCGCACTATAAAAGCAGCAGAGCTCCTAGAAATCCCCAAAAGCCTCAGTATACTCTGCATTCAGAAAAAAAAACCCCAGAAATCCCCAAAATGCCCCGCCGGAAAACACCAACTTCCACCACCACCACCGCCGCCCCCTTCCTTCTCCTCCACCTCCTCCTCCTCCTTCCGCCGCCGACCAATGTCCACGCCGTCCAACCCCCAACGAGCCCCATAAAAACGGTGGTGGTCCTGGTGATGGAGAACCGCTCCTTCGACCACATGCTGGGGTGGATGAAGCAGCTGAACCCGGAAATCAACGGGGCGGACGGGTCGCAATGGAACCCGCTCAACACCTCCGACCCGGAATCCAGCAGGCTCTACTTCCGGGACCAGGCCCACTACGTGGATCCGGATCCGGGCCACTCGTTCCAGGCCATCCGGGAGCAGATATTCGGGTCCAATGATAGCTCCAACAACAAGGACCCGCCGCCGATGAACGGGTTCGCCCAGCAGGCTCTCTCCATGGACCCTTCTGCCAATATGTCGAGAGATGTGATGAATGGCTTCCACCCTGACTCCGTCGCCGTCTACAAGGCTCTCGTCTCCGAGTTCGCCGTTTTCGACCGGTAATTTTGGTATCCTTGATTAGTTTCCGTTTGTTTAAATTTAATTAATTAATTTGTTTGGAATATTTGGGGGGAGGGATTTCTGCTTGTGCTCTGTTGACTTTGAAGTGTTTGCATAATTGGTAATTGCTAGGCTAGCTGTTATAAGGAACTTATGATTACTTTTTTAAAGAAATCGCTGGCTGAAGTGAAAACACACAATTCCTTCCAAATATGAAAAACACAATTCATGAAATACAAAGTTGTATAGTACTAGTTAAATGTCGAGACTATGTAAAGACCTGAGAAACAGTGTAGTCTGGTCCAAACCGTGATCCATACATAAGGTTTATAAATTATAGATCAGACCAAAATTCTATATGGTTCGGATAAGATTATGTGTTGCGCAGAGTCTGGTCTGGTACGGTCTGGAATATGCATTTAAAAAAAAAAATTTTGTTTGATAATCTCATGAAAAACTGAATCAATAACCGAAAAAATATGTTTTGAGACTTGGGTCTTATCGAGGAATTGAAAGAGTGATCGAGTGAGCTGTTAACACGAATTGAGAAATGAGTTGGGTCCGGAGTTTGGTCTGATGTAAACGATCTAGACCAAGACATACCAAGAGATTAATATATCATATAATACATACCTTGGACTAGATCAGATCATTATTATTGACTAGATCAGATCATTATTATTAACGAGGACCAAATTTTCAAATGGTGTGGTATATTATAACCTAAAAAATGTTTATATATAAAATAAATATTGTAAGCTTCTTAAATTATGTTGTATTTTTTCTTCACATATATTGTGTTATAGAAATGTTAAATCGCCAAAATTTATTACGTTCTGCGTGAATATTAATGACCCATGGGCCGTTAGAGCCAAGATGCCATCTGTTATAATTTTCTGTCTATGGATCTGAACTGAAGTAAAAAAAAACATTAATTAAAAAAAAAAACCAAACTGCCAGGTGGTTTGCGTCGGTGCCGGCGTCGACGCAGCCGAACCGGCTGTACGTGCACTCCGGTACGTCGCACGGTGCGACGAGCAACATTCCGGCGCTGCTGGTCAAAGGCTACCCGCAAAGAACCATCTTCGAGAACATCGACGACGTCGCCGGTCTCTCGTGGGGGATCTACTACCAGAATATCCCGGCGACGCTCTTCTACCGGAACCTCCGCAAGCTCAAGTACGTCTCCAGGTTCCGCCCCTACGACCTGGAGTTCAAGAGCCACGCCAGGCAAGGCAAGCTCCCCAGCTACACGGTGGTGGAGCAGCGGTACACCGACCTCAAGACCGCTCCGGCCAACGACGACCACCCTTCCCACGACGTCTACCACGGCCAGATGTTCGTCAAAGAGGTAGGTACTAACTAATATATAGTACTAATTAAACACTTTCGACACACAAAAAAAAATTCCCAAAATACCTAAGTTTGAAGCAGTTTGTTTTACCGTGGAGCGAACTGGGTGGTTCGCTGATATGTGTAGCGAACAATAATATTAGAGTTTGATGTGGTTCGTTGGTGTTTGTGTTAGGTGTACGAGACGCTGAGGGCGAGCCCGCAGTGGAACGAGACGATGCTGGTGATAACGTACGACGAGCACGGCGGGTTCTACGACCACGTGGCGACCCCGGTCCACGGGGTTCCGAGCCCCGATGGGATCGTGGGTCCGGAGCCATTCAACTTCACGTTCGACCGGCTTGGCGTCAGGGTCCCCACCATCGTGGTTTCACCTTGGATCAATAAGGGCACCGGTAAGTATACCGTAATTTGTTATTGTTGTTGCATCCCCCTTTCCTTTCGTCGAATCAGGCTAGCTATGGTCCTAACTCGGTAACGCGCGTTCGTTAGAGTAAGAACTTTCTGATGTGCTAACGATTGTTGGATCGTGAATTACTTACGAATTCCGTAATCCACGATAGTTATACACACGATCGATCATAACCATTACAAAATCTGTCATCACATATAAAAACTATAAATACATCACATGTGCACGATCCAACTATACTGTAAATCAATCTAGAATGTTTTGGCCCAAATTAGGGTTACACACCCACCATATTATCAGATTTGCTTGACATGATAGTGGATATTAATTATTAGCTAAGGTAGTGGAGTCCCACAGCCATAGGGCACCTCATCCACCAAAGCCATGGGTCGCCTGATCCGGCAGAAGTACTGACTGACTGCTGCCATATCTTTTTTTGTCATGAAAATATGTGGCGGAGAATGGAGATTATTGAAGCTTAGCTAGTGATCCAAACTATCCATAACCATACGCCGACCTCTGCAGCCTATCATTAGGTCACACCTCGACATGGCCTTGTAACTTGGACTACTGCAAGCGCCACATGTATAGAACTAGAACCCTTAAAATTAACTTGCAAGATTACAAATTTCACAATTCAATGTACTTTACAATATGGATAATTATAAATTTGGTACAAGTGCATCCACCAAGTATATATGTGTTCATGTTTTAGTTGGGTCTCTTAGTATTAAGATATAGGGTGGCTTGGCTGTTGGATTTCGAGGATGGATTTGCCACCCAAATATCAAGTATGATGAGTTTAATTAACTCGTTTGTTTGTTGGGTAAAAAAAAAACTGGAAAAAAATTAGCAGGGTCCAGGTATTGGATAAAAAAAATTCAAAGTCATGGACTCTACAAATTTGTAAATCTCGCTTTTTTTATTTAAGATTTGATTGAATACTAAAAAAACATTGACGCAAAAAGCTACAAATCTATGACAAAGAAATCGAATGTACAAATAATACACTTTTGAATCCATAACACAAGTCTAAAATCCACCTTCTTTTAAGTCTTAACACATAAGTTATCGGGACATGTAACTCTCAACTATCTTATCTCTAGAAAGGTTTAAAAAAAAAAAAATCTCCTCCCACCAACAATGACTTTTTCTTCCATTATCACAAAATCACTACTTTCCGTCTTTCACAAGCAATCCATCACTTTAGATAGTTGATGTAACATGACTTGTCCCTGAGTCCGTGACAATCATGTATAATGGAATCTGAATTGGGCTTTTGGGCCGCTGCAGTTGTACATGGGCCCAACGGCAAGCCCACACCGACCTCAGAATACGAGCATTCCTCCATTCCGGCCACCGTCAAGAACATCTTCAACTTGCCCTCTTTCCTCACCAAGAGAGACCAATGGGCCGGCACATTCGAGTCCATTGTCCAGTCCAGAACCCAGCCCAGAACCGATTGTCCACTGCAGCTGCCGACTCCGACCAGGATCAGGCAGACCGAGGCCAATGAGGAAGCAAAGCTCACTGAGTTCCAGCAGGAGATGCTGCAGCTTGCTGCGGTGCTCAAGGGCGACAACGTGCTCTCGAGCTACCCTAACGAGATCGGGAAGCAAATGACGGTGAAGGAAGGCACTGTTTACATGGAAGACGCGGTGAGGAGGTTCTTTCAGGCTGGCGTTTATGCTAAGAAGATGGGAGTTGATGAAGAACAGATTGTTCAGATGAAGCCTTCCTTGACTACTAGAAGATCGTCGAAACCTGCATACGAACACCCGTGATATACTGACTGTATATGTGTAGCAGTAGCTGCAGAAAGATGGAAAAGAAAGGAACTATGATGTCAATATCTCTCGCTGTATGTCAGTAAGTACATTATTAAAGCTAGTTATAGCAGAGAAGATTATTAAGATTGGCAACCAGCTGCATTTCATTTCTTAAACCCTTCAACTGAAGCATCTGCAGAACTCTGCATCTTTAGCTGCATTCATCTGACTAAGCAAAAACCAAATGTCTATTGCTCTCACGGAAGCTTTTCAATGAGGTACAAGATGACATTGTTATCAAGGGTTTTGATAGAATTTCCAGATTTCGGGGCTTCTTCCTTGACAATTAGTTCACATGTGCCAAGATGGTTGGGGTTTCTTGTCTCTCTTTGCTTCTCATCTGTCTCTGTACTGCTTTTTTTGGTCACTGTAAATGACTCATGAATTCTGTCTGTCATACTGAGGATATGGTAACGACTAGTCTGTTCACTGTACTTCAGTTGTTACTTTCTGTTGGCTCCCAGCCTGGTATATTTGCTGTGGCTTCATTTACCGATTTTACGAGCCTCACCTGCATGCATAAAAGTAAATGTGAGAGGGGCATTTTGTTAAACACTTCCCTCAGGAGAGGAAATGTACATACCACACTTTCCGGAACTCCTGGTGGGGGCAATGAGAGGTTCCTTGGCGGAGGACCACGGAGATATGATCTCTTGTCAAAGCGCCATTCTCCGATCTTGCCGTAAGTTAATTTACCCTAGATCATTTCAGGCAAGACATGAATGAAATATTCATCTACTATTGTAACCAAATCACCATCTGTACTAGATCACTAACCATTACTTTGAACTAAAAAAAAAAAAACAAAGCGGGAAGTGAACAAAACTGAGGATGTAGAAAAGAGAAATGCTGAAGAATGGGAAGAACAAAACAATGGCGCATGAGAATAAATCATTTACCGTTAAATCGTAGTCACAGCCATAAGTATAATGTATAATAAAGGTTTTCCCAACCTCCAAGTCCCATGGTGGCTGAAACAAATGTACAATAATCATAAGCAATTGTTCTGAACAACAACCATATAGAGAAGCTTCACCATAATAAAACAAACCTGTATCATGAAGTCCTTACGAAGAATATGGCGCACACCATGTAGCGCTGATGCTACAGCATAAGCATACCTGGCTTCCAAGAAAAGATGTTAGCAAATGTCAAGATGTTTCGGTTCATTGAGATAAGATAGAGCAACAAACATAAATTAACTTACATTTCCAGCACCCAACCAAATGCTTTGTCGGTCTCTGGGTCATCTTTCATCCTCAATGATACATTGACCCATGTGGGAGAAATTTCCTCCAGCAAGGTCTGAAATTGATGGTTTAGCTCAGTCAATTGAATGCCAAATAATAAAGCATCATTCTTCATTTGCAAGGAGGGCAATCCAGCAGACTGACAGTGCTACCAGAACTCTTATCTTATATACCATTCTGCTATTCAGTGGAGAAATTCAAAGAAATGGACACAAAATCGCTCCTATAACCAATGTTTTCGGTTCAAATAATCACCAATTCATCATATAATATGTTTCCTGACAGGCTTCTCATATGGTTTCCCGTTCTTTCTACTGGTTCTTCCTTCCTTTTATTAAATTTTTTTTGGTCTGAATCTTCATGTTATGTTACTACAATTCTACAATCATTCACTTAAGCTAGAAAAGAGCAATAATTAATTATTCACGTAATTGAAATTAGAAAAGCAAGAGAGTACAGATGAACAATAGCAGTGAAACTTCACCTTTTTAATTATCACAGGAGAATTTCCAATGGGATCAACATCAGTTACTGGACCCTTGTCCTTGGGATAATACTTCCTAACAACGCTCTCATGATCTGTTGGTTTGATGTAGAAAAAGGGAAATGCTGCTGGGTTGTCTCCATTAGACAGGTTCGGCAAGGGATTGACAAATATGTGGTCTGGCTCAGCCATTAAGATATAACTGCATGAAAATTTAGTTCAGTAAGCTTCAGAACATTTTAAGATGAAGAATAATAAACACGAGAGCGAATTTGTGTCCTACTCTTCCTCGATTGTTGCCTTCTCCAGCCATTGAACAAAGGCCCACGGTCTATTCAAGACAATATATCCCTGAACATCGCAAGAACGTATTAGTTGCGTGAATATAGACTACACAACTGTTGGCAGGTCTGTTATCCAGTCTCTATTTCTTTTAAAATTCAATCCAGATAAATCATGAAAACCTACAAGAAGTTTTATCATTCACTGGATCAGAAAGGTAAGAACAAGCAGTGCTAAGTCTATTTGGATATAAGTTTCTCTAACTGAAGAAATCATCAGACTGGATACTTGTGTCCTGTCATTTGTAGTTATGTAAGCAAACCATGACAAGATTGTTACTTAAACCCCCACAAATGCAGATATACTGAAACTAGTAAAAAGGCACCAACATCACTCAGCTGCATGTGCTATTATTGCCACCCTTGTAACCTGAATCAGTTCCGAATTCGTCACAATGAATATAACTGACAACATAGAAATGCATGACATAAACCAAACAGATGGCCCCTATCGCATAATCTTACATACCCGATCAAGACCCTCTGGAAGAGGATCCACAATGAATGTCGGGATCTCATCCATCAAATTGTCAGCCTTCCCCGAATGCAAAACTCTGGTGAACTTCCCCATATCCGATCCAGGCGCATCTTTCATCTTCTTGTACCAATAGTACATAATCCGACACTGCCACTGGCTGTAAGGAGCATCAGTTGCAGTAAGCGCCACATGGTACTTCAAATTCGACTTCCCTAATTTCCTCACGTTCTGAGGCATCGCGATAACAGGATCAGAGAAACCTGCTCCCTCCCCTGAATTGAAGGAGGTCTTGTAGCGTATTACCAAAGTTAACAAGTTATAGGTTGCAAAGCTAAACCCGAGGGCCAATAGCACCAGCAGGAAAGGGGAAACTCTCCCCATATTTTTCCTCTCGATCATCCTCTCAAACCGAAATGCAGATCCCCCAAACTCAATCAAACTTCTTCAGAAATCAACTAAGACACAGCCAGGCCAAATTCAGCGCACCTCAAACCAAAATCACCATGACCTAGTTCCTCACCAAAGCAGGATCAAAGTCGATGGGGGGAGATCAAATACCTATTAACAGCAGACGCACGCACAAACCGAATAAATTGAACAGTTCAGCAGGATTAAGCAAAACAAGCCAAATAGCAAAATGGGTTTCAGTTACAAGAGAGAAAAGGCTTCATTTCAACAACAAGACGGAAGCTTTATGGTGAAGTCATGTAAGTTGTAACGGCAGCGGGAATTCTGGTGTAAAGACACAAACTTTAAGGTGGGTAGAGCAGAAATTTAGGGAAACAGCAACGATTTAGCGCTGAAGTAAGGTGAGAGAAAAGAAGCAAACCGGAGATCTGAGAAGCACCAGTCAACAATCACCCATTTTCCGCCGCAATGAGAAGAGGGGAAGGCAAACCCCAGCCTGCAAATCGAAGGAGAGTAGAGATTTCCTTTCTCTAGCAGGGCAGAAAGACCAGACGGGCGTTGAGGGGCAATTGGCGCGGTGAGAGAAGGAACGACGGGAAGAAGAGTGGGCGGGCTGAGAGGAGAGGAGATCGGGGAAAGATCGCGGACTTGGTTTTGTCAACGCGGTGTGATGGGATGGAGCCGGCGGGTGAAAAAAAACTGGAAAGGAAGTGTCAGCGGAAGACTGCTACCTACTTCTGTTCATTGTACAGATTCTAGTATTTTGTCTTCGGGCAACAAATTTTGTTTTTTTATAGAACTTTGGCAGCAAATTAGATGTTGAGGAAAATTCCAAATCTAATATTTTGGTGGGTTTTGTTCCAAATCTAATATTAATTTTAATTCCAAACAATGTTGTATCTTGATACTGACCATTCTTCCTTTTTTTCTTCCTCTTAAAATGGGATTTTGGTCGGCCATTAATATCCTTAAAATTTAGAAACTTTACTTATTTTCTGCAAATTTTTAAAGAAGGTGAGAGATGTTTCTTGATATTGTTAAGAAATTTTTATTTTCTGGATTTAATTGCTTTTGAAAATTTTAATGATTTATCATCATTTCAAAATTTGAACTTCTTTAATTCGTTTGCTAAAAAATTGGTTTTATTCAATTCAACGATTGATCAAAAAAAAATATTAATAAATAATAAATTACATATATCTCGTCTAGTTCTTTTATCGAATTGCTTTCATCTAGTTGATAGAGATCGGACGATAATGAAATAAATATTAATTAGCAATCCCAAATTGAGGCTTGAGTTTATAATTAATGGAGTAATGGAGGAGGTAGGTATTAAACAAAATGTTTTATATAAGAAAATGCATTGTGATTATGAGATTATTTTCAAGGGGTTTGAAAATTGAGAATTTGATCTTTGAGATTTTGGAATTACAAGAATTTTAAACTGGAGATCATAAAAACTATAGATTCAAAGAATAGAATGTTGTCTAATCGATATTCTTAGGTTTTAAGTAAAAAATGAAATGATATTTCACGCAATTTATTATTTATGTCTTTCTAATAAGAAATATTACCAAACATGTTCTTTTGTTCTATATTTAATTTTACAAATAGTATGTATACTAGGTATATATTAACTTATTCAACTTAAGGGTGAGGGTTAGGTCTACATTGATTGATTCTACCAAAGGGGTTAGGACAACAACCTAGGTCCCCTTCCTTGCTTCCTCTAATATTTGGAAAACACTAGGTTAGGCATTACTAGTAAAATGACTAATAGATTGGTGGATCCATAGATCAAATGGATTTGTGAATTTATTGATTGGATCGTTGATTTAAGTGGCATCTAAATATTGGACCCATGTGTAAATTTTAAAAAATTTAGGTACTAAAATTTCATAATAATTTTTTGATACCAAAACGCAATTTTCAATGATATTTTTTTTGCTAAGACCACCTTCAATAAGAGTGCCCAAGTGCTAGACTTAGTTCCAGAGTGCCAAAGTGCAAAAGAAAAAAAAAGAGGTTAATTTTGGTTTAGTTTTGATGTCATAACTTTAACTAGATAGTTTGTAGATTATTTTTCCCCCGTTGAATCAGTTGCCTTTTATTATTAAGTAAAAACGAATTGCAATTCGCAATACCAATACAACGAAGGGGCTGCCATTGTGGCCACCCTGAAGAGAAAAGCAAAAGAGATAAACCTACATCTAACCACTCCCTCCACTTGTGTTAACTACAAATGGCTACAAAATTTTCAGCATTCGTAAGTCATCTCTCATTAAGTCCTGTAGCACTCTAACATCTCGTTCTGGCTCCTGATGGATTCGACAACAGCGCTCCTACCAAACATATGTAAGCAGCATACACCACTTTACTCCAAAGAAACTTCCTTGGCCATGCATAACAGCTTGGCAAGCAGAACCCAGCGATTCCACCTCAAGTAGAACGATATACCTGCTCAACTCGAAGGAAACCAGCCACTGTTTGTTTGACAAACTCACAGGTGAAGAACAGATGATCACGAATTTCACTAGCGTTATGGCAGAGTATACAACAGTCTTCATTAAGTTTTCCCCATCTCATAAGCTTGCTCTTTGTAGTAATGACATCCATAATGATAAGCCAGGCAATAAAACTGAACCTGGGAACAATGAATTGCCCCCAAACCCATTTAACCCATTCAAACTTGCTATACTGAGGACGCAACGTGTTCCAAAGGAGCTTGACCGAATACCTAGGCATTGGTTGCCCATTCCACACAACACAATCTCCCTGCCTGCAAAGGAGAGTTTACACTAGGGATCTTTTCTTTAGTATCCGTCTGCAGGCCCAAGAGCTATTCGCATTCCCTCATAGTTCAGACGTCCCCAGTAGGAATGGAAACAAAACCCGAACCCACGGATACCCACCCGACCCAACCCGTTCAACGCGGGTAAAATCCGTGTTGACGGGTTTTGGACCGGGTTTGGGTTTAAACTCATTCACTATTCACCGGGTTGGGTTTGTGTTTAGGTAAGCCCGACCCGTGGGTACCCGCTCACACCCACATAATTAATTTTCTCGACATATTTAATATTATAAACAACTAATCTTATTTATGTTTGTGGAGACGTGTCTAATTTTTTCTTTCTAGTTGTGTAGAATGAAGTTGATGTTATCGAGTGGAGAGTGAAAAACTTAATTGAAAGGAAGAAGCTTTCAATTAATCATGTTATTTATGGATAATTTATGATTTGCTTCAATTTTCTTGAGTTTTCTAGATTGGTGTTGAACAATTGTATAGTTAATTTGTGATTTACTTGAATTTTCTAGAATGGTGTTTTCTATATGGATAATTTGTATTGAGAGATTGATATTTAACTTTAATTTTGATAGGAACTTGTTATTGTGAATTTTTTACGACAAAAACCCGTGGGTACCCATGAACCCGCGAATATCCAGCGGGTTGGGTTTGAGTTTTTAAAACCCAGTGGGTTTTACTCCGGGTTTTTTTTTCACGGATAAACCCATGGGTTTGGGTTTTGGTTTGGCAAAACCCAACCCAACCCGACCCATTGCCATCCCTAGTCCCCAGTTTTACAGCGGTATTTAAGCATCCAGGCCACCCAGAGAGCTCCTGACTGCATCGGTAAAAGCCATATCATACGAAGAGAGCAAGCAGAATTCCAGGAGCTAAGTTCACATATACCAAGCCCCCCTTCAGTTTTAGGACGCGCCAAACGGTCCCAAACAACCTTAGCCCTGCCAGTATCATTGCCATGCCAAAGGAAATCCATACAAAGCTTTTGGACAAGCTTGAGAACTTTCTTTGGTAAAACAAACACTTGCAGCCAATACTGAACAAGACCTGTAATAACAGAGGAAATCAACTGCAGCCTCCCCGCATAAGATAACTTTTTTGCATGCCATGATCTAATTATTTTTGTTATTGCCACTGTTAAGACTTCAAACTCTCTATCAGTAAGCTTACCTGAGATAAGAGGTAAGCCAAGATACCTCACATGAAGAGAGCCCTCTGCAAATCCAGAAAGATCAATAGCATTCTGCTTAAACTTTACTGATTCACCCCCAAAAAAGATAGAGCACTTGCTAGGGTTACATTTTAACCCAGATTGCCAATAAAACTGGTCCAAAACCTGCTTCACAGTCATGATTGCCCTAGCTGAACCTACTGTGAAGATTGGTAGATCATCAGCAAAGCAAAGGTGATTCAATGAGCCTCTACTACACATAGGGTGAAAAGGGATCAGCCCTTGATTAAAAGCTCTATTCAACAATCCAGTCAGCCCTTCCATAGCAATGGCAAAGAGGTAAGGTGAGAGAGGATCACCCTGCCTCACTCCCTTCTTTGCACTAAAGAAACCCTTCATACCCTCATTCACACATATACTGAATCTAGCTGTAGAAGTGAAGAGGTGGATCCAATCCATATAACGATCAAGAAAGCCCATTAACCTCATAATCATGAAAAGATAATCCCAGTTTACCGAGTCAAAAGCTTTCATGATATCAATTTTTATTGCACATCGTGAGGACAACTGCTTTCTATGATATCCACTTACTAATTCTTGAGCAAGCATAATATTATCTACAATCTGCCAACCTTTAATAAACGTTGTTTGATTCAAGCTAATAACACTAGGCAAAACTTCACTCAACCTCTTTGCCATAATTTTAGCATCTATCTTGTATAGAACATTTACACAAGAGATGGGGCGGAATTCCTTAAAAGTTTCAGCATTTAGTACCTTAGGGATAAGCGTAACTGTAGTGGCAGTAATTCCACTAATTAATCTCTTCTCCTAAAAAAAACTCAGGACCCCTTTTATAACATCCTCTCCTACTATGTGCCATGTCTTCCTGAAGAACCCTGAGGAAAACCCATCAGGGCCTGAGGCTTTATGAATATTCATATGGAAGACTGTTTCTCGGATTTCATCTGCAGTAACAGCTTTGCAAAGCATTTCCTTACTGTCAGTCGATAATTGCTTCTGAATTGTATCTTTTAAATACTGGAAATCAGGAGCCACCTCCGTATTCACCACACCAAATAACTTATGATAGTATTTTACTGCTTCATCTGCTACCAGCTCAACATCCGTTATAGTCTCCCCTGCCTCATTCTTAATTCGCCTGATAGCTCGTTTTGCTGTTCTTATCTTCACCGATTGATGGAAATAACGAGTACTTCTATCTCCCCGATTGAGTCCCTTTCTCTAGATTTCTGCCAGTATAGCCCTTCCTCTGCTTGCTTAGCTAAGTCCAACTGGGATAATATCAATTTATTCTCCTGGATATTCTCAGCTGTAGGAGAATGGAGACAATCTGCGATTACCTTTAACAACTATAATTCCAACTCCTTCACCATAGTACTAACATTAGCATAGTGATCCTTATTTAACTTTTGGAGCGCTTTTTCACTTCCTTTAGCTTGACCTGAACAATAATCCAAGGACTACCATAACACATGAATAGCCCAGGCCTCTTCCACAATTTTTAGGAGATCATGATGAGCACTCCAGAAATCAAAGTACTTAAAAGGCTTAGGCACAGATTTCACTGGTGGCTTCACATGCACTAGAATACCACTATGTTCATAAAATGTTCTAGGAACAGATTCCATAGTACAATTAGGATAAAGTGTCATCCAAGGAACATTAACCAGTGCTCTGTCAAGCCTCTTAGCAATCGAATTTCGTTGTTGATTATTAGCCCAAGTAAAGAGTGGACCAAGAGTATTAAAATTCTCCAATTCCATAGCATTACACCACCCCTCAAAGTCAGACATGCTTGACGTAGGAAGAAGCTGATTAGAAGTCTCATGAGGAGCCATTACTGCATTAAAATCTCTCCCTACTATCCAAGGGTGATCATCAACTTTAAATCTACTTATCTCATTATAGGTAGCTCTACGTTCTATCTCATCATTAGCCCCATACACTGCAGTTAAGAAAAAGGAGTCTCCCATTTGATCCTAAATTAACGTATGCAAGAAGTTCCTACCTGGTTTCAAGATGCTCAACTTGAGATAAGGTTGCCAGAACAGCCAGATACGACCAAGATCAGAATCAATATAGTTTAAATGCCGCTCCCAACCCACTAGAAAGTCCTCAGAATCTCCTCCGACTTAGCTTGATGCACTCGTGTTTCCAGAATTACAACTACATTAACCTTCAACCGCCACAGGACTTGTGCAAAGTCCCGACTCTTCGAGGGTTTATTAAACCCTTGAACATTCCAAAAAAGATAAATCATGGTAAGGCAAGGGGCTTAGGCCCCGCCTTCTTTTGATCCATCTTATGAGCAGCTTGCAATTTTATGACACCCTCTCCATCTTGATCAGCAAGGACACTAAAGAAAGATGGAGAGACATGGAGAACACTGGTTGGACTAGGGCTTGGCGACCAGATTCGAGGCCTTGCTCCATTAACAACCTTCTGAAACTCAGCATCAGAAGGGAGCATGGGAGTTTAGCACTCATTTTCTTCTTGTGTGCTAGACTTAGCACCAACAATCTCAATTGTTAGCACTTTGGAAGTTCACATTCATTGTTGGAGGAGAGTTAGTGCTAGATTTTAGAACTCCATTAGAGTTGGTCAAAGAAAGAAATTATAGGTATCGAATTATAAAATACTAAAAATAAAGGTACTAAACTGTAATTTAGCAACAATTCATGAATCCGCCAATCCAATTGAATTAGATGTTTAAGTGGATGGATTAAATTGAATTGGTGGATTATATACAAAATGGCTACCTCTAATCACGAGACTATAGTGAATGTAGATTTAAAAGACCATATCTTAGTGGATTGGGGTTGGGAGTTGACTTTTGTTTCGAGCTTCGCGACTGATTCAAAAGATAGATGGTAGTAATTTGCCGAGTTCTTGTGCTTCCAACACCAATAAGAGAAATCCTGACCATGGCTAATATGAACCATTGCTTGGCAAGCAAGATAGATGGAGATGCCTCTAGGATTGGAAGGTTTCGGATAACGATAACCAGGTTAATGACTTAGATGACTAGGAGATCTATATGTCGTTGTGAACTTGCAAAAGACCATAGGCAAAGAAAAATTGGACCGCTAAAGACGTAAGTTGGTGGTAGAACATCAAAGATTGTCGAATCATTCCAAGTGTAGTTGGGATTTTCCTTGTTTAGACTCTTAACTATAACAATACAAGGAAAAATACATGTAGAGCGATCGCCGAGCTATCCAGAAAATCAGTCATCGTATTTTTTTCGTTCTTTTATCCCTACCTTTTTTGGTCCTTTTCTAGCTACTCCTCACTTAGGGAGAGAAACACACTTAATTGATTTTGTGATGAACTCTCGAAAACCCAAAAGAAAGCCATGTGAATTAGCTTTCAAGGGTGCTAGCATAAGGGCTATGCTTGTAGCTCATCGAATCCACATTTCAACCCTTTCATCCTTGGTTTAGGTTGACTTGTTCCACAAGTTAAAATACTCATCCTTTTCATTAGGTTTGACCATGGTCATATCCCTTCCAAAAAGTTAATGATTGGTCGGCCATGTACTCATAAAAAAGAGAGCAAGTCACCTATAGTGGGTTAATTAGGAGTTATTGAATTAATGAGAAAATGTAATGAACTTTTCTCGTTCCAAACCTAAAAATAATGAAATGATGAACAAAATTTACAGATGACAACAATTTTTGAAGAAAAACAATCAGACTGTTGTTACTTTTTGCCGTGATTTTTATTTTAACTTTCTCGTCTCTTTATCCTAATAATCGTTGTGTGCCTTTGTTGTTGCCCCCAAAAACTTATGTCCTTCACAACCTTGAAGAGAGAATTTGCAAGAAGTATAATGACGGGAGTCGAATGACAAAGGAAAAGACAATGGGGAACGAGACATTTTTGAGAGGGAGACAGAGCAATATTGTCTTCTTGGTTCCACCATCCATGTTTTCTTTCTTTTCTATGGCTGACTAAACAATGGCAACAATCCAAGACTCAGGAATCCACTGTTACATTATGAACAAGTCAATAGAGAAAAATTGTGGCAATTCTTAATCCAATCCACCAACTCATTAAAAATATCCACCTAATTCAATCCATTTAAATTCAATCCATTTGATCCTAATCCAATTGGATTGGTGGATTCATGGATTGATTCAAGGATCCAAATGGCAAATTACGGTTTGATACCTTTATTTTTTATATTCTACATTTTGGTACCCAAAATTTAATTTTTATACGAAAAATATCATTGAGAAATTATGTTTTGGTACCTAAAATTTTTCATTATGACATTTTAGTACCTAAAATTTTCACATTTTACATATTGGTCCTTGGTTGAAGATGTCATTTGGATTCATGGATAGTCCACCAATCCACTTGATCCAATCCATGAATCCACCAATCCATTAGATCCATGGATCAATCCATTGATCCATTTGCCACCTCTAATCACAATACTTCTTTTGTAATTATGGTTTAACCTCTCTTTTCAAAACCGGACCGGAGGTTGAACCGGAAAAGTTAGTGGTTTAGGGTTCAGTGGTTAACTGTTACAAAATCGTTGGTGAGCCTTTGATAGAACCGTTCATGATATATAACATTTAAGACTTGTATATTATATGAAATTTAAGAATGAAGTTATCATTCACATAAACAATTTCCAATTCATATCATCACCAAAATATATAATAAATCATTCAAATCTCCTCACAAAATAAATCATAATTTTTTTCAATTCAAATTGTATATTATGGTGCCAGTCGATAGTGAAGAATGTAGAGTCGACAACAAAGTTGAAAAATGAGAAAGAGAAAGCATATATAAAATTAATAATTATGGTGCGATGGTATTAGTTTAAGTTAAAGTTTTTTTTTTTTGCTTAAAATAGTGGACCAGTTAAACCGTGGTGGTTCAACAGATTTTATGTTGAATTGTGAAAAACCGTTTGGTCCATCAATAAGCTTCCAAGCAATGAACCGGACTACTCTAGTAACTGGTCTGGCGGTTCTACTGACCCAGCCGTTGATCCAGTTCGGTTCTTATAACAATGGGTTTACCACGATACCAATTAGTATTTCTTCCTGATGATGCAACGCCTAGATATTAGGCTATGAAGACTTTATATGTATTATTAAGACAAGGAATAGGTTAGGGTGGTTACTCAATTTTGAGTAATCACGGTGGCTACCAACATCTATACCATTCATTATCTTTATTTTATTATATTTTTAATTAACGATTAAGATTAGCTAATGGCAATTTAGGAAATGAAAAACATACCACACCTGATTACTGTATATATTATACTCAAACCCTAATACAACCTATCTACCTAGCCGCCGTCTCTCCCTTCTCCCACCCCCGTCGGCGTCACTCCGCCGGCCAGATTCTCAAAATCATCTCTTCCCAAAATCATGCTACACTCCCTTGATCCGAGTGGCATCCTCGTAGTAGTACGGCGTCGGCTTGACATCTTTCTTCCCCGCGGTCTTCGGCTGAGCTTCTCCCCCGATCTCCTGCAGCTGCTTCACGATCCTCCTCATCGAGGGCCGGTTGATGGGTAGATGGCTCGTGCAGAGGATCCCAATGTTGAGAACTCTGCATATCTCCTCCCTGAAATAGGAGTCGAGTTTTGAGTCCAGGACGTGGTCGACCCCTTTCCGGCGTCCAGGGCTGCGACGACGTCTTCCACACCGCTTCGCCTTTCTACCACGACGTCCAGGATCCTCAGGTTGGATTTTTCTGCTTTCTGATTTTTTTTCTTCCTCCCTTTGGTGTCTGTTAGGTTCGATCTTGTTGTTCTGTGAGACTGGTAGTTGAGTTTTTAGGTTGTGCGCTGGAAAAGGTGGGATGAATAAAAACCCTAGATCTGATTTTTTCCCGCATTGGTAGTGATTTTTTCGTAGTGTTAGTGTTTTTTTGCATTGGTATTGTTTTTGTCGCATTGGTATTGATTATCATGTAACGGTATTAATTTGCATGTATTGGTATGGATTCAATATGCAATGGTATTGATTTTTTGTGAAATGGTATAGATTTATATTGGTAGATTGTTTATATTGGTAGTTTTCGTGTAATGGTATAGATTTATTTCTGCAATGATATTGATATTTTTCAAAGTGGTAGTGATTATCTAATGGATTGGTAGTGATTTCGTGTTTTTTTTCTTTTGCAGAAAGATTGAGAAAAATAAGGAAAATGGATCTGGCTGGAGATTATGGAAGTGAGAGAAAGATGGAGAATTGTAATTAATAGATTCTTGTAACTACCTAAAATGTAATTTATTAAAAAAATTAATACAATTTATTTGTCATATCCAATTTACCCTTAGTAACCACGGTGATTACTACATATGTAGTAATCACCGTAACCTGTCCCGAAAGACAAATTAGTATTTTATGAATTTTCCCCTCTAGTTGTATGCCCCTCCATATCTGAAGACAAATTAGTATTTCATGAGTTTCAACGCCTAGACATTAGGTTATGAAGACTTATATTTATTGAGACATCAAATATGTGTTTAGTCAGACCGAGTTTACACCAAATCTATTGAGTACATTATGATTCAAGTTGTTGATTCTTGATGTAATTGTCGTTCTTCATGGCGAATTTGGATTTCCCAATTCAGATAATTAAACCTATTAACTTTCCTCTTGGCATAGAGTTCAGTTCTTTACTCAATATTAAAATGCTTGACACCACAAAATAAAATTGCAGGTAGATTCACAATATACAAATTGAATGCTTTAGATCACGAGTATGTTTTAGTGATATTCATACAACATTTTTCACCAAATATTGACGAGTTGCCATCTCTTACATTTAAGGGGTCGTTTGCTTGTTGGATTTGAAAAATGAGGGTTTTGGCCAACAAAAATCTTGGGTTTAATGTTGGATTTATTGGATTATGGATTTGAAGAGTCTAATGTTTGCATGATAAATTTGATGATGGAATTGTGATGGATTTGTTAAATAAATAACTAACCATCAATGACTTGCAAATCCCAAATTAATATGTGGGATTTACAAGTCCGTGGAGTCCACGGATTTGGTTCTAAAATAAAGACCAAATCCGTGGACCCCACGGATTAGCACTCTTCAACAAACAATGGACTTATTTTAAATCCATCAAACTTGGGATTTGGGTACCAAATCCATGACCCAAATCCAACAAGCAAACGAACCCTTATAGAAAAGGGGCAACAACTGCTCAAACGACCTTGCACAAGTAAGAATAATCGTCCATTATATTGGGTTCACATTACATATCTAATCTTGATCATATAGTTTAAACATCAATTCATATATATGAATATGAGAATATATGATTGCATAGAATTCTGCCAAATCTTATAGATTTTGAATCAAGATAGAGAACACATTTGCAACTAGGGGTGTTGGTTACCATGGTTATAACCAAACAAAATAAGGCTAAATTCCATTAACCATGGAATACAATATCATAACCAAACCGTCCAAACTAATACAACAACCAAATTAACCAAACTAAAGTTTAATCAGTTTGGTTAATTGGTTAACCAGATTAACAAATATAAAATCACATTATCATTGACGATGAAAATTTTCCGGTTAATGCAACAATTCACAATTTATCTAATGAATAAAACATAACAATCAACACGTATTTATAGTTGACCCTTATCAAAAATACATGCAACTAGGACAATTATCTTACGATTAGTATAGAAGTATTCACCTAACAAAAAATTATGACAATGGTATGGGTTAATGAGTTGTTGTGTTTGTGTAAATTGACTTAGTCTCTTAGCAATTATCATAGGCTGGAAATGACCTTCCTTTCAAGTTTTCATCCATCATAATGTATGAAATTTATCTAAATTAGCCAATTAGGCGTCCATATGTTGTGGTCTACACTTTACATATACAAATATACACTATATGAGCAATATTGAGCTTTATATTTTATGAGTCTAAAAGGGATGAACGTTAACTCTTGAGTGGTTATGCAAAGTATTAAGTATGTGTATATAATATATGTTAGATATATGACTAATTACTTAACTTGTTAATTTGGTTTGACTGGTTAGGAGTGTCTGAAACCAAACCAAACCACCTAAACCAAACAAGCTAAAAACGTTAACCAAACCAATTATCCAAATTAACCAAATCAAATTATCCAAATAGTACCGGTTAAACGGTTACCACGGTAACCAAACCGTTTGAACACCCCTATTTGCAACGATTTAAAATGAAAAATACCATTGGATTGTTTGGCTTGTGGATTTAAAAAGAAAATTGTCTGGTCTCTAAAAAAAAAGCTCATTATTTCAAAATTCTTGCTCTCTATGTCAATTCTCATAAATGCAAAATAAGACAATTCAAATTGTTTGTATTCCTATACCTCATTTTGTATTGTCAAAGAGAAAAACATTTCAAATTAATTGGACCAAATTTCCTCGTGCCATTGTTACATCAGTACACCACCACATTTATTTTCGGTGGGATCACGATTAAGATGGAATCGAATGGCGAAGAAGAGAAAAAAAATGGCGAAAACATCATCATCATCATGAAGAATGATAGCGATGATCTCCTCATGATTTCCCATTTCTCCATTTCCTCCCACTCCTCTTCTTCCTCTTGAGTCAGTCTCACCTACTCCTCTCTAACCCACTTCTCCCACCCTTCAAAGAAAAGAAAGCAACAAACAAATCAAAAGCTCCTCCACAAGATACTCTCCACCAAAGTCTTCCCCTTTCCCCTGCAGCCACTAAATCTTTTGCTCTGCTTTTTCTTCTTCTTCCCCCTTCTTTGCTGGTTCCCACCTTCTGCAAATTTCGTTGCTTGGCTTCGTTTTCTTCCCAAAGATGGACTCTTTCAACCGATCCACCGGTCCCCGGTACCGCTACAGCCGGATGGACGACGACGGCGACGGGCTGCTGCAAATCTACGTCCACCACGCGAGGAACATCCACAACATCTGCATCTACGACAACCAAGACGTGTACGCCAAATTCTCCCTCACTTACAACCCAGACGACACCGTTTCGACCAGAATCGTCAACGGCGGCGGGAAGAACCCGGAGTTCAACCAGCGGCTCGCGATGAAGGTGGCTCAATCCGACGCCGTGTTGAAATGCGAGATCTGGATGCTGAGCAGAGCTAGGAACTTGATGGAGGATCAGCTTCTGGGTTTTGCTCTGGTCCCAATTTCAGGGGTTGTTGGGAAAGGACAGGTGTCAGAGGATTACAGCCTGTCCTCCACCGATCTGTTTCATTCCCCTGCCGGGACAGTGAAATTGACACTCTGTTTATCGCCTTCGGTCGCCGGCGCGTCAGGGGAGAGCAGTAATTGCTCGATTTCGTCGGAGGTCGTGCTGCTGGACCGGAGGATCTCGGAAGTGGTCGCTCTGGATCCGGTGGAGTATTCGAGGATCGAATTCCCCGATATCGGAGTTGCGAAGCAGAATCAGGAGATGGCTACGGAGTATTTCCACCGGAAATTGGGATCTTTCCTCCATCTCGGGAATTCCTCTGTTTTTCATGATTGCGAAATGACCGCCGCCGACGGTGGTTCGATTTCTCCCGCCGACAGCGTTCACGTCTCGTCTGGGTTTTTTAGCTCTACCACGACGAGCTTGAGCGAAGACAGGAATTCATCGGATTCGAAGGAGAAGAAGGGCGGTAACGGCGGTGGAGGGGGGCGGTCGTCGTCGGCGTATCTCAACGTCTCTGTTTCCGGCGAGGGGAACCAGAGCTCGTCCTCCTCCGGCGGGTGCCCCGACACCCCGACGTCGAGGAAAGGGAGCGAAATCAGGGACCGGAAAGAAGGCAGAGAGGAGGGGAACGGGAATTCGATCGACGGAGGGGGGAAATACGGGAAAGTTGGTCCGCCGGCGCTGGTGCCGGACATGAATTTGGAGGCAGAGCAGTCGGCGATGCAGCAGCAGATAGTGGATATGTACATGAGAAGTATGCAGCAGTTCACCGAGTCACTCGCCAAAATGAAGCTTCCGATGGATCTGGACAAACCCAGAAGCGCCGGCGGCGGCGATTTGAGTCAATCACAACATGAGAACGGTGATCGTAAAATGATGGAGGATTTCGATCCTCCGCAGCAGCAGGAGCAGCAGCAGAAGAAGAAAAAGGATGGATCACGGGTGTTTTACGGGAGCCGAGCATTCTTCTAACACAGTAACTTAAACTGCTCCGAATTACAAGGAGCTTATTTCCTGTTCGGTATTTTTTTTTTTTAGCGATTAACATTTTGTTTTCCTCTTTGTTGTTGATGATTAACTAAAATATCATGAACTGTGTTGAATTGATTGTTTGATTAGATGAAAGTTTGGAGCTTTACCTTTCATGGTGAAGGGAAAAACTGTACCTTTCAGTGGTTGTTTGAACATGGATGGTTCTTTGCTTGTTCGTACTTTGAGTTGCATCGTGATCATCTTGTTGCATCGCCAAATTCATTCTCATTCTTAATTCGTAAAAATCTATACACTATTTATTTCCTTTTGGATGGAAGGTTCTTATAACTATTTTACTTTGGCGATTTTCGAATATCCGTGAATATAGGTGGCAATTGGATCGGATTCGTGGGTTGGTGGATCAATGGATCAAATGGATTGGATCAAATGGATTGGTGGATTGATCCATGAATCCAAATGACATCCAAGGCTTGGACCAAAATGTAATTTTTGAAAAGTTTAGGTACTAAAATGTCATGATGAAAAATTTTAGGTACCAAAATGTAATTTTCCAATGTAATTTTCGTATATAATTTTTAGGTACCAAAATGTAAAATATAAAAAATATAGGTACCAAATCGTAATTTGTCATTTGGATCCATGGATTGATCCATGAATCCACCAATCCAATTGGATTTGGATCAAATGGATTGGATTTAAATGGATTGGATTAGGTGGATAATTTGGTGGATGGATTGGATTGGATTCATGGATTTGGATTCTAATTGCCACCTCTATTCGTGAATAATACTTTCCCAAAAACTTTGAACCAAGCTCATAATACAACTAATATGATTAAGACAACTAAGTTGAAAACACATGCAATTTTAGAGCTATAAAAGTATAAGAAACAACAAAAATTTAAATACTTGGGGGTAATTGGAGATAAAAATGTGACATGTATGTAGAGGTGGCAATTAGGATCCAAATCCATGAATCCAATCCAATCCATCCACCAAATTATCCACATAATCCAATCCATTTAAATCCAATCCATTTGATCCAAATCCAATTGGATTAGTGAATTCATGGATCCAAATGGCAAATTATGATTTGGTACCTGTTTTTTTATATTTTACATTTTGGTACCTAAAATTTATATTTTTATACGAAAAATTACATTGGAAAATTACATTTTGGTGCCTAAAATTTTTCATTATGACATTTTAGTACCAAAACTTTTCAAAATTTACATTTTGGTCCAAGTCTTGGATGTCATTTGGATCCATGGATCAATCCACCAATCATCCATTTGATCCAATCCATGAATCCACCAATCCATTTGATACATGGATCCACCAATCCAATCCACGAATCCGATCCAATTGTCACCTCTACATGTATGTATTAATAAAACTGAAAAGTGAAATGAAGGTTACGAGAGTGTCATATTATTTAAATTTTTTTTTGTGGAAAGGTTGGAGGAGAGAGATCAGATTAATGTAATTGGGTGTAGGTATTATATGAATTACATGTGAAACGGTTATGGATATGAAAATGAAGTGTGAACACTTAAACTCATCTCCACAATTTTCTTTGTGCGTGTTCTCCATATTCGTTCTAGCCATTAAGAAAATTTCCTTCCTTAATGGAGTTGAGGACGGACCCGGTTATAATTACAATGCCATCCCTACATTGGAGTTAAAATATTAAACTGGAAAAACTTGGAACCAGGGTCAGAAACGTAATCTTCACTTGTTTGTGTCGCAACAAAGCCCAGCCCATAAGTAAGCCCCGGCAGTAACCCTATCTCTACCTGCTTTACTCTGAGCCGAAGGATATGGATCTAAGGGCCCAGCAGTCAAATTTGAACGGTAGAAAAAGCCCATTGCATTCCACCGCATTTTCTCATCCACATATCTTCCCAAGTCCCAACTGTTTAGGAAGAAGCCATCTGTTCAGTTTCCCCAGTCGGTCGGGACCTCCAAACGGGTCCTCTCCTCGCTCGTTCCTTCTCCATCTCTCTCTTCTCTTATTTTTCTTCTTTCTTTTTTCATTTTTCTCTTCATCCTTCCTTTCTCATCTGGAATCTCTGTAGGTTTATTCGTTTAGAATCAGGGCATTTCTTTCCCTTTCTTTTTTTCTTCTTCCTTCTTTTTGTACAAATTTCTGAGATTAGGGTAGGATTTAGAACACAGATCAGATATATAGGAGGAAACGAAAACCAAACAAAAACTCTTTTTTTGTTGTTTATTTGTTGGTACTTCTCTCTGGTTTATCGACCATGTCTTCAGCTGTCAACGCCGAGCAGTTGGTTGGAGCTCTGGACTGCGTCTCGATTGTAGATCAGGTATGTTTCAAATCTCCCCGTATCTGTATACCTTTATGGCCTTTTTGAGTAATTCCATTTGGTGGAAAAGATCCGGGTTTTGTTCCTGGGTTGCCGATCTCTTGATCTGGGTATGTGAGAAGAGGCGGTGAATTAGTTGGGTTCTCGTCTTTGTTGGTTGGCAGCGGTGAATCGGAGTTGTATGGATATGATTGTGTTTTTTGCTTGTTTCGATTGCGGTGGCGATTGTGATATTTGATTTCTGGGCGGTGTGGAATTATTGATTTGGGGCTTTTGGATTACAGGGAGAGGTAGATGCTAAGTTTGGGTCAAATGGGAAGAAGGCCTGTGGGAATCATGGTGGGAATTGTGCGATTTGCTTGGATGAGATTGTGCTCGAAGAAACTGCCCTAATTAAGGGGTGTGAGCATGCTTACTGGTTAGTATGATCAGCATTCTGCCTCTTTTGCCTTCCAATTCCGTAGGTCTTAAGCATGATTCTTGCCTGTGATTCACCATTTGAATATTCTGGCTCTATCATATGAAATATGGATGACTATAATAGTAACTTTATAGCCTTTGCCAGTTTTCTCTTTGCATTATAAATCTTCTCTGTTTATAATTAGTTCCTCTGTCAAAGCATCACGGCCTGATTTGTTGATTGTCTCTTGTCTCTTCTCTTTCGGGACTTTCTCTTGTGATCACTTTCATCTATGCTATGTGGCGTACCTTGTAACTCATGTTGAGGAGTATAGATTAAAACATCGTCATTGATATCCTGTCGCCTTTACGAATGATGGTTTTGAAATTGTTCTGAGCAGGTTGGTGGCATGAGGTACGTTAATTTTTAATCTGTATTGCAAGTTGCAACTGCTAGAAACTTAATCTCTCATTTTAGTTGCATGGATTTGCGAGAATGGCTTACCATGGATCATATTTCCTAGCAATTTTTTTCTCAGCTTTTGTTTCTTGGGCCACATATGTGTATGATTGCATTTTCTGAGCTTTCAAGCTAACAAACCGATGTAGTTGGTTGAGAGCAACTCATCTCCTATTCGATAATATGGCACCACTACTGATACCTCATGCAAATCTTCAACAATGAATAAAATCATATACAATCCCTCCAACTCGGTCATTTTTCGTATATGTAACTCTCTTTTGTATTATTTTGAAGCCAACAGGGTTAATGAATTTTCCCGTTTAACAATTTCTTGCAGTGTGACCTGCATCCTGCACTGGGCCACGTACAGTGAGAAACCAAAGTGCCCTCAGTGCAAGCATCCATTTGAATCTCTTAATGTCCACCGATCGCTCGATGGCTGGTATGTTAACTCCAAATTTCTGGCCTCTGTTACACAGGTTCTTGAAAATGGTGATTAACTTTGATTTATCTATCCTATTTTCAACAGCATCCATGATTACATGTTTGAGGAAAGCCTGTGCCTTCTACTCAGAGCCACATGGTTCAAGCCATTGGAAGTACCATCTCACCATGGCACTGCATATGAGGATCCAGATGAGTTCTTCCCGTATGACTACGTGTATGGTTACGGGTACGATTACGAGGAAGATGATATTGATGAAGCTGCTTACTACGGCAGCGGCAGTTCCTCATCGAGCAGTGTTATTAGGATTGGCAACAGAAGGTGGGGTGACAATGGGTACGTTAGAGCAGGCCGTTTAGAGGCCCGGCCAGTTCATCATCGACCCAATGCCCAGGATTCCGGAGGTGCAGGTGGTTCCTCGTCATCATCTCGTGAACCGAGGAAGAAAGAGGATAAGACCGGGCGTCGTGCAAAGAGGACCCAGAAGCGGGAAGCTGCTGACAAGAAAGCTGCTGAGAAACATCAGCTGCTTCTGGCCAGGCTGGGGCGCCAGTAAACGAGAGACGCCCCTGTTGATCGTGTATCATGCTCGATACGCCAGAAAGACTGAAGCTGGTTCCATTGTACAGTACTTCATCCAAGTTTCTGCGTTTTTTTTAATTTTTTTCTTCGTTTAACTGAAATAATCAAGGGTGGGTGGGATAAAAGACCCATTAGGAAGGGAGGTTTAGTAGTTGGGATGGAACTGCAGGATGTACATTCCAGAAGTTTGTTGTTCATATTATGCTTGAAGTCGATATCAGTCAGGGTTTATAATTCCTGGCGACTTAATTGTTCTTTCATTTCTCCTTTCTGTTGTTTATTTGTATTAGTCTGTTAGCAAAGAAAATTCTGTTCTTTCCTCCAAGTTATAGACTATATTGTCAACTTCGTCGACGCAATTTTCACCCAATATAGAGAGGATTGTAAGTTCGGTATTTGGGACAAACTGAATGCTAGATCGAATTATCACTATTTAGTATTAGCGAGTACTGGTTTATTTTTTAGGGAATTATCACTATTTAGTATTAGCAAGTACCGGTTTATTTTTCAGGGATTGAGATTTGGAGTACTATTCAGTATTCGAGATTACAGGATGAGATCGATATATACAGAAATATTGAGAAATACTGAAAATTAAAAATTATTGAAATATAGCAGACAACATTTGGTAATTCCTCAATGTTCCATAATTTAAAGGCTTACATCCAACTTAATTTTGACTTTCCAGTTTAAATTACTCTCGTCACTCATCTAATCTCTTGTTATTTTAACACACAAAAAACAAACACTAGTATTAGTCGTTTCTCTCCCTCCAATTCCTTTATTAAAGATTATCAATAACAAGAATTTGAGATGTCACCTCTCCTCTATTCTCATTATCCATATCCTAGCTCTAGGCAAACTCAAAACTCTTTGTTTGGTCTCTTTGCCCTAAACTAAACAATCAAATTTAATTTATATATTTATTTATTAATTAAAGATTATCAATAACAAGAAATTGCCCTTAATTAAAGATTATCAATAACAAGAATTTGAGATGTCACCTCTCCTCAATTCTCATTATCCATATCCTAGCTCTAGGCAAACTCAAAACTCTTTGTTTGGTCTCTTTGCCCTAAATTAAACAATCAAATCTAATTTATATATTTAATTATTAATTACAAAGGTAATTAATTTCGTATTCGATAATGTCGATTAAGATACTGAAGTATCGATTGGGCTACCGAAATATTTAGGGATTTGGATTGAGATATCGAAATTATTTAGGAATTGAGATTGAGATTGATTTTAAGGTGTAATTCGATATTTGGAATTTCAGTATTGGCTATTGGGATACCGATACCGTACCGATTTCCAATATATATTTTCACTCAATTACATTAATTGAGTGTGCAAATTCCATTGATATGCCATTTTAATATTTTATCAACCCATAACTTCCTCTAATTCGAGAAACTAAGAAAAATGAGGTTTCCCTGCGTGCCCCTAGGATCTCGCACTTGTTTTTTGCCGATGATTCTTATCTGTTCCTGCGTGGCACGCTCCAGAAATGTGACAATTTGATTGAGGTTTTAAATGAGTACGAGGAGCTAAGTGGACAGCGGGTGAATTTAGCGAAGTCAGTGGTATGCTTCAGCAAAAATATTGCGTTGACCAAGAATTCTTAGCTGCGATACTGGGGGTGGGGGCGGTTGGGGTCCATGATAAATATCTGGGCCTACCTACATTGATTGCTTGATCTAAAATGGAGACATTCCGGTATTTAGAGGAGAAATTGTTGGAGCGGCTCCAGGGATGGAAGCAAAGAACTTTATCTTGGGCGGCTAAAGAAACGCTGATAAAGTCAATTGCTCTGGCGTTACCGTTGCATGTAATGTCTTGTTTCAAGCTGCCTCTCTCTCTCTGTCGTCTCCTGGATAGACATGTCGCCCGTTTCTGGTGGGGTGCTAACGAGGGCCATTCGAAAATTCGGTGGATGTCCTGGTGTGATTTGTGTAGGAGTTAGCATGATGGTGGGATGGGATTTCGCCGATTTGAGCATTTTAACCAGACCCTTCTTGCCAAAATTGGATGGCGTATCCTATTTGAGCCTCAGTCCCTTCTTGCCCAAGTCTACAAAGGTAAGTATTTTCCTAATGGGCATTTCCTTCATGCTAAGGCTCGCTCCCGCCCGTCATGGGGATGGCAGAGTGTCCTGTTTGGTCGGCAGTTACTAGAGATGGGATTAAGATGGAAAATTGGGAATGACCGATCGTCGTCTCTGTTGCATTCCACATGGATCCCTCAACTCCAGTTGGATCCCCCGTGGTATAATCCGTGGGTTTTACCGATCGAGGATAGGCTCATATGGCATGATACTGCTGATGGGGTGTTTTCTGTTAAGTCTGCTTATCACTTGGCTGTCTCCCTTGATAGGAGGAGGGGTCGCTGGAAGGCTACGACTAGTTGGATGGATAAGACTAGTTGGATTCGGTTGTGGGAGGCTAATATTCCCCCCAAGTTAAAGGTGTTTGTTTGGCAGATCCTAAATCGAATCTTACCAACTACGGAAGCCCTAATTGGTAAGAAGGTCCCCGTGCTCCCTCGTTGCCTGGTTTGCTGGGAGAATCCAGAAACGATGGAACATTTGTTTCTAGATTGTCCGGTGGCACAGACCCTTTGGGGCTATTCGGGGCTGGAGTACTTAGGGGAGGGGCTTCCTCGTCATACCTTCCCTTTATTTCTTAAAAAGCTGATGGCTTTAATTCAGCAGCCGACACTATTCATGGAAGTTGTTGTCATCCTTTGGCGGATCTGGCGGTCTCGAAACTGAGTGGTCTTTGAGGGTAAGCAGTTTGGGTTCCCTGCTTTGATGCGACAGTTCGCCCAGCATTATGAAGAATGGGTGCGGCTGCCGGTGAATAAAGCTCTTCAGGCCTCTGATCCTATGGTACAACAACCGGGACTGATGGTTCATGCTTGGGTTGTTTGAATGTGGGATGTGGCTACTAGGAGCGACTCTCATTCGGCGGGCGGGTTGGTCCTTATGACCCCTACTCGGGAAGTCCTTCTGGCTAAAGGGGTTTAATTTCCTATAATTGATGATCCCATGGCTTCACGGAAGTAAGATTTGAAGGGGATGCCAAGGTGATCATCGACAAGATCAGGCGGGCCGATACAAGGGACAACCGGTTGGGTGCGATTCTTGATGAAGTGGTGCTGGGTTTCTCCAGCAACCCCGGGTTTAGTGTTTGATTTGTAGGTCGGAGTAGTAATAGGGTAGCCCATTTGGTGGCTAGAAAGACCCTCTCTTTGTACCCGACTATGAGTAATTTTTTCGATTTGCAGTCCTGGCGGATCTCCAGGATGTAACTACCTATTCTTTGAATCAATACATGATTATCTTTTGTAAAAAACTAGCGTGTGCCCCGGCCATTTGGCCGGTGGAAGGTGAGGTGTGAAATTTGATAATGTAATGGGGTGTATAGCTTATTGTTGTATAGTTTTTTTGGGAAACACATGATAAAAATAGTGAATTTTAGTAGGAAAGAGACATGAATGATGCAACAAATCAAAAATCAGCCTTATGATTATGAACCAAAATCAAGTACCTGTTACCTTGTGAAATAATATTGTTTCTGGTAATATGATGAGGTGGAGTAAGTTTTATAGAAACCGAATTTTAGAAAATCGAATAAAAAATCGCCTATCCCGCCGGTTTTCGGGAAATGAGCATCTCACAATTGTTGCTAGCTTTTACTCGGCTCGTTGGCCGATGAATTTGTTTATAAAACTTTCATCTTGTCATCATTGTGCTTTCTGGTTTTTTGCCAAGCCATGATAAAATCTAAAGAAATCAAGAATGAACAATACTATTTGGGATAGGAACCACCGTTCCTGTATCCCCAGAAAATGGTGGCAAACACGGACTCACCTGCCAAACTGGTTTGGATTGAGATTTTTATCAGGTATCAGGGAACCATGTGATTATAAATTAGACTTGATCAAAACAGGCCAAAACTTGAAATTTAGTCTGTTTGACCGACCTATGCCAAACTCTAATTATTCTTTACTTGTAAACTTTCTATTTGAAAATAAAAACTAATGAAAGAAAAGAGATGACTGCAATTCGCCCACTTGCACATCACTGATTCGGGAATAAAACTATAGAATTTCGAAAGAAAACTGAAAATGTTTAGGATCGTTTTAATGTTAAAATAACCAAATAGATCTTTATGTTTAGTTTTTTACTAACAAATACCAAACGATTCCCTATAATATACACTATAATTTAATCATTATGATATCAAATAATTATATAGTATATATTTGAAATGATAAAAATTGGACTAATTGGGTTGGTCGAGGTTGAACCATTGAATAACTTAAAAATACATGATATTTTAGCCACTAAGATATAAAATAATAGCATAATATACAAAATAGCTTGTTTTAGAATGACAAACCCATGATGTTCATTTGTTTTACCTGATGGGCAAATCCCGTGTAGGTCAGGCCCATTCAACTCTTTTATTTTATGATTAGCGGTTAGCCCATTAGAATCCATGCGTTAGTTTATTGTTAATTTTTTTCTTTTTAGCAATAAAAAGGAGTATTGTTTTTTCCTTTTCATATATATTTTGCCACCACGGAGAAATAAAAGGACTTAAAGAAAAAAATTGACGCTCCTGGACCAGTTTAAATATGCATGTGTACGGTAAGTTGGCCCATTCCACAGAGGAAAAAGAAAAAAATTGACACTCCCTATTCTATCTTTCCTACAAACGCTCATGGAGCAGGGAATTTAAAATGAGGGAAGAGTTTTTTTCTCTCTACGATTATATATTTTTAATTTAAAAAGATACAACAAATATACTTAGGGCTCGTTTGAAGAATTGGAGTCTAAATCTCTAGATTCTAAACAATCCAAAGATTTTAACTCTCTGGATTATTGAAAAAAGATTTGAAAATGTTCATTGTTTGGTAACTATGATTGTTAACATCCAATGAAAAAAGAAATTCTATTTTTTTTTATCACATAACATGTTTATCCTTAACCAAAATAATTAGATTGGCTCGAAAAATATTGAGAATTTATTGGTAAGGGTATTTAGTGGGATAATGAAAAAAAAAACAAGAGATAAAATAGGAGGGAGAAAATCTCCAAAATCAAGATGTAGAATCTCTCTAATTATGAGAGATTTGATATCCCTAGATTTTATAGATTTACAATCTCTGAAGTTACAATCCACGATACAAAATGTAGCAAAAAAACATAACATTTTACTAAATCTATGGATTCAATAAATCCACGATCCAAATCTTGTTCACCAAACGACCCCTTAGTGTGATTCGTTATGATCTTTACTTTTCTTTAAAGTAGTAATTGTTCGAATGGTTAGCAAAACCTAGAGGAGCTAACGGACGGTAGCGGGACAACAGAAGCCCACAATAAAAATTCAACAAGAAGTGAAGGGTCCAGGTCCGGCCCAACCGAGAAGGAAATGACTTATTGGGTCCGACCCATGCGAAAATACGGATTGTTTCCCGAGTTTGGACTGCTTCCCTCTTCTTTTGTTTCTTCCTTGCGGCAAACAAAAAATGGCTTTCGAGAGACTGGAGTCAGAAGTCTTGCGCCTTCCCCTGCAACTAGATTGCGTTCAAAATGGCGGGAGAGTCAAATCAGCTGGAGCAGTCCGACTCCGGAGTCAGCCCGTCGCCGGAGACTGTCGACGCGCTGCTTGAGGTGCGTCATCTGTTTCCATCTATATCGGCAAGTTTTTTCCTCCGTCCCAACCTGCTATCTTCAATTGAAATTAGGGTTCCCCGTTTTCGTTGTAGGCGGCTAGATACGACGATCTTGACGACATCAAAGGCTTGGTGTCAGATGGTGTTCCTCTCAATTCTAAGGATTCATTCGGAAGGACAGGTTAGTTGTGGGTCTCTGGTCGACTTGCTCTTTATGATTGTTGTACAACTTTGAATATGAGATACTCTGTTCTATGGCACATAGTTGAGTGCTTATTTGTAGACTGTACTGTTTGAATTGAGCCATGCTGAATTACTTGTCTTGTAGTAACTGGTAGGCTAATCAAAACGAAATATGGATTCTATTACTCTGCAATCTGCATTGGTATGGTGATAAAACCCTGTGTTAGAACATTTTGTGAACAGATATGTTCGCTCTTGTAGTTCAAAGGGGTTGGTATGTGAGGCATTTCGTATGGAAGGAAAGTACATTACGAGATCAGACTAACGGAGAATGCTTGACAACTACTGATTCTTGCTTCAAGATTTTGTGAACTGCTTGCATATCCAAGTGTATTTATCGTCTATCAGCAAGATGCTATGTAAAATGAAGAATGCCTATTTCATGACTTAGACTGACATGGCTGAATGCAGAAGTTTACAGGACTTAATAACAATTGTCGCTGCTTCATTGTTTGTTTCTACGTACATCAAAGAATTGATTATGGGAATTTCAATGAAATGGTGGTGCTGTTTGCCTTGCTTACTTCTACTTTTAGGAAACCTGTAGGGAGATCTTTTGGAAAGGCGAAAATGTATTTGAATAGGAGTCTGAACTTCTGATGAGCTCTGTACAGCTCTAGCAATGTTTGACTTGCTCTGATATTGGGTTGCAGCTCTTCATATGGCTGCTGCTAATGGTCATCTTCAAATCGTCAAGTATCTTATTGATCAAGGAGTGGTAGGTTATTATCATTATCTTGAGATTATCTTCGAAGCTGATTATTGCTAAATAGAATACATCAATCTCTTTCTCCTCATTTCTTCTTTTGCTTTTGTCTACTTATTAACTCTGCATCAGATTCCGGTCTAAAGAAATCTCCGCACTGATTGAATACTTAGTTTTGGTATAGACTATCTATGACAGTACTCTTAATCTCACGACGCGAACCATCACCAATGACCAGACAATAGTTTCTTTCAAACATCATGCGCTGTGATCCTAGTTCTTGTCATCAATTGTCTATAACAGCTGAATTCATGGCATGGTTCCTTGCTTTGGCAATGCATTTTGCCTTCATCTCCAACCATATCTCAATTTCCTTATCATAGTAAATTTCATTCCTTGAATTTGGGTTTTCGAAGAAATCATGTTTAGTTGCAGACACTTCTTCCATGCAGGATGTTAATGCTTCCAACGAGGAAAAGAATACAGCCCTTCATTGGGCTTGCCTGAATGGCCACAGCGAGGTAATCAATTGGCATTGCCCATCACTACATGCCATTGTCTTCCTATTTTTGCATATTCTTATGCATTCTAATTACAGGTTGTGAAGAAGCTGATCTTGGCTGGAGCTAGTTTATGCAGTCTCAACAGGTTTAGTCTCTTACTCGCTTGTTTGTTTATCAATTCAAGGCCCTCTCCTAATGTGGTGATCCTTGTGAACCAATCATCAGCCATGAGAGGACTCCCATGGACGAAGCTGTTACCCGGGGCAAAATGGACGTTGTCGATTCGATTAATGAGGCTGTAGCACAACGGGAGCTATCTGGTGTCGCAGTTTCCTGAAGGCACGAGTCCTTTTCTCTCGTATTACAGCCAAAGCATGTTTAACAGCGTCGCAGCAACTTAATTTAGATACTTTGTTCGTTTCCATGGCTGTGCGATGTTACATTAGTTTAATCATATGTTGGTGGACTTTTGGCCACAACAATCAGGCGTAGAATATCAGCGAAGCATTGCATCAATAGGTTTCCCTGTTGTCTTCAAGGGTATTTTGGCGCGCTTTTTGTCGCTGAATTTTCTCTTTGTAGCAATTTTGTCAAATACACTTGTATTGTATTTGGTGCTTCTTGGTAACCTCTAAGTCGAAATGCAGCATCCCCAAATGGAAAAGGTAATAATGTTTCCGGTACATAATCGTTGTTGATCGATAAAGTAGGATTGTTGAGTATCTAATAGAGGTGGCATCCAAATCCCATGAATCCAATTCAATCCATCAACCAAATTATCCACCAAATCCAATCCATTTAAATTCAATCCATTTGGTCCAAATCCAATTGGATTGGTGGATTCATGTATCAATCCATGGATCCAAATGACAAATTACGATTTGGTACTTATATTTTTTATGTTTTATATTTTGGTACCTAAAATTTATATTTGTATACGAAAAATTACATTGGAAAATTACATTTTGGTACCTAAAATTTTTCATTATGACATTTTTAATACCAAAACATTTCAAATTTTACATTTTGGTCCAAACCTTGGATGTCATTTGGATTTATGGATCAATCCACCAATTCATTTGATCCAATCCATGAATCCACCAATCCATTGGATCCAATTTATTTGATTCATGGATCCACCAATCCAATCCACGAATCCACAAATCCGATCCAATTGCCACCTCCAGTATTTAATCATTTGATCACTCCAAATATGCGTTCATGATCATATAGTTCACTGTCAACCGGATGGGAATCCTATGTGCTATATATATATAATATATTCAGAACCTTGTTTAAGAAATGCGCAAAATGATCCATAGTTGAACCCTTTCACTTGTTGATTAGAAATCCTTGTTGGACTAGGATTTGTGATTAGACTTGAAAATCCGAGTCTAATTCTAAGAGAGAGAAACTTGGGTTACCAACCGCCAATCGAAGAGCTTCTGGTTTAATTTCTTTCACGAACATTTATATGCGTTATTTGTTACTGTCCCTTTTTATAAGAATCCACATATAATTGTCAATGCCGTTGAGCAATATTGCAGATAAATTTCTCAAAAATATAACACGAGATATCTTATTATTGATTAGCTCTCGTGAAATAGTACAAAATTGTTAAAGGCACCTCCAAATAGTCTCCTCATACTTTCGGATGCTTAAGCAGGACAAAATCATCAGTTTGAAAATGTGTGGAAAATTGACCATCATCTCTTAGCTAGAAAAGATGATCGATTTTCACATCCGAATCAAACCCGCAACCCTAAGGAGTTCGCCTAGTAAACATCTATCACACCCTGAGTTCGACCCTTGAGATCAACAATCAACGAAAAAGAATCAAACCCACAACACGATTGATAATATAATGATACATAAAACTAAAGACACATGGAGGTGGTAATGACTCAGGTCATGGTCAAATAAATGAAATCTTCAACAATCTCTTCTGGAGAAGAAGGAAAAAAAAAATAGATGAAAGGGATGAATCAAGAACCCTTCAAGCAGATGATTGCGGCAGTCGACGGTTTCTTCAAGGATCATCCAACTGATCTATTAAGATATTTTCTAATTATCCATTTGTATTATATGTAACTTAATTAGTTTAAATATCAGCTGCTGATAAAATCAATGCATGGCCATATCGGTATAGTTTGGTATCTGTCATTGTTAATGTAGTTTAAATATCAGCTGCAGATAAGAAATCGTTAATAATATTGTCACATGGCCAATTTGACGAATAAAAGAATCACAAGACACAAATGTTGGATATGGCCACTGATCCACCACTTGAAATTGCAGCGCAATTAAATTAGTCAACGCGTTATGTTTTCCTTGTTTGTTTCAAAATTGTTCAAATAATCAACTTTTTGAGCTTGATTGTTATGCACTTATGCTTATAGTTATCGGAATGTGTAGTTTGAATATAATGGTACAAATCTACATATTTTCGTAAAAAAAACTTTCCATGATACAAATTAAATTTATATACTTAACATTATAGAACAAATTTAGTTTGTACCCATACTTTTTTAAATAAATTTATTTATAATACAAAGTGAATTTGTACTTCCATAGTATATGTGTTTATTAGTATTATAAAATTCCTCTCAGCTTTTATATATCAACAAATTGTTCGGTTCATTTATGACATTTCCCCCCCTTTTGCTTTTTATTCATGGTTGAAGAAAGAATTTACATAAACATTGTTATCCGATTTCATCTCACAAATAAGACAATGTAGTCTTCGCCTTTGACAATTGCGATGATGTGCATGCACAATATCGTCTTAGCGAATCTTGTTGAAAGGGTAATTTTGAATCTATGCACTTGTTGACATTAGCTTGATAGTACGATCCTATTGTAAGTACGTAACGAGAGGAATTCGTAGCTAAAATGATGATTTTACGAATATGATTTTACCCTCTCGCATATAAATGTCGGTACTAATTAAAAAATCTTTGAATTATGAACGAGCCAAATTAAATTTCGCCATCTGATATCCTATACATTCTGTGTTTCTATGCATCATGAACAGAAACCTCTTAGGTAGCTTCCTCCAGATTATCGTATATTCTGAGACATGCATGCAGCAAAATTGACATGCAAAGCACGTGCAAAAAATTAAACTTCAATTTCTCAACCTCCCTCTCCCCTGCTTCGTATATTTAATTGTCAGCGGGAGCAACTGTCTGTAAGTAGACAATAATGGAGATCAAGACTCTTGCGCAGAATAATGGAGATCGATCAAGAGTAATGTGCATTTGTTTGTCAACGTGTCATTAATAATAATGTGGTATTTATTTATTTATTTATTATCATGGGTTAATTATTATATGGTTTCAGTACTATCTCTGTTACATTTCTTTCATTTAGTTTCATCATCTTTATGCATCCATCATGGTGATGGAGTTTATTACGGTGAGATTCTCCTGTTTGAAATTGTAACAAACTTCAACATTACTTGTTTTATTTAGATACAATGTATTTGTATATATTAATTTCAAATTTATTGTATGAATTTGTATTTTCGGAGTGCTTACTATTGGAACACAAATTAAGTTATCTTTGAATCCCACTAAACCATATTAATTCCTAGCTACGCCACCCGATGCAAATTAAATGCTATGTTGATCCCCTAATGTAGTCTTAATTAAACTCATGATCAATAATCTTTGGGTGCTTAGATTTCCAGAATTCGAGATATTTAAGGTTGTCTATGAGTTAGATTTCACCCCGGTCCAAAAAGGTTTTCAAAATTGCTTGTGTCGTGTGTGAGAGCCAAATTAGAACTTTTGGATAAAGCCCATCATGAATCGGTCCAATCGAAAGACGGTTTTGCTGCATTGATTGTGGTATCGTTGGGAGATAGATTATGGTCCCATATATATTTATTTAGTAGACTAAAACACCATTGCAAGTTGGTGCTGTAATTATACAGTAAAGCGTCATTGTACACGCAGATGAAGTTAATCAAAGCCTTTTTATTTAATTTTGGCCTTCTCCATTTCCAGGCAAAGACTATATGGTTGACTTTGTCTCCATTCGGATTATAGATAGATATGGAAATAAAGTGCATGTTTTTTCTTCTTCAAGCTTCCCCGGCCACCACTTTCTCAGAAAGGGCCAAAATAACGCAAGATGCACACTGATTATCGATGGGGGATTTTTTTCAACGACCCGCAATATTTGACTCTTCCGCCTCTCCCTTTAATTAATTATCATCACATGGCACAATCTAGTTCTAAATTGTGTAATTAATAACGAGCAAATTAATCAAACACCTAACATCCAAAGATCACCACACCAGTGAAGTCCCCGAATTTTGCAAAAACATAAAAATTCATGACTCCACGGATATTAATTGTGATGCACTACATAATGTAACAAATTTCACAACCTGTTGATGAAAGTATATGCTTGAAGTTTGGACAAAAACGTCGTCGTCATATTTAAATATGGAATATATTTTCATCAAAGACAAACTATAGATGTGAACTTCGAATAGAGTAATCGTATCTTTTTATTGCGCATTCAATTAATAGTATCAAACACGAGATTTCTCAAGTCAAATACTATAATATATACCATGTTATATAAATTGGATAGTCTGAAAAGCTTGGTTTGCATCTATGAATGTTCTCCAAAATACCAACAACAACAAAACAAAAACAAAACACTTAGAAATGTTGAGGCATAAATGTGAAGTCCCCCCAAGTTTTATGCATCTCATTGATATAAACCATAAAGATAAATGAGAAAACGACAATGGCTGACTTTTTTTTCCATATATAATGGCCACTTCCTTGCAAACATTTGGATCTATCCATAATCCATCGATCTATCTTCCTCTCTCAAACATGGGAAACGTCAACATATCTCCAGCTTCCTGCTTCCAACTCTGCTCATCGCCCAAATCCGTCTCACTCATCTTCTGGGACGGCACAACCACCACCCTCACCCCCTCCGGCCGCCGGAGCAAGCTCATCGCCGGCCAAATCATGGTAGAACATCCCGACAAGTTGGTGTGCAACTCGGAATCCTTCTTCCTCGGCCACCCAATCCCCGCCTTGTCCATCCACGACGAGCTCTTGCCCGGTCAAACATACCTCGTCCTCCCCGTTGACCTCTTCGCCTGCACCAAAGTCCTAAGCGCTTCCTCCCTCGCCGCCTTCACCGCCGCCGCCGGAAGCCCTAACAACAAGACCCCGCTGGTCAACGGCGGGTGCCAGCCGCTTCAGTACCTGAAGGGGTCAAACGGCGGCGTTTTGATCAAGGTGGCGCCCGAGTTTATGATCAGGCTTCTATTGAAAGTTGGGAGAGAAGAAAGAGATGAAAACGGTGAGGGGAGTAACGGGTTTCTTTGCAGCACGCCGGAGTTGAAGAAGCATTACGAGCAGCTGGTTGGGTGTAGAGAGCAAAAATGGTCGCCGAAGGTGGAGACGATTTCGGAGTACAAAGTTCGGTACTCGCCGTGCCGGTTTATAGGGTTGGAGTGGAAGCAGAAGGAGGAACAATATTGTTCATAGTGATATGATTAATGATTATCTTTTTTTTTTTTTTTTACCTCTTCTCTATGGCATGGTAATTCTGGTTTCCTATTTTTACCGTGGATTTGCTTGTTTTACCACATTTGGAATCGTTCTTAATTGATATTGTCAAGTGTACAGCAAAGTGTAGAAAGACTTGTTATTAGGTAAGGTTGGTTAATTATAGATTTATAGTGGTTGGCCCATAAATTAAAATGTACATTGAAGATTAAATATTATACGATCGATGTATTCTACACAAAGAAAGCCAAAACCTAGTAAATGACTAATTAATGTACATAATATTGTATGAAATCCATTACAACACGTAAAATTAAAATACTAATTCTCATTTTTTCACAACAATCGTGTGGTCCTCTTCTTCGTTATCTAAAATTAATACTAATTCTCATTTTTGCATAAATAACTCGTTGGGCAGCATTTTACTCAAATGAGTTATTTGATTAGTAATTTATTTACAAATAACTCAAAACAAGTTATTTTAATTTTTGAAATAACTTTTTTTACCACTCTGTTTTACCACTCATGTTATTTTGATTTTTGAAATAACTCGTTTTACTACTATGTTTTTGCCAAATACCACATTTGTTTCTATCAAACGAGATACTTCAATTACCATTGAATAACACTAAATTATTACATGAATAATTAATGTGTCATTTGACTCTACAAATATCACATTGACAATTAATCCATCCAAAACAAAGATTATAGCATATTAATTTTCCTCAAGCTTCCCCCACACCACTTTGCTAGAAAGGGGAAGAAAACGTAGAGAGAAACAACCAACGTTACTAAGACAAAATTTGGAGAACTTCACCTAGTGACTATGGGAGTCTCTCTCTTACTTTAATTCAAAATTTGCTCTCATCTCTCTCTAACTTTTCCCTCGCTGTGAAGCTCTCCAAGGGTTACCGCCAGCATCTCTTAGTGACCGGCGGTAGCCCATTGTCTTTTCCTTCTTCCTACTTCTTTTATTAGCTTTCTTGTCTCTGTTTTGATATTTTTCACTCTGCTTTTCCTGCTTTTAAACTTTTCAAGCCATTCTTGGCATTTTGCTCCCCTGTTCTAGGGTTTTTCCTGTGATTAGCTCTCCTTGGGGGTTGGGTTATGCATTTTGGGTCTTCTCTCATGATGGTGGGTTTATCAGCTTGTGTGGTGAATCGATTCACTGGTTTTCCCCTTCGTTCTTCCCAGGTGGTTGTTCTGCATCTTGGTGGCCGATGGAGGATGGATTGCGGTGTCTAACCCTGCTGCTCGTCGGTTTAGTTCTTTGATCTGGGGATCTGGGTTCTTCTGCTTCCCTTGCCCAAGACTTGGAGCCTCGTCTTCCCCTGCCTTTTCAGCTCGGAGCATTTCGATACTCATCCCTGTCCACCTCCATTTAATCTCTCACCCGTGATTTACTGTATTGAGCGTCTTCGAGCGACTCCCAGGAGGCGGCTAATGGCATTGTGTTCAATCGTCATGGACTCGGTCGGGTCGGTTTAGCTGATTGTGCTTGGTGCTACTTCGTTTGATTTGATTGTAAGAGAGCTTTCGGTGTTTACTGCTTTTGGTTCAAGTGTCTCAGATCCTTTGTTGGGTACTTGGGTGGCTCCTTCTGGGTTTTGTGCTCTTCTTGTTGTATCTCTGAAGCACAGATTGAGCATCCGTGTGCGTGAGTTTGTCTATCATTGTTCTGATTTTGGTTTGCTTTGTTGGTTCTCTTGTAATAGATCATTCAAAGTGCAATGCAAGTAATCCCTTTGTAAAAAAAAAAATACTAACGCAAAATACACACTGATTGGATGGTTTTCCTTCAACGCCGACAAAATTTGACTCTTCCGCCTCTCTCTTTATCAGGATGCAACATCGATCTAGTTTTAAATTGTATAACAATAATGAGCAAACCAAACTTATCTGTGACAAAAAAAAGAGCAAACCAAACACCCAAAGATCTCCACAAAAGAAACAAATAAATACACATGGATTCGAGTAATGCTGATAACACTACTGATATTCAGAAAATTAAAGGCTATTGGAAGAAGATCTGGAGTCCACCTATTCAGCCTAAAGTCAAAGTATTTCTTTGGAAGATTAGCAGAGACACATTACCTATAGGGGCCATATTGCAAATCGAATCGAGGATGCTTACCTTGATTGTTCGTTTTGTGGGTTTCCTGAAACCCAACTCCACTGCGTCAGGGAATGCGACGGGACTCGACGCCTCTGGCAGCAAATGGAGGACTGTGAACTCTTCCGAAAAGGTGAGGGCTTGTCTGGTTGTGAATGGTTCTTCCGAGTCTTAGATACTCAATCGAATAAGGATCTCCAAAAATTCTGCGCCATTCTTTGGTTTATCTGGAAAAGGAGATGCAACCATGTGTTTAATAATAAAAAACTTGAAGAGGAGGAAGCTATTTCGAAGGCAATTGCATGGATCAAAGATTACCTTCAAGCATAAAACATTTGAGAGGCGATGGGCGGACGAAGCACCCTTGATCAGGGTTGTAAATGCTCGCTGACAGGGATCTACAAGATGAATAGTGATGCAGGGATTTTGAACCCTTCTTGGATTGGTCTGAGATGTGTTTTCATAAATTGGGAAGGAAATTTTATGGGTGCTTTAGCCGGAAAGGAGAGGGGAAAGTGCAGACCGGTGGAGGCGGAGGCTAGGGCCATCACCCTTGGGTTGAGGGAAGCTAATCGGAGAGGATGTAGCCCCTTGATCGTTGAATCGGACTGCCTGAACTTGATAAAGCTTCTGAATGGTGAGGAAGAAGACTGTACTAAGTTGGGAATCTGGTGCAAAGAGATAAGAATTCTGACCGCAGTCAAGTCAACTCTGCTTTGTCTGGTTGTAAAGTCAAATGGGCCTTTATTCCTAGAAATTTCAATTCTGTGGCCCACTATTTGGCTCACTTGGCTCCCCAGTAGAACCATACGGTTGTCTGGACTGAATTTCCTCCCAACCCCATCGGGAGCCAGTTAGAGGCTGAGAAAGCCCAAAATGTGGAGTAATTGAATGAACAGGTTTTCCTATAATAAAGTTGGTATGTAATGTTTAGTTGATCATATAATTTAACAAACTTCGTAAACTTCCGACGAAAAGTGTACATTTTAGCGTCCATGTCATTGAATGATCTGCCCGCACAGGGCCGACCCTGGAATATTGGAGACCCTGTTCTAGAAACAAAATGAGGCCCAATTTTTTTTATAAACTCAATAAAATAAAAAATAATGCATAATAATAATGAACGATGAACAAATGATGACTGGAACAGAAAAATAGAATACAAATTTGATAAATTAAGAGAGGGATCATTAGTCAAACAAAATAAAAATTAAAACAAATGAAACCAAACAATAACTCAATTGACAAGTCGTTAATTCCCAAAATCCATCTAAATAGATTTTGGTGAATCGATTAAGTCGAAGAGTAAAAGAACTTTTAAAGATACAAATACATACAAAACAAGAAAAATATTAGAAGAAGATAATTGATATTAAGAATGTGTTTGAAATAATTGATAATATTTTTTATTTTTATTCCAAATAAATAATGTGGTAAGTGGTATCTCTTATTTTACTGTTGTTTTCAAAATAATAATAATAGTTGTGGATGAAAAAAAACTTAATGCATTTACTAATGTCGAGAAGTTACCAGAAATGATGTAAAATTAATAACATTGTTTTATAATATTGCACACACAAAAAGCAACTTTTTACCTATTGTGAATCTTCCTCTTGGCATTCAAGTGCATTAATGAATTAAGTAATCAATTTTGTTTTATTTTCTTCCATTTTTGCTGGCGAGGCCCGTATAAGTCAAAATGCCCAAAATACTTATTAGTGTAATAACAACAAGTTGGGGTCCCTATTTTCTCTCGGGCTCTATGTTGGGGCCTGGGGGGCCTGACAGCACAAGCCCAGTGCCGGGTCTGTGCCCGCATTGCTGGAGGCATGCAACGTTAGCAACCCACACGATCGAGCAGGTTGTCACCTATTATTAGGGATTGCTACCACTTACCTTAGCGTGTCAGTCGTCTTTTTTTTTTCCAGACGTCTCTTATGTTGATAGCTATCATTCCCGGTTGTGGTTGTAATCCCCACTTCGACTCAGGCCAGCCATCTTATCTATCTTCCCCTTCAGCGTCTTAAAGTCCCCAAAACCCCATGGTCTCCTTGCTCTGGGTGGCATCATCAATGAGTTCCTGAACCGCTAGGGCGGCGGGATGTAGGGGACGATGTAAGATGTTGAACGACGCTTCAAGAGCGAAAACCATTGTGTGACACACACAAGTTTCTGGAACACAAATCAATGACAGATGTATACAATTAACATATTGATCAGAGTAAGGGCTTCATCACAAGAAGAAAAATTTACATTAAGGTTTGCAGACTTAACACTAACTAGCAAGGGGAGATAAAAATGGTCTTTACTTAATACATATGGAATTTTATATGCCATTAAGGCTTAATAGTATGTTTAAAAGTTCATCATCAGTAATAAAATATTTGAATTTTTTTAATTGATATAAATATAAAATGATTAATTCATCAAATTTTTTTAATTGAACAAAATATACTACTCAATTAAAATAGCTCTTATAATCAATAATGAACTAAAAAGCCCAAGTCCAAAGCCCAAGTCAAAACAAACCAACTCGGGTCAACCCAACTAATAAACTCAAACCCTAATCAGTCAACTAGCAAGTTAGTATTACACACACCTGCTTTAAACTGGTTGACGGTAGGGCTGATGAGAACAGGGCCTGGATACCCAATTTCGTCCAAGAAGCGTGTATCACTCCAGTCCACCACGGCCTCATGTGGATGCTCGGTGAAACGATTATTTTTAATTCAAAACATAAACCAAAAAATTGGATCAAATTATATACAAACGGGAATATTGCATGCAAGTTAGTTACGGAGATGCATTCACAATTATGGCATAATTGAGTTTCATAGTAGATACAATCATACAAACTGAAATATTGCATGCATCCGTCTAATTATTATTTCAAGCTGAGAATTCTATAGCAATTAAACTAAGAGTTCATTTGAATTTTGTTCTGCGTCTGGAGATCATATGATAGACACGTACATTTACATAATAACATGATCAATTTGTGTTGCTATTTGCATGATTTCAACACATTATACACTATCCTCAACGAATATTGTGAGTTTTAGTTATTGGAGAAAGCTAAACCTCTCCAAAAAAAAACGCTCTCGAATTCTCTCTCAAACTCGAGCTAGGGTTCGCGATGACGGCTGTCGCTGACGGAGCCTCATCGGGCGCTGTTGGTGGCGGCCGATCATGGGCTTCACTATTCGCGGTCTCTGAGGATTCAAAACTGGAGTTCTATGAGCTTGAAATGGTAAATGGGTCTATTAGAATTCCAAAGGCGGTGATGGAAGAGGGCGCTCGTCAGTGGAAACATAGTTTAGTTGGGCAATTCCTGGGTGCTCCGCCATCGCTGGCGACGATTAGATTCTGGGCGAACTGGTTATGGGGTAGAGAAGGTGAAGTGTGTGTATCTTGGCTGGAGGATCATCTTATTTTGTTCAAATTCCCGACTGATGCGGTTTGTCAATAGGTTTTCGAGAGAGGTCCATGGCACTATCGTAATAATCTGTTGTGCTTGCACAGCTCTTGGTTTTTTTTAGGGCCCTGTTTATCAGGCGGGGCTTAATCAAATTTTTGATAATTACCAAAAAAAAAAAAAAAAGAAAGCTAATTTAGTTGTTGAAAATAATTGGTATCTTCTTTGGATTTGTTTTTTTTTTTATTCTAATTTGTTTAGCGGATGATCTTTATTTTTTTCCTCTTCTTTTGTCTTTAAATTTTTTTTAAATTTTGTTTTGTGATAAATGTGGGCAACAAAAATCTTGAAAAAAACACGAATCGAGTAAATATAAGTTTTGCGGCCTTTCTTGAGCACTGTTGAGAAGAAGAACAATCCCTTTATAGCAAAGATTTTCGTGAAACTTCTCCCTCCTTACAAAAACAAATCTTTTATCTATTTAATTAATATTGATAAAGATTAAAGAAATAAAGATTTGTTTATCTCATTAAGGGTGACGGTTCACAGACAAAAACAAATCTTTATTACTTTTGAGCTCAATCTAATTTTTCGATTTGGGACCATTTTTCCTCTTCGATTGCTCCACACTTAGTCTGCGGGAAAACTCTGTCTACTCTAGACTCCATTTGCTTTGCCAAATTCTCACTTCTCAGGCCTATGGATGACGAATCGGTAAAATATATTTCCTCCTTACCTTTGGTTTGTGTTCTCATTCTAGCTATTGATTTATTTTACTTTGACTTGATTGTTTTTTTAACTCTGTACCTCTTTAGTACGCCTTCGTTGATAATATTAACCTCGGGTTTGATCTTTTCTTAATACCATTGAGGATCTTCATTGTTACTACTGTGTAAGTGTAGCTAGGTTATTAATTTGATCGAGGTAAATGTTTATATGGTGTTCATAGATAAGATATAGTGACTTGTTTGTCCAGCAAACTAGAACAGATAATGACAATATGGTTTCATTGTATTTAAGAGTTTTTGTCAATTTCAATTTAGGCGACTATGATGGCGACAGTTAAGAATGATTGAGATAGATGGACATTTTTCATTGGAAAAAGAAAAAGAAGGAATATAAGGATAAGCAAAATAGACATAGACAATACAAGTTAAAAAGAAAAGAGAATTTTTATTTAGTAATTTGATGTGCCCAATTCGGTTTGACCTAGTGAAATTGGGGACAACCTAATGTTCATGAGTTTTGGGTAAGCTGCAGGTATAACTCATTTTTTAAATTGACTAGTTGGTTTGTTGAGGATTTAGCCAAAACAATCTTTCCGACCGACTTGCATTAAAAAAATCAAAATGACATCGTTTGCATTTTATCCTAATGATATGGACACTGTATGAATGTTATTAGTATTTAAGACAAACAAAACAGTCTTAATAATATGGATAATTAATATACATTATATATCATAATATATTTATAATAAATTTTTTAATTTTAATGATACATGAATGTGCAATGGAGTAGCCAGTAATTTGACTTATGCAAAGATCTACGATGTGTTTTCATATTTATAAGAAGTATCTAAAATACATTAATCGTCCAAAGTAGTACAATATAGCCTAGGGTTGACTGTCAGAAATGAAGATAAATTGGAATTGATCTTTTTTTTCTCTTCATATTTACGGAGGGGAATAAAACCGGTCACATGGCAAAAACCACTTTTATGATGATACCCAAAATTTATGGGAAACGTCAACATTTCTCCGGCCTCTTGCTTCCAACCTTGTACCCTGCTCGCCCAAATCCGCCTCACTCATCTTTTGGGACGGGACAAGACAACCACCGCTCTCATACCCTCTTGCCGCCGCAGCAAACTCTTTTGGTACCCGCCCTGCCGGTTTATAGGGTTGGAGTGGAAGGAGGAGGAACAATATTGCTCATAGTGTGCTCTATGATTAGCTTCTTCTTTTTCTTCTTCTTCTTCTTTTTTTTTTTTTTGCCGCTTCTCTTTGGCATAGTAATTTTAATGTTCTACTTACTGACCATCAATAAAATCGTTAGACCAAACCGTTGTTTGTTGTTTTATGACGTCTGAAATTGTTCTTAATTGGTATTGTCAAGTGTACAGCAAAGCATATAAAAGGGCTTGTTAGATAATGTTGGTTAATTATAGATTTATAGTGGTTGGACATAAATATTGTACATTGAAGAGTTGAATGTAGTTCATAACATTACCATTATGTGATTCCATTTCCGTCGGATTAATTTGCTACGTCTCATAGCATTTTCTGTGTGATTAGTTTATTGATGTCTTACGATGTATCTTACTGAAAGAAGCCAAAACCTAGCAAATGTAAGATAATATGGGTCAAACCGGCACATCAAGTAGGTTGTGCGAACTCTATACGTGATTGCAAATAAAATATGAATCCTCACTCTTGCACAAGAATCTTGTGGTCCTCCTCTATGTTATCTTATAGTAGTTTTACTCATCGAACCCTGGAGAGTACAATGATAGTTTTCATGTCCGCATTGGTGGAGTCACGTTCTGTGGTTTGACGAATCATATTAACGGTTGACATGTAAAGTTGTAAGCAAATAATGTCTTTTGGGCATGTGCATACTTTGTGTCTATGATTTGGCCTTTGTTGAAAAAACGTATATATGAAAATGCCAAAGCTACTATGTTTTGTTGAATTGCCTTTCTCATTATTAGGATCAAAATATATAGGAAATTCAAGACAAACATAAAAGGAAAAAACCTAATTTACATATTTACTATCAGATGAATAAAAATATATCACCAACTTGTTCAAATATAATGAGAAGAAGAGTTGAGATATGGAGATTGATTACGAGGTTGCTGAGTGCACCTATCTAGTTAATTTGGCTAGATCGCTTGATCAGTTCATCACGATTGGCTTAATTACTGAACCAGTCAATGGATGTATGTTGATTCCTTACCATATAAAAGAATGATATAAAATACATTTTTTTATATTTGTTAATAACTCAAGTTAATGTAACCAATTAATGGTTCATGTATCATGACATGTACAAGATCACAATGAGGAAAAAGTAAACCATGAGTCCTAAAGGATTCAAATGTGGTTGAAATTTCTAACAAATTAACTCTCAACCAAATTGGAATTTTTTTTACGAAATAACGGCAAATTAGTCGAATCAACAAGCAGTTCTATCAAAAAAAATTGCAAACATTTTTATAGCATTAATAGCTATCAATTTGGAGCGGTAACGAGTAGTACAAACTAGACCACGTCACAATGCACAAGTTGTTGTAGTTTAACGATAATGCTTCGTTGTACATTGAACATATACACATATCACATATCATATTATAAGCCTTTTTTGCCATCCCCATTTTCAGTAGGAATCGTGGTTGAACTCAGACAAGTGGGTACCCAATTCGGTTTCACCTGGTCAAATCGGATACAACCTATAATGTTTGTGAGTTCTTGTTAGCTTGCGAGTAAAACTCTGTTTTCAAATTGATTGGTGGTTTGGATGAGGATTTAGCCCAATTACGGTCAACTTTCAATACACGAGTGTTGGTGTCTTTAACGAAACTATTCACAATTATATCGTAAATCCGTGAGTATCCATACATCTGTTAGTACTCGTTGAATTGTATTGAGCTCTCTCTTCTGTTTCAATAAACATTGTATCTGAATTGAATTTGTATTTAGAAAAATTCAACCGAATTCGAACTATTCCCATCCCTAACTGCGAGGCAAGACTATGATTGACTTTGTCTCCATTTGGCTATATGGAAAGCAAAGGGAAGTGCATATTATTCTTCTTCAAGCTTCCCCACACCACTTTCCCAGAAAGGGAAAGAAAACGGACCGAGGAACATCAAGCGTTAATTACTAACGCAAAGTGCACACTGATTGGACAACTTTTTTTCAACGCCGGCAAAATTTGACTCTTCCGCCTCTCCCTTTATCACGAGGCAAAATCAGAAAATCTAAGCTAGTTTTAAATTGCGCAACAATAATGAGCAAACCAAACACCAACATCCAAAGATCACCACAAAAGAACAATGAAATTTGACACAAGTGAAGTCCCTGAATTTTTCAAAACAGAACATTCACTCCATTAACATTTATGTTTTGATTATGTTGCTATTTGTCTCCTCGTTGTCATTGTATTCTTATTTCTTTTTCGGATGTTTGTCGATGAGCCTTGTTTGACTCTGTTGGCGGTTTTACCGTTAGTGCGATATATGAATAAGAGGTAGTGGGGCTCTGCACCCGCTTTTCACCATAAAAAATGTTTTGATTGTATTCCTCGTATCTATGTTTAGTTGACAATGTAATTTAACAAATGTCATAAACTTTCAACAAAAAGTGTACATTGATTACAACCAATATATATAGTAGATTTTTGTAAATCGTATCTTACCTTGGAATTAATTGTTAACATCGGAGATAATGAGAATTTGAAACACGAGATATTTCTTCCAAAACTCTATCATGGATTTGAAGTTTGCACAAACTAATCATATATATCTTTTGTTGAATCCAACTATTAGTATCAAACACAATATCTCCCGCTCAACCGTTTTAATACCATTTCATGAATCAGCCCGCCCTAATAGCTGTCATAAACCAGTTGGTCCCAATAACTCGAGTTGTTGGGAGAAGGTTATGCTGGATCTTATATCACTCTCTAACATGCCCCGTCAAACGAAAGCCAACCCATAGATTTGAAGTTTGCACAAACCCACCATACCTTGTGCTTCAAACAACTGTTAATATTGGGATTCGTGGAGATTCGAACACATGACCACTTGGTCAAACCAGCTCTGATACCATGTCATTAACCAGTTGGTCCCAATAACTCGAATCGTTAGGAAAAGGTTATGATAGATCTTATATCACTCTCTAACAATAGCTAGCTGTACATCTACAGGAGTCCCGACATTCTTTATGCATCGGATCTGCCTACAAGGATCAATCAAACACAAAGTGCTAGTGTGCAACCAATGCTATCACCAAACCTCAGAAAAAAACCAAAAAAAAAAAAATATTAAGCATTCAAAAATGTTGAGGCATAAATATGAAGTTCTTGCAAGTTTTAGGCATCTCATTGACATTAACCCATAAACAAAATAGAAAAGAGACAAAGGCTGACTTTTTCCATTTATAAAGGCCACTACTTTCTTCCTCCACATCCATCACTTGCAAACATTTTGGATCTAACTAAATAGCTATCCTCTCTCAAACATGGGAAACGTCAACATATCTCCGGCCTCTTGCTTCCAACTCTGCTCATCGCCCAAATCCGTCTCACTCATCTTCTGGGACGGCACAACCACCGCCCTCACCCCCTCCCGCCGCCGCCGCGGCAAGCTCATCGCCGGTCAAATCATGGTAGAACATCCCGACAAGTTGGTGTGCAACTCGGAATCCTTCTTCCTCGGCCACCCGATCCCCGCCTTGTCCATCCACGACGAGCTCTTGCCCGGTCAAACCTACCTCGTCCTCCCCGTTGACCTCTTCGCTTGCACCAAAGTCCTAAGCGCTTCCTCCCTCGCCGCCTTCACCGCCGCCGCCGGAAGCCCCAATAATAACAATAAGACCCCGCTGGTCAACGGGTGCCAGCCGCTTCAGTACCTGAAGGGGTCGGACGGTGGCGTTTTGATCAAGGTGGCGCCCGAGTTCATGATCAGGCTTCTGGTCAAAGTTGGGAGAGGAGAAGAAGAAGTAAACGGCGGGGATGTTAGCAACGGTTTTCTTTGTAGCACGCCGGAGCTGAAGAAACATTACGAGCAGCTGGTTGGGTGTAGAGAGCAAAAATGGTCGCCAAAGGTGGAGACGATTTCGGAGTACAAAGTTCGGTACTCGCCGTGCCGGTTTATAGGGTTGGAGTGGAAGCAGAAGGAGGAGCAGTATTTCTCGTAGATCATTAGGGCTTTGTATTTGCCGTCGATCTACTTGTGTTGCGACATTTGGAATCGTTCTTCTTCAATTCATTGATGTTTGGCAAGTGTACAGAAAAGAATATAGAGAAATACTTTGTTAGGTATTATTATTGGTTATGGTGGTTGGACATGGATATGTATATTGTATAATACTTTGAAGTTCTGAACAGATAGATGTATTTCAAAGCATTAATAACATATGGATTTCTGTATGCTTACTTAGTAGTTCCATGACAACAACCATAGAATGAATGAAAATCCCTTTCGTATATAATTCGTACGATTAGGTCTAGTTCTAAGCGTAATTGATACACTAGAAAGAACACGAAAATTCTCATTGTGTTTTTTCCTGAACATCGAGATTCAGTGGTACTGATCTCGTATTGGTATTTGCGTACTTGTAATTGTTTATTGCAAATTTTGTTAAATTTTAATGATGTTATAACGTTTTCAAAATTTTCCTTACTGCTATTGATTTGTGCAATGAAGTCATGGTGGTATATATTATCAAAAGAGGTTGGGGATAGTGATGGAAATTTGAATTCGTTTTGTCAGGTACGGATCGAAATACAGTACTGAAGGTTGTATCGGAAAAGTTAGCGGTAGGATATTTTATGCTAAAATCATAGTTTAACGGTGGTTCAACCGCTTCATATCGCTAAAAACAGCCTGCCGATTTAGCCGACGATAGGAGATTTTCCTGGACGAACCGTCGGTATGGTACGGTATTTCAATCCGTATTATTCAACTACTCGATCCGGTTCGTGATGAGCGGTAATATGCGTCCTGCGTAGGACAGGGTATGGATACTACTTTCACTCTGTACATCCCCATTTTGCATTGTTCTTGACCCTGTTATACATTGATTTGTCCCGACATTTATTTTTATTTATCATATTTTTTATAAAGCACTAGGGGTGCTTTGTTTGATCAGAATACACAGCTCGGAACTCTTCAACGAAAGATAAAACGGATAGGTAGAATTTCGCCACAATCAAGTTGTTTACTTGATTGATAAGAAAACTCATAAACCGATTCTGGAATCCTCACAGAAAAGATTGACAAGGGTTCTCGAATTAGCAATGGAATTTCTCACACAACTTACTCAAGGGTTTGATTCTTGAGAACTCTCAAAGAACACAATTCTCACAAAGGAGCAATTTTCATTCAACTAAAACTTGGATGATTTACAACGTGAAATTGAAAGCTATTTAAAGACAATAAAAACCTAATACAAACCTAATAGAACTATGAAACAATTATGTTAAAAACAAACTCTAAAAAGGACTCAAAAGTCGGCCATAAACTCTCTTTCTTCAAGCACAAGCAAGCTTCCTTTTAGCACAAGCAAACTGTCCAAAAACAGTTTTCGTACTAACTTCATGACATTCGTTCGAGGCCTTCCTGAACTCCAATCTTTCATCCAATTCCTTCCCTTTGTTCAAAAACATATCTAGTTTCATTTTGTGGAAGCCTTTGGACTTGAATCAGATCCATGCTCCTTTAATTGAGCTTCAAAGTAGGCTTCACAAAACAGTTTTCTGCCTTAGTCATTTTCTGGCAGTTTTCCAGTTTTGAGATAGCAACTTTGAGGCCTTGGAAAACAACCTTAACGACATCATCTGGATCCAAAAAGCATATCATTGGAAACATGGCAACTTTATATTTAAAACAAACCCAACCATGCCTCCAAAGTAGGTACCCTGAACACGGATTTTGACTTAGCCAAATTATGCCCTTCTTCCCAACTTCGATAGCTTCTTCGTCAAGTAAATTAAACGTGTATAATGGACCATTTGGGATCATATCAATTTTTACTTATATTAACTCATTTTCACCGAATGATACTTTAGATAATTCAGTCTATTCAGTTAAAGTACTGCATTCCATGATTGATAAATTTCAGGCTTAAATGATTGGTAAATGGTAACTAGCTTTTTACCCAGCCCGTTGACCGGAGAGATTTATTTCATAATTTATATTAATTAACTTATTTATATGTTTAAATCTTTTTGGATCTTCTAAATATTTTGTGTTATTATTCATAAAAGAGTTTGTAGTATGTCTATATTGAAAATTTCCAATATTCAGCACACTCACTTCTGATGCTTTGGTTTTCTAATCATAAATTATGTCGTTGTCGCGTCCTATTTAGAACTTCTGTGTATATATATATATGGTGAGTTGGTGACTACTTCGGTGCACTCACTTTTTTGGGTGCACTAATGCACTCAGTGCACCCAACTCTAAAAGCGTCCATAAGACATCAAATTTTGAACTTTAATTAGTACTCTCAATATAATATGATGATATAAATAGAATCATAACAAATCAATCCATTACCCTAACCCCTTAACCTTCAATTTTGAATCCCAACCCAAAATCTCAAATTGTAAACCTAAACCCTAACCCTAAATTCCTAATTCCTAAATCCTTCGAAATTAAAGTAAAATTTGAATGAATTTTTTTCAAATTCATGTTCTTTTTGTTCATAATATCATAAGCAACAATTGATACCGTTTTGACATGACTCGCATGGTCAGAATGACGATTATGAGGCGGGTACATTGAGTGCACCCGAAAAAGTGGGTGCACGAATACGCCACCATATATATATAGTTCAAGCTAGCGTGGGCCAGGAGTACGCTATACTATTGCGTTCATACTACCATACGACCAATGAGATTTACTATTTAGACTCTAGAGTTTTTTGTGGCATGATACTATACCCTAACCTCTAATAGGTGAACTCCAATCCCTAATTCTCTAACCTCTAAATTATGCAAATACTTTGTCATACCTATCTTCTATCGTATCTTGAGTAAAATCAAAAGATAGTATAGCTTGATATTATATATATATATGTGTGTGTATATATATAGTAGACTCAAAATTATCCAGATATTTCGCCATATCTATCTTATCTCGCCTAATACTCATAGTAAAAGTGTTACTTGCCTATTCCCCGCCCTCGAGATAGAGATCCCGCTTTTACCCCCATAACGTCAGACAACCATTGGGGTTGTCTATCTTTTGATATGTAATATACAAAGAGGCAAATCCTAAGATTCTGCTATTTATTTCTTATTCTCTCTCGCCGCCCCCTTTATGAAGAATAAAAGGGTAGGGATGACAGGATCATAGCTCGATATGATTTTATTCTGTTCATCGTATCGCTTCCATCAAATTCAGGCGTTGGTACATTATACTGGGTGGCAACTTTTCGGTACACAGCCTCGGAGGTTATGTTCTTTTTTTTATTTTTTTGGCTTCTTTTCATTTTTATTTTTTGACACCCATGGTTGTGATAAGGGGTATTTAGCCCCCCGAAAGGGATTGAGATTTTAGGTCCTTTGGAAATCCAATACACATTCATGATCCACAAGTTTGGACGAACTCTCGACCAATGTTGTAAAGATTAGGAATTTTTAGTGAGAAATTCTTAGTAAAGATACTTCATTATTGGATCAATTTATTCATCCATATAGAAACTTGACACACACCGTAGCCCTCGTGATGATAATTCTATAATCTCGACTCATTTCCATTTTGGATGCTAGTTTTTTTTTTATCAAGACACTTAAATTTAGTATATTATACAAAATGTATCAATTATTAATTTTTGAAGTTTAGATGAAACTTCAACCCGGGGTCATTGTTTATATGTTGGCTTAGAATCTCAATCTAAGACACTCGCACACACTATCGAGGAGTTTGGTCTTAACATGTTCGTTGAATGTGTAATTTTCAAAGATTTTATCACTTATATATTAATATTTGATAAAGAGTGTCTACAATACACATATTTCAAGTGCATTTAAAATGCCTTATCATTTGAACAATATCAGTGGATTTCATTTGATTATTTGCATTAACTTATTATTTATACAACATATATCAATTCATGTTTCTCGAGTTTGGACTAACTGGCAACCAATTTTGAGAGTTGAGATTATTGGATAAAGATACTTGATTGCTGGAAAAATATGTTTATCCCAATTGACTATCTTACTAAAAATTGTTAACCTTTATTTGGTAAATGTCTAGGTTAGTAGTTGATGGAACGCGATGTTTATCGTAGATTCTCAACAAAGATTCTCTAACCTTCCTTTATGTTATTTTTCAAGAAATCTTGTGTCTCATCCTAGGGTATGAAGTCAAAGTTCATCAACAATCATACTTAAGTCATTTTGAAAATTTTGATTTATAATCGTTGACGATAACTCCAAGTCTGAAAAAAATATTCTTAGCATATGACTTAGGACCTCAATAGAGCTTGCTCAATCAACATGATATAGAACAAATATTATTAATGTGAACTTAGGACACATTATAAAATTATTGCACATGTGATTTCTCTTCATTTTAGGAGTTTAAGGTAGAACATGATCTGAGTAATAAGAAGTCTTTTTTAAATAAATAACTATAACTACTCGATCAAGATTATACTCTAATATTTTGCTAAATATTAATTATTTTATGTTATAGACATATAATTTACGAATAAGAAAGTGTGTCATTGCAACAAAATATAAAGTAATATAGTTTATTTTTCATAGGTAATTGAATGTCAAATGTTTATTTTCTCTCTTTTCATATAAATTTTGTTTCTAAAAAAAATTTTATTGTTTATGTGTATGTTTGTTTAATTTTTTCATCAAAATGTAAATTATCATTCAATTTTAGTAAAAAATTTACTTCATAAGATTTAATTAGATATTTTTTATTTAAACAAATGTGGTATATGTTACTTTCTGTTTTCTTATTTATTTATTTTTACTAGACAAAAAAATTATTATTTATGTGTGTTTGGTTAAGTTTATCAACATGTAGCTTATTATTAAAGCGAAAAAAATAATAAATGGATAAAAGAAATGGAAATATTAAAGAAAAGAGAGGTAGCTCCATAAATACATTAATAACTAATTTTTTTGTTTGTAAACAAGTTGTCCAACTTGGCAAATTGTGGATTCTCCAAGTGCTTATGTGGCAAGAGATTGCTTTTGAATTGTCATAATATAGATATAGATAGATAGATAGATAGATATAGATATAGATATAGATAGATAGATAGATGGATAGATAACCCTAGTAAACACTAGCTCAGTACCCGGCCCGTTGTTCGGATGCATTTCACCAATAGTAGAAACAACAATGCAATTGTTCAAGTACACTATATTTTTATTTGGTGTCATAATAGAATTCAAATTATTATTCAATTACTGAAAAAAATAGGAAAGACAAATAGAGTTAGTTGCATGTATTTACGTTAAGGGTTAACTATGTGATAATCATTATGATTTATTCATTATATAAATTACGGATTGATACATATTGGGATATTTTTCTGACCTAATGTTAATGTAATGTTATATTGGTTAATCTGATTAACCAACTAACCAAATCAATTAAACTTAGTTTGGATAATGTGGTTGTTGTATTAGTTTGGTCGGTTGGTTTTGATATTTTGTCCTTTGGTTAATAGAATTTATGTTTGATTGTTTTGGTAAATACCATGATAACCATTTGAACATTCCTAATTACCATATTCTTTTATCTTCTTCTGTATTTTAATAAAGCGAAACTTTAATGATTAAATTTTTCCAAATTTTAACCATCATTTCCATCCAAGTAGAATTTTAACCATATCTCATTTCAAAAGGGAAATAAATCGACTACTGATTATGCTAGGGATGGATAATTGTATATATAGTGGGTGCTAGCAAGTTTATTTGGGATTCCTGTGGGGCATGGGTCAAGCCCACAACACCCACTTAATCTATAAATTTGCAATTAAAGAAAAAATTAGCGAAGATATATGTTGGGACTTTTAGGGGCGAGGGTACACGTACGATAGCCCGAGACCGGGTGACCAAGATTGTGATAGAGTCGTGAACAACGTTCACTTTCCGAAAAGAATATTTCCACCCTCAACAAGCATAGGGTTACAGGAAATTTCTCCCGAGGATAAAACTATCACCATTTAGGTTCCAAACTCAAGAACACTAAAGCATACTTAGAAATTTTTGGAAGAAAGAAGAAGAATATGTTTGATGGTGTGTGGCATCATGCACCTCACACACATATTTATAGGGGCCGATCCATGCATTGTTTCATGAAAGGTTGCCTTTATCCATACGAAATGTTGCCTTTATCCATATGAAAGGTTGTCTCCATCCATATGAAAGGTTGTCCTTATCCATATGAAGGGTTGTCTTTATCCTTAAGGCTATCCTTATCCATAAAATAATGCAAACGCCACTAGGCCAAAGGGATGTGTCCCTTCACGAAATTAGAATATCGGTTCGATCGGTCTAATCCCAAATCGGTTGGTCGGTCCAACCCAAAACCGGTTTGACTTGGTTAGTCCGGTTCAACCAAATTTCCAACATTCCTCCCCCATTTTAGTGTATTATTAGAATTCACTAAAATCACAACATTCTTCCAACAAAACTTAAGCCTAAATGAAAATGTCGTGACGATTGAATTTTCACCTTAGTATATTACACTTGACGAATACTCGAATACAAAGGGTGTAGGTAACGATTGAACCCATTGACTCATATGAATATTCGAAGATAATATACACTTAAGTTTTCAAACTTCTAATTGCCTTGACACTATTAACCGCCATGTGTCCAATCCTTCTCATAAAGCGGCGCACACGAAACCAAAGTCCGGGTTTCATGAAGCGGCTACACTTCATGCTTACGTAGGTCGAATCTTTTATTCGTGTACCCGCATAATACACTTTGTCAAAGATTCAATTAAGAAGTTTTGTACTTCATCCTCTTCTCTCATGCAGATAACAAGCACACACCTCGGGATGCCAAATTTTGTGCTTCAATTTTTTATAATAAGCTTTCCACATTGAATTCAGCCTCTAACGTTGTATTAGAGGGGAATTGGGTGTC